AACTAGCACCCTGAAAAGTCTTCTGCGTTCTCATCGCTCGAAGAATGAGCCGTATAGTCGATCGAGGTTTTAAATTCGGTTCAGGGATCTGTATAAGGACGAGACTCAGTTATTAGATTTTCTTTTTTTAATTTTAATATTGCTTTCATATTAATTTCAGTGTGGAATTCTTTTCAACTTTAATATCTATTGAGAAACGGATTTGCCGCCTTTTCTTCTTTGTTTATTCCACTATTCAGTTAAACCCTTGTCCTGGAATGGTAATACTGGCATTTACATCGTATATGAGCCATAAGTAACAGGACTTCGGTTCTGTCTTGATTCTGATTTTAACGTCCGCGTAATTACATCGATCAATACGAGTACACCAAATATCCTATAGGTACTGCGTACAGGTCATGACGGTTTTTCTTAAAAGGCTGCTTAAGATTTTAGTAAAAAAATATCAGGAATAATAATTGAAACTAGTCGAATTATAAGCACTGATTTAAATAAATTTAAAAGTTTTAATGTTTGTTTAAAATATTTACATAGAGCATACATTTACACAAAATACATAGACAAAACAATTGAGCATCGCAACGTTCGCCACCGGTGTAAAGTTCATACATACTACCTAGAGCCACTGCGGTCATCCACAGTGCGTTTCCAGCACAGTTTCCAGAGATCTTTTTTGCCACGTACCATCTGGCTTTGGAATGAACTCCCCTCCACGGTGTTTCCCGAGCACTATGACATGTCCATGCGGAGTCTTGCGGAGAGTACTTAATGGTAGGCAGTGGCGTGGCTCTGCCCCCCCCCCCCCCCATTTCTGATGTCCATGAGCGACGGTAACTACTCACCATCAGGTGGGCCGTACGCTCGTCTGCCTATACGGGCAATTAAAAAAAGAGTACCTATTTCTGCTTTGTTTGTTAATCGATTTTTTTTAATGTGTAACCCATTGACATTAGTTTTAACAATAAACCAATCAGAACTAAATTAACACAGAAAACAAATGACTAACTTGATTACAAAAAAATTATTTGAATCTTCATTTGTCATTGATTAATGATTACAGTATATTTTGTTACAAACTTTCGTAATGCCCGCCCTTATTTTGAATACAGGCTTACGACCTGAGAGATCAGTTGATTACAGCACGGACGTTCATATTTATATTATATCAATCACAGCTTAAATATTAAGCTTTAGGACACACCAAATTATAGTGAGATTTAGCGAAGACTTTCTCTTCTATGTGTTATCATATTTTATATATTTTTGAAGTCGTCGTGGCCTAAAGGATAAAGGCACCCGGTGCATTCGTATGTAGCGATGCTACGATATTCGAATCCCGCCGGCAAGTACCACTTTTTTCAATAAAATACGTACTTAACAAATGTTCACGATTGACTTCCACTGTGAAGGAATAGCATCGTGTAATAAAAATCAAATCTGCAAAATTATAATTTGCGTATTACTCGTGGTAGGACGTCCTGAGTCTGCACGGGTAGGTACCACCACCCCGCCTATTTCTGCCATGAAGCAGTAATGCGTTTCGGCTTGAAGGATGGGGTAGCCGTTGTACTGTAAAAACTGAGTGAGTGGCTTTTATTTACGTTGTAGATGTCTATGGACTCCGGTAACCACTTAACAGCAGGTGAGCCGTGAGCTCGTCCATCCATCAAAGCAATAAAAAAACCAACAGGCCTAGATCTTGGCTGGAATAGAGACAACAAATTTGTTGGAATAGCCAATCGGTTTTTGAACATTACCTACTCTTTCAATAGTCAAAAATATAAACATTGTAAGTCTAAAAAAAATAATATTATTTACTCTGAATGTCTTTATATACTGGTTATAAACATTATCTTCTTCTTCTTCCTATTCGTACACTCTTGACAGAGTGGTCGTGGTCATGCATCAGTCGGATCCTGCGATACCGATGCTCTCGCGATGCGACGCCATGTGGCACGATGTTTCGCAGAGTGAGAGCAATCATTTATATCTGGTCATGCAAAATCCTTATGCAGCTTCATAAGAGGAAAATATGGTGCGCTGAGCCCACATAATGTGGGATAAGGGCAAGAAGAAAAGGAAGAAGACAAAGTGTGTGGATATTATTAGTCACTGGAAGAGCTCTGTTATAAGCCTCAAAACCAAAATATTAACTGTTACGACCTGGTAACTAATCTATCCGCCAACTAAAACTAAATTGAAGCCAGTGCAGACGTAACGAAGTTAACCGACCCATTAAAATTAACATCTGCACCTGTTGATTACAACCACAACAACGCGCCGTCCTGTCGAGACGGGTTATTTCAGTATGGCGTCCTATTAATTTCATACTAATAACTCATACACCGTGTCCACATTTATGTGGCAAATAAGTTAGGAATATATTAAGTGTTGTAATGAAATGTATTTTGTACGTTATTTGTATTTTGAATAAAGAAGAATTTCTAATTATGATCAAAGAACACCATGTACAAACCAAAAAGCTAAAATACACAAAGAACACAGGCTGTGCTATGTTTAAAGCCAGGCTGCTTTCTATTTATTGCTATAAAATAAATGAAATTATTCCATGTTTATTTGTTTATCATTTCGTATTCAAAAATTATCAAATAAAATAGAAAAAAATTAAAGTTAGACCTATTATTATTTATTTTTTATTTAATGGCTTGAATTACAGATCATATTGACTGACCTCTATTTCACTGCATTCTTAACTATCACTTAACGTCTAATCAATCTTGACAAATTATATTCGCAAAAAAAAAAACATGTCTATTCTCTGAAGTTTTCGAATTAATCAATCAGTAATCAATCATACTTTTGGAAATAGTTTTCGTTTTTATTTTTACTTTAGAACAGATTTAAATCAGGTAAATATCGGGTTATGCCATTTAAGCTTTTAGTATTTCAACTACTTTCATATCTTCATACACGATTTTTCTCAATTTACCAAATAGTGGTATATACCTTGGGCTGTAAGCTCAATTCGTATCATGTTAATGACAATGACAACCTCCTACTAGAAAGCATGCTAATCGACATTGTGTATTCGTTGATCTTATTATTGGTTTGATAACAGTACAAGATGATATATTTTATTACATGAACACAACAAGAATAATCTAAATTGTAATACTAGGATCTCGTTACGTATTAACGTTATTCATAATATGCTTGGATAAAAGATTTCAAGCTCACAAATGGTCTCAAACTTGCGGGTTCTTACCGTGAATTTTATTTATGATCACGTGTAGACCGTTTTAAGATAGTAACTTTAAGCTTAAGCTATTAGCTTTAAGTAGACTTCTTTATGTTTATAGTGTAGGTATAGATTGACTAAAAAGGTTCATGGGAATAATTTTCTGAGTTAATTTTTTTAAAATTTGTTATGTGGATAGACGAGCTCACAGCCCACCTGGTGATAAGTAGTTACTGGATCCCATAGACATCTACAACGTAAATGCGCCACCCACCTTGAGATATAAGTTCTCAGGTCTCAGTATAGTTACAACGGCTACCCCACCCTTCAAACCGAAACGCATTACTGTTTCGCGGCAGAAATAGGCAGGGTGGTGGTACCTACCCGTGCGGACTCACAAGAGGTCCTACCACCAGTAAAATTATGATGATAATATTATTATGATAATTTTTGGCGCTAACTTTGAAATTACACCACTTGCTACGGTGGCGCCGCCCAATTTCGACGCTTTTTGACAGATAGTTTTTCATACACATACAGTATGCTCAAAACTTCTAGCTCAGTGCTTACTTTGGTCCAAAAGATGTCACATGAACTTGCATTCAGTCGAAATTTGTTAAGATTGCGGCTTAATTAAATAAAAAATAGTTAAAAAAAACTAACAAAATACACTTTTATAGAAAATCTAACTAAAAAATAGAAAATTAATTTGAATTAAAAATAGTGTAAGAAAAAATGATTTTATTATAAAAAAGCGTGGGGTGCTTTTCAGGATATTATCAAAATAACCCTTCTACTCATAACTATCTGTTCATAAAATATACCATGCACCCCACGCTTTTTTTATAATAAAATTATTTTTTAGTTGGATTTTCTATAAAAGCGTATTTTGTTAGTTTTTTTTAACTATTATTTATTTTTCATTTTTTAATTGAATTTAAATTTGTTCAATAATATTTTTTAATTTTTTTTTTAAATTTAGAATATCATTGATCTTTAATAAGGGTCGATTCGACCAAACAAGAGTAAATCTTATTCTTAGAATAACTCGTCAGTTAATCGAGAGTAAATCAATTTTACGTTTTACCATCTACAATTCTAAGAATAGTGGGCCTATTCGGGAATTGTTACTATACCGCCGTTTCGCACGGAATAACGGAGCTATTCCTAGAATAAAGTAATGGCGTCAGTCAGTCCAACATCTGATTTCTGTCATTTCATAAATATTTATTCTGTTTTAATTTCAAGTCAACGCAATGCACTAAATTATTATTAATAATCTGGCATTGTAAAATGCCACGTTTAAACGAAAAAAGATAAAACCACACGACAAAACTTGACAATTCCCTCAAATAAACAACAAATAAAAATAATACGTTTGACAGCTGGATATCTGTCACAACAGCTACTTTTTCACACTAAAATACGGCAAAATCGAGTTGAAGCAATGTATGCTTTTACACTATGCTGTTGTACAACAACATTTATTTGCCGGATTTTATTTTTGTTCACCATTCACTCTGCTATTCGCGTATTGTTATTCCTAGCGCAAGTATACATGGAAAAACGCCTATGGATTTACTCGAGATTAAAATCATGGAATAGGTTATTCCTCGTATAGTTACTCTAGTATAAATTTAAGTTTGGTCGAATCCACCCTTAGTATACTAAATTTCGAGTAAATCCGACGTTTTGAAGAGGGTCAAAGTCATGTTCAAAGATTCCGTTACATACTAACATACATAAGTCTGATATATTAAAAACGTATTAAAAACTGAGATTTTTTTCTTCTTTTCCAGCGATGGGTGGTGACGCGAAATGCACGTTCGGCACACGTATGGCCATCGACATACACATGCTTAACGAGATCATATACAGGGAAGTCAAACATTTCCGGAACTATAAAATTTACAGACCCAATTTCGGATGTTAGTTGTTTTTGTTTTATACATATTTATATTGACTTGGTCAGACTTAGAATGCTTAAAGGCAATGAATAATAGTTTAATTAATTCAGCAATCACCATATCCGTATTAATCACAAGGCATCAACTGCTAAACTTTTCTAAATCTGTATGTAGCTAGATAAAACGAATGCGTGCGTTTTACTGGTGGTAGGACCTTTTGTGAGTCCGCACGGGTAGGTTAGGCCCTGCCTATTTCTGCCGTGAAGCAGTAATGCGTTTCGGTTTGAAGGGTGAGGCAGCCGTCGTAACTATGCTGAGACCTTAGAACTTATGTCTCAAGGTTTGTGGCGCATTTACGTTGTAGTTGTCTATGGGCTCCAGTAACTTCTTAACACCAGGTGGGCTGTGAGCTCGTCCACTTATTTAAGCAATAAAAAAAAGTGTGCGAAAACATGTATATTACATTTTATATAAAATTACTTGAAGCGTAGTCTTTTAATATTCGTTACTTATTGTTCTTATAAATTTATCTCTACACGAAACTCGCACAGCTATCCCTGTTACTGGTAAATTCTACGCCGCTCATGATCAGCTAAAAGCCGAATCCGAAGAGCAAACGAAAAAAGTGGACGATTACCATCACAACGTCGCCCAGACCAGGGCAAAGGGACCTCAAAGCAAATATCCGTCGCCGGCCACTGAGAACCAAGAGTTAGATTTTCATTCGTTTGTTTTTTTTTTTCTTTCACAAGCCGTTTTTTCAAATGAATTCTGTTCCTAATATGTAATTTATTTGTTATCACGTCGCAATATTGAGACCAATCAGACTAATATAATGAATCCTACAGTTTTCGTGATCACAGATTCTTAGGATATGGTTCTTCGACATTTCAATACTGTATTATATACAAAGTATTAATTATCTAAAAAACAAAAACTAATTATTTTAGTTCAATTTTTTATCTTCCAACGCGCTTGAAGGAGGCACAGTCCCCAAGATACTGGCTACGTTGCCTCGTTGGACAGCCAGACTCACTCTCTGTGCAAAGTACCAGCCAGCCTTAGCATCATGTCTAACCTCCTTCAAGCGTTATCTAAAAAATATCTTTATCTTTCTTTTCAACATTTTTGTATCTGTTCGGAAAATCGTAAATAATGAAATCAAAATAAAGATTAAACCGTAAAAAGAAACTTAAATAAAATAACCATAAGAATAGTTTTCTGTCCACGACTCACTTGAAGCAGAGAATACCAACCATACGTATTCAACAAAGACGTTTTTAAACATTTTTTTAGTGTAATATAAAATAATTCTTTTCACTTGATTTGTTCCCACAATATTGGTTGTTCCCTTTTTTGGAGCTAATGGCTACTGGAGCCCTTAGGCGCCACAAAAGGTATGCCGATCTTTAAGACGTAAAAGACTGTCCAAAACCGAGTGGGCACTTACAATAAGCCGAACCACCAATAGTTTTGCAAATAATAATTTTCTCAGCCTTTATTTTTACTATATGATGTTTGGCTCCATCATGGTAATCATTCATGAACATGTGTGAAGTATTGGTTTGATTAGAAAAAAAAGCACCTGACGGTAGGATTTGAAAGCCGGCATTGTCGCATCGCTACAGCACTCATCGCTATACATTCGGTACAAAAAACACTCATAGGTTCCAAACGATCAGTGAGCACGAGATTAAAGACAATTCTGTGTGGAGGAAAATGAAAAAGCTGTATGAATCATATGACCTAACCTCTTCAGGTACGGCTGGTACACCACACCGCTCGTCAAAATGAACAGGAGCGATAAACGTTTCTACCAGCCGAAGAAGGAAAGCGAAAACACCAAAATCGAAATAGTTATCCTAATGTCTAATCCTAAGTCTAAAAAATCTAAATGACACTTCAATAAACACTCACACCTGCTTATAATTAAACTTGCTTTTATAATAAACGAAAAATCGACTTTATTTTCAACTTATTGTATCATTATGAAATTAGACGTTTGAGCCCATAGGCATCAACGACGTAAATACCACCAACCACTTTGAGACATGAGGTCTAAGTCTCTATTTTATAGTATAAAGCCTGCCCCGCTTCCCTTCAAAATGAAAGGCATTATTGCTTCGCAACTGGAATAAGTAGGGCCGTTGTACAAGGTTGCACTCGCAAGACTAGACTTCATTGGGCTGATCCAATGCTGAATTAATCGCTTTGTTATTCTTATCAAAACTGGTTCATTAATGTTGGCCTTGAATAATACTTATAATAGATAGCTCGGGTAAATTTAGACTTTGAAATCACACCTTTTTCTATTAGCTTACATAGCTTTGGTTATAAAAGCGCTAATAATTGCGTTCGAAAGTAATCGAATATAGGTTCACTTGATGTCTGGTCTTTGGTCACTAGATGCAGCCTACCGCTTAGGAATATTTTCACACTTCCTACCAAGAAGAACATATCGTGGTGCTTAGGAAACACTGTATATTCATAGAACACCGAAAATTAATTTCCAAAATGGATGATAGATACCTACCAAAAAAAGGTTTTTGGAAAAGAACTTTAGACGAACGCAGAAATTGAAAATGTTAGTGGTGTCCATACCGGGATATAAAATAGCCTCGACTATGGGAGCAACTTTTCTGTTCTATTTGGGGTATCGCATATGAGATTTCCGTGTCGTATCTCCGTGCGGCTTATCTTTTTTTTTTATTGCTTAGATAGATGGACGAGCTCACAGCCGACCTGGTGTTAAGTGGTTACTGGAGTCCATAGACATCTATAACGTAAATGCGCCACCCATCTTGAGATATAAGTTCTAAGGTCTCAAGTAAGTTACAACGGCTACCCCACCCTTCAAACCGAAACGCATTATTGCTTCACGGCAGAAATAGGCAGGGTGGTGGTACCCACCCGTGCGGACTCACAAGAGGTCCTACCAGTAATTACGCAAATTATAATTTTGCGGGTTTCATTTTTATTACACGATGTTATTCCTTCACCGTGGAAATCAATCGTGAACATTTGTTGAGTACGTATTTCATTAGAAAAATTGGTACCCGCCTGAGATTCGAACACCGGTGCATCGCTCAACACGAATGCACCGGATGTCTTATCTGTTAGGCCACGACGACTTATCTAGAATAACTCTTGAATCCTTGATCATGGTTCACTCCTTTCGCTAGAACCGAGCGAACATGAGATCTGTCCTAAACGAACTTAATTCCATCTACAGCCTGTATAAAGGAAAGCATACAACTCAAAATCTAACACCAATTATAAATTTTTATTCTTCGACATTTTTCGTGTTCGTAGCGCACTGGTTCCAAGTCCGTGGAACTTTTTGTTTGTAGTCGGATTTCTCTAAAGGCCTCAAGTGAGCGGCCGCGACACGATCACTGTAATAAAAATCATTAAAAAATATCTGTTGAAGCTCTGTCTTTAAAAGAAGAACTATAATTTCATGCAAATTAGCCTATGTGTGCTGCTGAAATCAAGGTATGCTCATTACATTTGTCCACACCAAAAATTCTTTGCAATCTCCTACGGTCTGAAAGAGTACGATCTTAAATATTAAGTGTAATAATAAGTTAGGTATATCAATTATGTAATAGCGTATTTGGTAGTAAATGTGTAATTATGTTAAATTTTCATGCAATGTTATATATACAGATTTTTTTCTCTCTGATGTTATGCAATGAACCGCTTTTTTTACCAATGTATGCAGTCGGTACTTGAAATTGTGTTAACATTTAGTGTGAAATCAATGTATTATATGTTACCTGTAATGTTCTGCGCTGATGTATAACATGTTGGTGCCAAACTAATAAAATAAAAAAAATGTATTATCTATGTTAAAGAGCGTGGCCGTACACACGTAGTGAATGAAGTCTTTGATCTACAGTTGGGCTGTTCAAACGACACACTTTTGCGAGCTAATTAGCTTTACTACGAAGTTTGAAGGGCCGCAGAAAAAAATTTACTCAAAAACAAAATATCCACTTTTCAGACAAGAATACTTTCAATAAAATAGCTTAAAAGATAGCTTCACTAAAGATAAAGATGAGTTATGAGAAGAATAAAGATGAATCATACCAAATATTGATTAATATATGTTTTGAAGAAAAATTCTATTATCCAAACTATTTATATCCAAAACTATTTTCTGATTCAAACATTCGTCGCGGGCCGCATGAAAACAAGCCGTCGTCTGGACAACCCTGATCTGCGGTAATCATTTATCACTAGGCGTCCCATCTCATCCACACATCCAGAGCAACAAAAAAATAATCGTAAAACCTTGCTTTTAAAACTTACGCAAATTCCTCATAGGTTTTGGCGGTGTGTATAGCGTCGCATTTCACGTCATTAACTTGCCAGTATTTTCTGTCGTCTTCCACGCAATTCCGGAGCTGATTCTCCATCGCTGCAATGTCTTCTTGGCTCAGGGGCTTGTTCATTGCAACTATCGATTGAAATTACGATTATTAAAAATACGTTTTCCGGAACCGGGCCGTCAAAGAATATTAGGATAAAAAGGACTTTTGTTTGACTCATACAACAAAAAACACAACTTTTGACAAAACAACTTTTAAACCTTACTTTCTTTATATTGATGATAAACCACTTTTGTTATATATTGCTTTTAAGCGTGTCAAATAAATGTTGTGAAAAGTTGAGATCAAAAATACAAGCGGTTGTCATGGTAACAGAATCTTGGTCATAGATAATACAATTTATCAACGTACCTACATAATATAAAATATGTTCACTTCATCATTGTTAACCTGCGGCATGGCGCGGCGGCAGCCCGGTAATGACTACCAGGGTCCAAGCATTACGTCTTAGAAGTTGAACTTGAGACGATTGAGTATTAAATCGAAATCCCATTTGGGTTATATAATGGATGTTACACGCATAAAACCGGCAGCGCCACAAAAAAAAATTGTGCACTCGCAATATTCCAAATAAGCATGAATTTGACGGAGAAGTAGACAAAATTCAAAAGATCCACTAAATACAGGATACTACTAATAGCAACTATTAATACTAATTACATAATACTAATTTACTGGTGGTAGGACCTCTTGTGAGTCCGTGCGGGTGGGTACCACCACCCTGCCTATTTCTGCCGTTAAGCACTAATGCGTTTCGGTTTGAAGGGTGGGGCAGCCGTTGTAACTTACTTGAGACCTTAGAACTTATATCTCAAGGTGGGTGGCGCGTTTACGTTGTGGATGTCTATGGGCTCCAGTAACTACTTAACACCAGGTGGGCTGTGAGCTCGTCCATCCATCTAAGCAATAAAACGAAGGCGCTGGATAAACATAATCGTAAACCGAAATTATGTGTTAGACATTACTTCATCACCAATCCACCAATCATTTCATTAAAGATCGCAACAGCTGTACACTATTTGCACGCAATAATACGCAAGTTGTAGGCATTTGGACACTACAATATCATTTGTGTACAATTTGGGCACTATGGCTGTTTTAATAGAACTAGAGATCCCGCAGTAGACGAAATTCGACTATAAATAATTGGAATTGTAAGTTTGTACACTATTATAATTGTATTTTATACTTCTATAATCACAAATTTCGCCAAGACTACACAAAAAAAAATAATAACAAAGACAAACCATATTCTATTCTCAATTTAACAACAGACGTCAAGAAAAAAAGTTTGACAATAAATAGTATGCATGCGTGTGTGCGTCAAATACATGGTATGTAGTGTGTGTGATGTTTTCTTTATTAATTTAATGTATCTTTTATGCATTATTTAAAAAAAATATTAGCATTGTGCACTTCTTCTCTATATTCTCTATAAGTGTGGAAAATTTCACACTCCTCCGTCCGCGCAATTTTCGTAAAAAGGGATACAAAGTTTTTGCTTCACGTATTAATATATAGATGCAGTGGCAACATTTTTGGTTATGCGAATGGTTTTCCCGATTTGTTTAGAGCAACTTTTCCACCAATAAACTCTGATCATGGCTGACCTAGAGGGCGGGGCAACGCAAAGTCGCTGTCGCCTTAAGCACATCCTATCGGATCCTCCTGATTCACTCGCGGTGCTTTTAGGCACGCAAAGCACCGGTCACCGTTCTCGTCGAACACATCGAATGCGATGTGCAAACTAGCTCACATACACAACGTAATTCGATCGTAAAACGATTCAGTAAAACGCTGCCTTCGTTTTAGCAATTAATTCCAAATTAAACCCTGTGAGCTCATCTACCAATCCACGCGTAGTTGGAATAGCCCTTAAGTTACCAAATGTAGGTATTCCTAACACTAACCTCACAAATGCATCGAAAAATGTATCCAAATAAGCTATGCAATCATGCGATACATAAACTATACAAATTGGAGCATAATAGGAGTATTAGTAAACAAGTACACGCACTCTAGTGCAAACAATAACTTGACGAGTCAAAACTAGTTGCTTCTGGGAGCAAAGCAAATCGGAAACTCGATTTTAAATATCGGAAACAATTATTGAATTTCACTGACATTTCAATATAATTAATTACCTAGTTGTTCGCTTATTTTTAGAATATACCGGTAATTAATTCCGGTCATTTACCTTTTCACCATAATTTACCTCCATTATCTATACGCAGTATATTTTTAATTTCAGGAAAAGGTCTCTGGACGCAATCGGCTTCCCCGCACTCCAATTCGATCTTGTTGCTTTCAGTAATTCAAGTCTTCCTTTGCCAATGCAAAAATTATCTAACCCACGAACGTCATATCTCATGTAAATAAATAGCCTTGCGTAAAAGAAATGAAAAAAAAAGTTCTTTAAAACATTATTTCCCTTTAAATTAGAAGCAAATTGATAGTTGGAAATTAAAAAAAACAGAATTGCAAAAGTTCTTCTCTTTGTCTTTGAGATTTAAGAAATGAACAATTTGATTGACTATGATGAATCGTATAATTATACACGTCATACATACATATGTACTTATATTTCAATCGATAGGTACAACCACCCGTAATTTGTTTCCTATAGTGGTGCTCGTCCACTTGATGGTTGTCTGGAAGAGATTGCTCTTAACAGTAACCGTCTACAATAAAGCATTCTCATTATTAACTCTCTCTCTCTCATTATTAAAGACATCTATCTGATTCAGTTAAAAAAATTTAAGCATCTTATCTTTTTTTTTATTGCTTAAATGGGTGGACGAGCTCACAGCCCACCGAGGTAAATTACCCAACGTAAATGCGCCACCGACCTTGAGATATAAGTTCTAAGGTCTCAGTACAGTTACAACGTCTGCCCAGCCCTTCAAACCGAAACGCATTACTGCTTCACGTTAGAAATAGGCAGGGTGGTGGTACCTAGCCATGCGGACTCACAAGAGGTCCTACCACCAGTGCACAGTATCAACAGAGTATTGTTTCAGCGAGAAATAATATTACTATTTTTAAAGTGAACCACATTTCGATGCCTCCAATGAACACTACTCTAACTCAAAATTTTGAAATTTTAGTTTTTCACGCAAATCGCTTCGCCATGTTAAAAGTATTACAATTAATCATTATTGATGGGGTTCGAAGCAAGAGTAAATCAGCTAGTTACACAAGCAAAAACCATAAAGATATCTGCAATAATAAAGATTTTATCAACTTTTTTCATTTAAACGCTCCTCCTGTAAATCTACGAATTTGGAGTTAGCGTAGTGTTCATTGGAGGCATCGTCTACTTCGATAAAGCGGCACGACACGAGAGCCCTCTCATCGTGGCCGCCGGTAACTACATTCCCGATCCTGCGGACAGAATAGAAAGCAGTCGACGTCGCCCAAAACACGTCATCTCGGATCCTCCCGATCCAATAACGGTGCTTCTAGGTACTTCAAGCACCGGTCACCGTTCTCGTCGAACCCGTCGCTTGCGCCGAAGGGCTCGACGAGTAAATTAACTCTCAGACACAGCCCACTGAGTTTCTCGCCGGATCTTCTCAGTGGGTCGCGTTTCCGATCCGGTGGTAGATTCTGCGAAGCACGACTCTTGCTAGGGTTCGTGTTAGCAACGTCATCAGGTTTGAGCCCCGTGAGCNTGGGTACCACCACCCTGCCTATTTCTGCCGTGAAGCAGTAATGCGTTTCGGTTTGAAGGGTGGGGCAGCCGTTGTAACTATACTGAGACCTTAGAACTTATATCTCAAGGTGGGTGGCGCATTTACGTTGTGGATGTCTATGGGCTCCAGTAACCACTTAACACCAGGTGGGCTGTGAGCTCGTCCACCCATCTAAGCAATAAAATATATATATATATTTTACGAAGGCGCTGGATAAACATAATCGTAAACCGAAATTATGTGATAGACATTACTTCATCACCAATCCACCAATCATTTCATTGAAGATCGCAACCGCTGTACACTATTTGCACGCAATAATACGCAAGTTGTAGGCATTTGGACACTACAATATCATTTGTGTGTAATTTGGGCACTATGGCTGTTTTAATAGAACTAGAAATCCCGCAGTAGACAAAATTCGACTATAAATAATTGGAATTGTAAGTTTGTACACTATTATGATTGTATTTTATACTTCTATAATCACAAATTTCGCCAAGACTACACTATAAAAAATATCAACAAAGACAAACCATATTTTATTCTCAATTTGACAACAGACGTCAAGAACAAAAGTTTGACAATAAATAGTAAACGTGCGTGGGTGCGTCAAATACATGGTATGTAGTGTGTGTGATGTTTTCTTTATTGATTTAATGTATCTTTTATGCATTATTTAAAAAAAAATTAGCATTGTGCACTTCTTCTCTGTATTCTCTATAAGTGTGGAAAATTTCATACTCCTCCGTCCGCGCAATTTTCGTAAAAAGGGATACAAAGTTTTTGTTCACGTATTAATAATATATAGATGCAGTGGCAACATTTTTGGTTGTGCGAATAGTTTTCCCGATTTTTTTAGAGCAACTTTTCCACCGATAACCACTTCTGATCATGGCTGACCTAGAGGGCGGGGCAACGCAAAGTCGCTGTCGCCTTAAGCACATCCTATCGGATCCTCCTGATCCACTCTCGGTGCTTTTAGGCACGCCAAGCACCGGTCACCGTTCACGTCAAGCACATCGAATGCGATGTACAAACTAGCTCACAGACACAACAGACTGTTTTTCTGGCCGGATCGTCAGATTCAGTAAAACGCTGCTCTCGTGTTAGCAATTAATTCCAAATTAAACCCTGTGAGCTCATCTACCAATCCGGGCGTAGTTGGAATAGCCCTTAAGTTACCAAATGTAGGTATTCCTAACACTAACCTAACAAATGCATCGAAAAATTTATCCAATTAAGCTATGCAATCATGCGATACGTAAGCTATACAAATTGGAGCATAATAGGACTATTATTAAACAAGTACACGCACTCTAGTGCAAACAATAACTTGACGACTCAAAAGTGGTCGCTTCTGGGAGCAAAGCAAATCTCGGAAACTCGATTTTAAATATCTGAAACAATTACTGAATTTCACTGACATTTCAATATAATTAGTTGTTCGCTTATTTTTAGAATATACCGGTAATTAATTCCGATCATTTACACCATAATTTACCTTCATTATCCATACGTAGTATATTTTTAATACAGGAAAAGGTCTCTGGACGCAATCGGCTTCCCTGCACTCCAATTACTGTCAGTAATTCAAGTCTTCATTTGCCAATGCAAAAATTACCTAACCCACGAACGTCATATCTCATGTAAATAAATATCCTTGCGTAAAATAAATGAAAAAAAAAAAGTTTTTTAAAACATCATTTCCCTTTAAATTAGAAATAAATTGATAGTTGGAAATTAAAAAAAAAACTGAATTGCAAAAGTTCTTCTCTTTGTCTTTGAGATTTAAGAAATGAACAATTCGATTTACTATCAATCGTATAATTACGCACGTCATACATACATAAATATGTACTTATATTTCAATCGATAGGTACAACCACCCGTAATTTGTTTCCTATAGTGATGCTTGTCCACTTGATGGTTGTGTTGCAAAAGATGTGACAATAAAACGCAGCAGCGTAACGACAAGTTCTTTTATTTGTGCGAGAATGCAGAAAGCAGGTAGAAATGGCTGGCACGGCTTGTTTTATTAACACTATCCCCCCTTCATTGGCTTTGGCTGGCGGCGGCGGCGGTGGCGGTGGCGGAAGGGGGCGTGTTAACATGGCTTGGCGGCTTGGCTGGCGGCAGGGCATGACAGCTGACGTCACGTCCGTTACAGTTGTCTGGAAGAGATCGCTCTTAACAGTAACTGTCTAATTATTAAAACATTCTCATTATTAACTCTCTCTCATTATTAAAGACATCTGATTCAATTAAATAAAATTTAAGCATCTTATCATTTTTTAATTGCTTAGATGGGTTGACGAGCTCACAGCCCACCTGGTGTTAAGTTACTGGAGCCCATAGACATCTACAACGTTAATGCGCCACCCACCTTGAGATATAAGCTCTAAGGTCTCAGTATAGTTACAACGGCTGCCCAGCCCTTCAAACCGAAACGCATTACTGTTTCACGGCAGGAATATTCAGGGTGGTGGCACCTAGCCGTGCGGACTCATAAGAGGTCCTACCACCAGTGCACAGTATTATTCCTGGTGGTAGGACCTCTTGTGAGTCCGCACGGGTAGGTACCACCGCCCCGCCTATTTCTGCCGTGAAGCAGTAATGCGTTTCGGTTCGAAGGGTGGGGTAGCCGTTGTAACTATACTGAGACCTTAGAACTTATATCTCGAGGTGTGTGGCGCATTTACGCTGTAGATGTCTATGGGCTCCAGTAACCACTTAACACCAGGTGGGCTGTGAGCTCGTCCACACATCTAAGCAATAAAAAAAAACACAGTATCTACAGAGTATTGTTTCAGCGAGAAATAATATTACTATTTTTAAAATGAACCACAAATGCTCTCGACTTGCAGCTCGTAAACACTGCTAACTTCAGGCAGTAGTTACCCAACAATCGAGCGATGAAAACAAAGCTATCTTGCTATAAACGTAAACGTGCCTAAACAATGAGCGAATGGATTTGAATAGTTGAATGCCGACAAGCAATATTATACGTAGTTATTATACTCCAACTTAGAATTTGATTACAATATGATGCTCGGTAAGTTCTGTTTTAGTTTTAGCGATTCCCAGCGATAAATCTTAATGAATAAATTTTGGGTGATTCAATTTTGTAAACGATTGAATATGCGTAGTGCTTTTTGATATTTTTTCAAAATAGATTTTAGCTTCAAAAGTTTTATATTTTAACATACTAAAAACAAGTTGATAAACAAATGTAGGTAAACACACAACGCAACGGTGTGCATTTTCCGCGTGGTATTGTAGATAAAAATCCGGAATACAAAATGAAACGAACAAATCATAGATAATACACATACATTAGTCATAGACAAGACTTATTAACTCCATGTAGACAAGTAGCTCAAGCACTCAACAAAAATATTTACGGGCGTTGGCCACTAGATGGCTTCGCTTCGATTAGTTTCTCATTGCTCCCGGCATGGCAGTAACATATTACCTATCCTTTATTTTATTTTTAATGAAGGATTTTGTAAATTTTCAGAAACCACAAATTGATAAAATTTAATCAATTTGTCTATAACAACAAAATACTTGTATGATTTATTATTTTTTTATTTTCTGCGTTTAGATAAACAATAATTATTATTAAGAGCCTTAACTTTAACAGCATGTAAGTTTAGGGGCAACCGCTAACAGATGTCGCTAATTTCCATACACAAAAAATGTTTGTCTTAAAGTATCGCAGCTTCAGCCCTGGGGCCAATCTAATTCATTAATTGATTTGCAGCGATATTTTTCATCACTTATATCGCCCGATGTCTCGGTTACGTGGCCTACGAAATGTTTGAAGGCTTCGAAGTAACAGAATCAGTTAAGACGAATACAACGAAATCGAATCTTTCAACAACCGGCAATGTATACTTTACAGAGAATGATAACATCGTTCTGTACGAGGTGAGTGGAAGTTAAAATCTTATGATCGTATGATAAGCATCCTTAATAATCTATTTAAATAAAAATGAATTGCTGTTCGTTAGTCTCGCTAAAACTCGAGAACGGCTGGACCGATTTGTCTAATTTTGGTCATGAATTATTTGTGGAAGTCCAGAGAAATAAATAAAATATCGGAATTAAATAAAAATAACAATTTTGTTTTTCCTTTGATGTGGGGGACAAATCGGACGGATTCCTTATTCAAAAATTTAGGTCTTTTATTTATCGATTGAGGCACTACGAAGTCTGCCGGGTCAGCTAGTATTATAATAAATGTTAAAAAATCTTCTTAACGATCATTGTTGCACTATATTCTATTACTAAACGTAAATATTTATTTTTTGTTACCTTATCTCAAATGACTTGCACACACAAGAGTTTGCACCATTTGGCTTTGTCGTACCGACTGATCTATTTAAACTAAGCGAAATTACATCTAGCCGTTTTAATTCACTATTTCTGTTAACGAGCTCGTGGCCTGCCGGCTAGTAAGTGAGTACCGGAGCCTATCATACATTGACACCCTCACCTCGAGACATCTCGTCGAACCCGTCGCTTGCGACGAAGGGCTCGACGAGTAAATTAACCCTCAGACACAGCCCACGAGTTTCTCGCCGGATTTTCATTCTGCAAAGCACGGCTCTTGCTAGGGTTCGTATTAGCAACGTCGTCAGGTTTGAGCCCCGTGAGCTCACCTACTAGTTAAGGTTACGCTGATATAGCCTCTCAAGGCTCTCAGCTTAGGTAGGAAAAAAACAAAAAAAAACTCGAGACATGATGGTTTAACGACTGCCCAAATGACAGCAGCGTGACGAAAATAAGCAGGACGATATATCAGATTAGTGCGTATTCAACAGAATATTCTACCATCAGCGAAATGGCGACAGTGCCGACGCTATGAAACCTAGGTCAAGTTTCAATTGAAATAACGCGTACCCAGTGCTATTTTCTTGTTAATTTAAAGAAAAACATTCCTCTGTCCTGGCTACGAAACGATATATAGATGCGATATGGATTTCAGAACATGACCGTAACACCGAAAAGGGTTTCGAAAATAAAACCTAAATGTCCTGAAAATGAGAAGCCGTCAAACATAGGACCGTACGAAGTACCCACTCAAAGGGACATCGTATTTTACATTAAAGATACACTAGTGAGGATGTACAACGAATACCATCAGAAGGCGTTGTTGCTGCTGAAAGACATTAAAGAGGTTAATTTATTACAATGTACCTATATTTTTACTGGTGGTAGGACCTCTTGTGAGTCCGCGCGGGTAGGTACCACCGCCCTGCTTATTTCTGCCGTGAAGCAGTGATGCGTTTCGGTTTGAAGGGTGGGGCAGCCGTTGTAACTATACTTGAGACCTTAGAACTTGTATCTTAAGGTGGGTGGCGCATTTACGTTGTAGATGTCTATGGGCTCCAGTAAACACTTAGCACCAGGAGGGCTGTAAGCTGTCCACCCATCTAAGCAATAAAAAAAAAAAAAAAAATATAAAAAAAAAATGTGAAAATTTTCATCGCCTTGTTGGTGTAATTAATAGTTATGCAGTACAGTAGGTACTAGTCGAGGAACCAATGTCTTTGTTTTTTTTTCTCCGACCAACGGTAGACTAAGGGATTATTCCACTACGTGCGGACAGGTAGGCAAGATTGTCAAAGATGAAGGTATTCTGCCTAAATTTTAATAATATCTCTGTTCTCGTCTCGTATATTTTTGGCATTAGTATATTGGACAGTGAATTGTACAATGGATATTAATTTCAATTGTGCATTTATTGTTCATGACCTATTATAGCTCTCGTGTAGCTATTATCCAATTATTTTTGAACTTTGTATAATACAGTTGTTTACAGTTTGTATGTACTTTGTTTACAGTTTGTATGGACTTTGTATGTACAGTTGGGTACAGTTAGGCAATTAAGGGATACTTCTTATCAAGGCACATCAAGTGGCGTCCGAGTATTTTTAAAAAGTAAATTTTGTTTCGTTCTTTTCAGCCAAATGACCACAGCTGGATATAACTTAGGATCTAATAAAATAGTAACACAACGCAACGTTCAAACCTAAACATGTGACTATAGTTAATTTGAAACGTGTAATTGGCCATAAATAATCCATCCTAACCGTACCTAAATTTAAGGCTATTTAACCTAAAATATGTGAAACAAATTTAAAATATTCAGGCTACAAAAGCTACAACCGAAATCGAACAGAAGTGCCACGTCAAACAACGAGAATCGTATCGAAACTGCGTAAAACGCGTCGGCAAAAAATGCGAAACGATCACGAAAACATTCGTCACTACAATAGAGAAGCAAAGGGAAGATGTGACGTCGTTCAATGAGGTTTTAATTCATATTTTTTTATTAATCTAGCTGGGCGACATGATGTCAGATGATTGACCTTATTACTGCGTGAATATTGCCCAATCCATTTATAGTTATTATAAATATAAAACTTTATTTGTTTTGTAAAATGATTATACCACTCTTCAAGCAGGAATACAAGTTTGCTTCGCGCCAAAAATATCCGATGCTAATCTCTACTCGTGCAGTCTCGCGATATGCCCTATCATTGTTACAGTATTAACCATATAACCATCCAAATATTAATATTGTTATATTTATAAACGACAAAATAAGATCAAAACTTTATATACAATTTAGTGATTTTGAATATTTTTTAACGTTTCTAAGCCACTGAAGCATTATTAGTGGATTTTGTATTATGTGTTTATATATGTGTCTTATAAGTAAATCGATCCTGCTATCTGTCGTATAAGAAGTGGCAGGCAATATACCGCTGTGTCTAGAGTGTAAATTATCTTCCATCAATCATGTGATTCAGTGATTTTAAAATTCAAATCATACTTCGATTTCAATGTCAATAAATCATACTTTTAGATGTCAAAACATATTGTCATGGATTTAAAAAAAAAAAAAGGCGCAATCTCGACAAAATCTGGTATCGATATCGACTGGTGGTAGGGCGTCTTGCTAGCCTGCACGGTTAGGTATAACCACCCTATCTATTCTTACCGTGAAGCCATAATGCCTTTCGGTTTGAAGGGTAGGGCAGCCGTTTTATTCTAAAACTGAAACTTACTCATATCTCAAGTTAGGTGGTGGCATTTACGTTGTTGATATCCATAGTCTCCGATAACTACTTAACACCAAATTAGCCATGAGCTCGTCCACCATATTAGCAATAAAAAGGGAGAAGAAATTAATTCAATATCATCACTAATGTTCCATTGAAATCAACAGGCTACCGTGTGCAATATTGCAGCGTTAAAAATGGATCCATTAAAATTAATCAAGATCATTGCGATGGAAGACGCATCATTGAGTTTCGCTCTGCCCGGTTTCTTAAGATTATTAAACGCATGTTCCAGATACTGTGATGAGTATGTTGATATTAAAAATGAATTAATGTTTCAAGAATTTAATGCAAGCATTGACAAAATTAGACTATGAGAGTAATGGTGGGCATCATCGATGTCATCTCAATCTGAGACCTGATGTCCAGGAACGTATATGTACCTACCTACTTATTTGTTTTAAATCTGATGTCAGAAACACACTAGCTGTTATTTAGGTTTTGTTAAAATTCTAATGATATGTCCGTCGTGTCCTATAGACACTTTTTGTTTTTGTGATATAAATATTACAGTCAAAGACTAATGATATAAAGTAGTAAATTGTAATTATAGGCTTTTAAAATTACTATAAAATACTTATATCACACTTTTCTTTCACTGTAGGTCTCCAAATACAACAGCACTTAAAAAGCCACTCCGACACATGACAGACCAAGACCTCGTCGTAAAGCATTTTCTAACCAAAAAGACATACATTCAACTCATAAAAGGGACAGAATAAATGACAAAAAAGAAGGACGCATTCTTAGCATTCATTACGAATGGACGTATCCAAAGCGATCGATCGAACTTCAAGAATTTCGCGTACCAGCAACTAGATGTCACCACTGTCAATGAACTTTTGACATGAACTTAATCGTAACTTGAATAACTTAACCAAAATACTCTAAGCTTTTTATGTGATGTGAATAACAACCGCCGTGAGAACTTACTCTCCTACTTGATGTATTTAAATACAATGTGTGCGAAACATTAGTGTTTGTTTTAAACAGTTTTAGCCATATCCTGGTTTTTGTTTAACGAAATGTTCAAAAATATGTTCAAAACGGTGAGTCTTGCTATTATATACGTTTATATCCCTTATGTACCATGATAAATTTATAATTCTGCGTGTTTAGGTCAGTATAGTTACTGATAACATCAAAAAGTTGGTTAAATTTGAAAAAGTTTAGCCCACTTTTCATACGTCAATTTTTGAAGTCACGTCCGAGAAATGTAAGCAGACACTAAGTGTTATCAGATCTTACAAATCTGTGCCTAAAGCATGTCCCGTTTATTTTTAACGCAAAAATGGGTATTATTCTGTTAAAAAACTCAATACCTGCCAGTTAACTAGTATTTTTAATTTAATTTATTTCATTTTACTGGCCATTTAAAAAATCTGAGTGCAATTGAGAATACATTAAAAAATGTTTAAATAGCCCAGTATTCCTTCCAGTATATCCTTCACAACAAAAAAATATTCAACGAAACTCAATAAAAATAATTTGCAACATACTAAGGAGTCTAAAATAATTCAGTTTACAGATTCTCATTTGTAAATATTGAGCCAATTTAAAAGAAATACCGATGAATGTGTTAAATTTATTGAAGTACACCCTTATGTATATGTTACGGATTAGGAAAAGGAATGGTCATTGTAATTTTAAAGTGATCGAAAACAAAAATTATCACCGTTATGTTAGCTAAATGAGAATAAAGAGTCATAAGTTCAACTGTTCAAGTAAAACTTAATAAACATAGCTTTTCTAGTTTTGCCTTGGTGAAAACCAGTAATGGAAAATTATAGTACTAACCAGTATATCCTATGTTGGGTACAAAGTATTCCATTTATGTATTAAGCATAAGTCAACACTAATTCTGTACCTTATTTAAAACTTCAGTGCCTACTAATTGAAATTCTGAAACAATTTCAAGGCTGTGTACATGACACATTTCAGCACAAAATATAATTGTCATTATGTGTATGTATGATAAGCTCTTTAATAGTTTTAGTAACTTTAACAACAATTTGATTGTTAAAAAAAAAACTATTTACTAGAATTCAGAATTTATTTCGAATAATAATACACATTCACGATTCATTACAAAAGTGGTAATAAAACTTTAACACATTTCATCATTTTATTACCTTTATTGTTTTATATATTAGCCATTTGCATTTCTAGAATTTCTTTTTAACGTCCCCAAATGGACAATATCATTTTCAGGAGCCTTCTGCAATTAGAAAATAGGAACGCTCGTGCAAATCATATTACCATAACCCTTTCCACTCTGACTCTTTGACTTGATTATTTTTTCAGATAAATTTTACTTTCAAGTACTTTAGCACACATTCCATTCGCCTAGGTTACTAACATTGAACCCTGTTTTTGAATACATTAATATAACATAAACATTTAGTTACATAGTATAGTCATAAGATAAAATCCCTGTCCCGGCAACTTTGTCTGCTTGTAATTAAAAGGCTTAGAAATACAGTTTTACATTAAAAATATTCTTATATAAACATAGAACATAATATTTTAGTATATTACATATTTTTATATCAAACAATCTAATAAAAGCATAGCATGTTCCAAAAAAACTAATACCCCAAAATATGTTTCTTAATTTAAAAATCTTGTATATTAGCAATTATCAATGGAGAAAAATAGCCAATGAATAAGGAGAAATACAATATTAGTAACATTTTATATTTGTGTAGCCTTCTTGTAAGCTATATAAGCACATGCTGTTGGAATCACTAACATGAAAGAACTACGTACAATTGGCTACGCATTAACCATCTGGTAGACAGATTGTATTTTACCGTGGGAATGACAGTATTGCTGTAAACAATATCCTATGTATTGTACCTCAGTAATCAGTTCTCATCATAACAAATTCCATCAAAATCCATTAAGCAGTTTTTGCATAATATGTGAACACACAAACAAAAAGTTTATGGATTAGTATTTTGTTTATATCTAGTTTACTAGTATGTAACATTCTAGTTTACCTATTAGTTATCAAAAAAGATTTGATCTATAGACACAGCTTTCCTATTTTTACTATATTAATAAATAGTAATATGTAATTGCACTCTATTACTTTTCGGTATCATGTCCGCATAACAGTTGTATACTAGTAAAAAACTAACACTTTCTGATTTTTTATGTTTATCATTGCCTATTATAGATTAAGTTTATACTAATGCATCATTGATTAAAAAAGTAACTAAAAAGATAAAATTCAATTTCATGATTTGAACACTATATTTAGATTAACCTGTATTCAGGCACTAACTTTGACAACAGAGTATTGGTTTAATGACTGGTGTGCATGAGTGTGATCAATGGTAAGAGATAAAATATGATAAGAATCAACGATTATTTATGTTTATTACCTAAATTACTATTANTAATGCATCTTTGATTAAAAAAGTAACTAAAAAGATAAAATTCAATTTCATGATTTGAACACTATATTTAGATTAACCTGTATTCAGGCACTAACTTTGACAACAGAGTATTGGTTTAATGACTGGTGTGCATGAGTGTGATCAATGGTAAGAGATAAAATATGATAAGAATCAACGATTATTTATGTTTATTACCTAAATTACTATTAATTAATCTGATATTGAAGTATTTATTAAAATATAAAACTATGTTCATACAAAATATAATGTAACTTCCCAGAAATTTGTTAAATCAGGGTATTAAAAATGTCACAATATTATAAGGTTATTACTATACTATATAAGTATTTATTAAATTTTACCACAAATAATAATTAGATGATTAAACATTATCAGTCTTCTATGAACTATAACTTTTAATATTTTAACTGAATACTAGGATTTTATTTAGATAATGAGATTTATTGAATACTATTTAAAAATAAGGATAGTTCAAGGCTATCAAAAATCTAGCAGTTTATACATGGGATAGCAGTAAGCTGTTTTCGATACATTAGAAATTATTTTTAAAATAATAAGAAATCCTAAATACAAATGTAAACTTAAAATGTAAATTTGCAATCATTTCTTGCTTTTCTTTTTTTTATGAGATTTCTTCTTTGTTTTCTTAGATTTCTTTTCCTTTCTTTTCTTTTTTATATCTTCTTCTGAACTGCTATCGGATGAATCTGATGATGAACTGCTATCACTACTGGAGGAGGAACTTGATGATCTGTCACAAGGAACGATTGAGCAATTTATTTATTTGCTAAAAAAAACCGAAATAGTACAGTATTTCAAACATAAATCTATTTCAGTTAGAAGTCTTAAGTTATCAATTATTTTGTAGTTATCAATACTTTGACTCCAAGTCTCAAGGTCCTAACTGATTAACATCAGCCCGAGCCAGCTGCGAGTTTATCAACTCAATTATCACAAGTCAAAAAGATCATACAATTATAATTATTGAGATGAAAGATTTTGAAAGATGAAATTCAAAATGGTTTATTGTTTTCATAGCTTAAACAGAAGAGAACGGAAAATATCTCAAATACCACAAGCTACTTTGTATTTTTGTTCTATTTCTCTAATCAATTCAAATAAAGAGGAATATTTTTCATATATCTTAATAGAAACCTCAACATTCAGTTAAATATTGATTGATATTGCAGAACAACATTATGTTGCTGTTTAAAAATAGCATTTAGCTTTGCAAGTCCATCTGCAAAGTCTAAAACCAAATAGCAGATGTATGGGGTGGTGAGAAATATCAATTGTTCCAAATTATGCTATTGGACACACAAAAAAACTATAAAGAATAAAAATAATCCAACATTCTTACGTAGATCTCTTTCTTTTCTTAGTACTTTTTTTCTGCTTAGCTTTCTTAAGTTTCTCCGCTAGTTTCTGTTTCAGTTCTGCTTCTCTTAGTGACTGAAGTGGTGTTGCATAATCATCACTGTCACTGCTTGTACTACTCACATCCAATACTATCTCTTTATTTGGATCTATCTGAAAATTAGATAATTTAACAAATCAAAGATAACTACTAAAGTCGTTAGTTGCACTGAACACAATCTCAACATGTGGGGCGCGTGCATCGGTATATACAGTGACAGTATGCAGCAGTGTAGAATGAGATCCTCGTATCGCAAACTTTGCTTTCATCTCAAAGCAAAATATTGCACGCTCTGTGGTTCGTATGTCAAAACACTTGTATATTAGAGCACTTAAGGAAGTCCTCTTTCTTTACATATATTGTAAATGTTATAGATAGGTTAATCCCATTTTTTTATTTAATCAAAGTTTTTCTACAGTTAAAATTGCCTGACTTATGTGGTTAAGGCCATCACCCATAGATCAACAATGCAAGAGACATACACAAATACAAGAAATACAAATACAAGTGCTCACTCACATAACATGCTCAAGCTGCAATTTATGTGACCTATATCTATGACTGTTAATAACCACAAGATTTTTTTTTGTAATTTTTCTTTATGGTCACCCTTGTAATTTGGCTATATAAATTACATTTTTATCCAAAAAAAGCACATAACCTTAAGCAAGATATATGTCTTTACTTCATTTTGGTATGAAAAACACCGTTTGTTTTAAATGCTATCTTCTTTATACTTCGCGAGTTACGTACTCACACGCTGATATTTATTGTAAGTTGTAAAATGAAAATGTTAAGCGTCATATTAAACCGAAATGAGTTGTTGTTTCAATTAGTTGTTCAAACTTGATTCGGCCACGAATATAGTGAGGTGGCTATTAGAAAAGGAAAATTAAATAAACAATAATGATATCGTAACTTACTTTAATAAAATTTCGACATTGAAATGTTAAATGTCCCGCATAACCACACTTCTTGCAAGCAGCCCTCGACGAATCTTTTCCAATTTTATTAACGATATCAGGATAATTTGACATTATCGAACAAGGTTTTATCTTATAAAACGCGTGAAAAATTTCACGAAGCAAACTTTCATCAGCCAACTTTACAAACAATTACTGACACTTGACACTTGACAGCGGTATCATTTTTTTAAACTTTATTATCTATTACCGCCTTGAACTAACGTCTATTGTCTCGTGAGCCTTAAAACAAGGTAAAACGTTTCGTTTAACGCAAACAATATTTTGAAAATACAAAGTAACAAAATTATACACAAAGATAGGTATTTAATGAACTGACTATAGTTATTAAATTTTAATATAAGGTTATAAGTTAAAAAAATAATGTATCTCAATTAGTTCTTTAATAAAAGCGTTTGCGTTTAATTTAGTGACGAATACTAAAGATATTTTGTAACTCCTTTCAGTAATGAAAAGGCGAAAATTTATTCTATGCCGCTACAAAAACTAACGAGAAATGTACCGAAATGGCTGAGTTCCTGCCTCTGTGTGATGTCCTCTTCAATGTTATCTCCCTTGCGGGATATTTCTGCGATGTTGTATTCGACGTTGTAATGGGTTACGCATTGCTTGAACGAGGATACAAGGGCACCTTCGCGGCTGCCATATCAATAGTCATCACCTCACTTTTAATATCACAGGTTTGTTTCAAACTATATATATATATATATATATATATATCGACGCTTGAAAGGCAAACATGACTAAGCGACAATGCGTGAACTTTACAGTAGACTAATTTAAAGTTGAAATACCTGAAAACAAAATTTATTTTAACGAATTTAGCTGTAGTAGAATCTAGCTAGTAGCTGTAGGATTGAAATGATTTTAATAGACCTAGAAATAATTTTTTTTTGCGCATCGAATATGGTTATTGCCTATCATTTATGTACAAAGCAGTTATTGTCGCTTAGTCACGTTTGCCTTTCAAGCGTCGATATATAGATATATATATATATATAATAAAAATACATTCTTAAAGTATTTGAAAACATCTCAATCAAATGATTAATAATGCAAAAACTACGTTTTCCCTCACATATTTCAGGGGTTGGTAGACACACAATAGACATGGTATTAGCCATTTAGAAATCTGACGCACGCTGTCAATAGGGTTTTGTATAACGGCTACTGTATTTTTCAAACTGGACGGCATTATAATTGGTAGATACAAAAAATTGGCAAATATGTAATGATAATATAGAAAAATTTCAAATTTCCTACACTTTCATGCTAAAACTTAACCATAAAAATTATCCTTCCTCAAAAACAGTGTAAAATTTTTTCTTGAACATTTGATTAGGTTCTCTCTCTTCGTTGGTACCTGCATGTTTGGTGGGCAAGTGAAGGTAGGAAAGACCGACCTCCTTGGCTTCCCATCCTATTGCATTGCTTGCAACTGGGTGTCCTATGGAGATATGCTCGCCTGCTAGTGCCAGTCGAACTCAGAAGGGTCAAACATCAGGTCAGGGATTTGTGTGAGTAAAATTTTTGTAACTATAATTTGTACTTAAAAATATAATAAATATTTGAAACAAGGTCAATCAAGGGTCAATTGAAGGTTCCTAATTCGATATCTCTTTATTCGATTTTCCTAAGTCTATCATAATATGTATTTTTTTTAATTTAAGTAGAGCGTATCTGGCACGACCAGCGCATTAGACTTCATTAGTTATTTTACTATCTGATTACTGTTTTCTGATATGAAGGTATGCTGCGGCTAGTCCACGCCTTTTGCGAGGCGGCCCCTATGCTATTGCTCCAACTTCACATCCTGTTCAAAGACACTGCCTACCAGGATCTTCAGGAGACCGCCAACGAGCTAGGAATAACTCCAGAACCTAGCATAGATGAACCTGCAGGTAAGAGGTCACCAAAGTTTGCTTTAATGTTATTAACTTTTGCCATTTAATATATTAAAAACTAGCTGACCCGGCAGACTTCGTAGTGCCTCAATCGATAAATAAAAGACCTAAACTTTTGTATAAAATAAACTTAAAACAAAACAAAGAAAACCGTCCAACGGGGAACACATCAATTTTGTTTTTAATTGTTATTTTTATTTAATTCCAAGCATTTTCATATTTATCTACCTTTTAAACCTTCCCTGGGCTTCCACAAATAATTCAAGACCAAAATTAGCCAAATCGTTCCAGCCGTTCTCGAGTTTTAGCGAGACTAACGAATTCATTTTTATATATATAAATAATAATATATACATAGATTTATTAGATGTAATACATATATTGCCCATTAAATAAATTGCTCCTTTTCAGCAAACAAGGCATTCGCAGAATTAAACGTGATATCAGCATCGTTGTCATTGTTCTCCGTGTGCTGGGCTTTAGCTAGCTTCAGTAAAAATGTGCGCCTGCAAAATGTACACCGACTCGTATTGACATGGCTCGGAGTTATATTTCAGGTTAGTTACATAGATACATTACAAATGCAACGGCTATTTTAAGCTGTATGGAGTATAAACCCTTTGCTTATTCGTACTAGAAAAAATATATTATAAAACTAAAAAATACAAAAAAGCTACTTATTAATTACATACCAATGATGCTGCAATAAAATACTAGAACGTCTAGACTATTTTTTTATTTGCTTGTCCTCATCTTCGTTTTTCGTTATATTGTTTTAATTGACACTTATGTCATTAGATTATTTTTTTACCGAATATTCAAATAATGTCACTCCCACAAAAAATTCGGAATACATTACCTTTCATCCTCAGTTAATTATATAGCTTATTGATTAGTTTTTCAGATAATATATTAACAAAAATAAACGTTTATTAATAACAAAACTAAAACTCATTTCATTTTCAGTTCCTATGGCGTTTGGGAACGGTATCGGCACGAATTTGCGCGCTAACAGTCTACGCTCTAGTCTATGAATATTGGGTATTCTTAGTTATAGGTGAGTATTATTATTAATGACTAGCTGACCCGGCAGACTTCGTAGTGCCTCAAACGATAAATAAAATACCTAAACTTTTGTATAAAATAAACTTAAAATAAAACAAAAAAATCCGTCCGACGGGGGCCACATCAAAGCGAAAACAAAATTGTTATTTTTATTTAATTCCGAGCATTTTCTTAATTATCTACCTTTTAAACCTTCCCTGGACTTCCACAAATAATTCAAGACCAAAATTAGCCAAATCGATCTAGACGTTTTCGAGTTTTAGCGAGACTAACGAACAGATTGAAAAAAAAATTGTTTGTCTGTAGAATCGGTTTACGGACGATATTTTTATGTGTTAACCTCAGTAGCAGAACTATTTGAACGTCTAGCTCTGACGTCACGCGAGAAGAGAACTAAATGTGTCACAAGCCAACGCCGAACGTGCCTCTCTATCGTTTGTTCCGCGCTCTCGCTTGCACGCTCAGGTTCAGGCGGAACATGACACTTTTTCGTTCATGCAGCCGGTGTTCACGTAAATAATATATTTTTTTAATATGGATATATTATCTATATACATAATAATATATAATTTATAACTATTTACACACGGTCAAACCAAGTTTTCCTTATATTACGCAACCGGAGACTGTTATACATATACAGGGTGTTATAAAACTACCCCGTTTTATAAATGATTATTATTTATTTTTTATAAATTCGGCCCGGCGCGGCAATCAGCGTTAGTAACAGCTGCGCTATCGAGTCAGTCAATATTTTTATAGTTCAATGCTCGCGTCCGATGAAGGGCTCGGTAAATTAACCCACAGACACAGCCCACTGAGTTTCTCGCCGGATCTTCTCAGTGGGCCGCGTTTCCGATCCGATGGTGGATTCTGCAAAGTACTGCTCTTACTAGGGTTAGTGTTAGTAACGTCGTCAGGTTTGAACTCCGTGAGCTCACCTACTTGTTAGGCTATCAGCTTAGGTAGGAAAAAAAAGTTCAATTACCTAAAATGTATCTACTGTTTATTGTATTTTTTTAATTACACTTTCTTAATCTATTTTCACGTCTCAAGCTTTACAATGCCTTTCATTTACATAGGTCTCCATTGGCTATCGATGTTTCTGTGGTTGATATCGCCAAAGAACGTGTTCCACGGTGAGAGGATAAGCCGACCGAGGAAGGCCTGTCTCTCGGCCCTCATAGCGTTCCTCTACGTCTTCGCTTACGTTAATCTGCATGAGCACAACCATAGACAAAAAATGGTGAGTAATTTTTTTATTTAATTAATTTTGACCTGTCATAAAAGAGATCCCATTCACAGCAATTACAATATTTTGCGTATTAAATAAAATTTAAACAAAACTGTAAAAAAAACAAAAAGGACAAATTAACTTAATGTCATCTTATTTCAAAAGTGTTTTCTATCATAATTAAAACGACTTTCACGGCTTTGTCTTCTCTCGTTTAATATTTTNAGTAATTTTTTTATTTAATTAATTTTGACCTGTCATAAAAGAGATCCCATTCACAGCAATTACAATATTTTGCGTATTAAATAAAATTTAAACAAAACTGTAAAAAAAACAAAAAGGACAAATTAACTTAATGTCATCTTATTTCAAAAGTGTTTTCTATCATAATTAAAACGACTTTCACGGCTTTGTCTTCTCTCGTTTAATATTTTTTTATTTTTTTATTTGCAACGCTTGAAATACATAAGTTTTCGCGGTCAGGGAGGACTAGGGTATTTATTGTAACTACCCTCGAAATATTCTACAATTTTTTTTATTGAAGTGTATATTTCTTTGCGCGCAGAAAGAATTAAGTCTATCAGTTTCCTATTTCCTAGACCTCCACATTCATAGTTAATATTCTCTTACCAACCTCATTTTCATTTCTTCTCATCACATGTCCATACCATCCCAAACGCGCACTTCTCAGCTTCTCTTCTCTCCATACCATCTTAATTATCATGTTTATTTATTACTCAGATTTAACGCACGCAGAATATTTTGATTGTAGTTTTTTTTTTCTCTTTTTTTCGGTAAAGGTGAACATGGCCTCATCGCTAAATACGAGTACACAAATTCTATTATTTTATAGACGTGTCTGTACAGGTGACGTTCTACAGTGTGATGTGCATAGAGAATACACTGCTGGTGGTGTCGTGGTGGTGGTCAGGGAGAGGCGCGGGCTCTCTGGTGGCGGGAGCCGCGGGATCCTTCATCGCTGGGATCGGATTCATGCTCCTCTACTATAGGTATGCTTTTTTTTTTATTATTGCTTACATGGGTGGACGAGCTCACAGCCCACCTGATGTTAAGTGGTTACTAGAGTCCATAGACATCCACATCGTAAATACGCCACCCACCTTGAGATATAAGTTCTAAGGTCTCAAGTATAGTTACAACGGCTGCTCCACCCTTCAAACCGAAACGCATTACTGCTTCACGGCAGAAACAGGCAGGGTGGTGGTACCCACCCGCGCGGACTCACAAGAGGTCCTACCAACAGTAGTAACATGCATTAAATATTTATCTATCCATTGCTAATAATAATTGGTAAAGTGAATGGAAGACTATGAAGAGGTCGGAGTGTCAGACGTGGTTCTATTTGAGGGGACTGGGCTCTGGAGGTTAGGGGCTATTTTAAAACACTGACTTCATGGTTAATATATATTACAAACCCTACACTATTACATATTTACAATATTTTTATTTTTATATAACCCTAGGATGTTTCACTGGACAGTCTTTAGATGAGAAGTATATTGTCAATTGTCATAACAGAAGACAAATAACTGTTATAACATTTAAATAAACATTCCGATAAACGAAAACTGTCACTTCACATGCGTCAAGTGTTGTCTGCCATTACTTACACATTCAAACCCCAACACGGAGCCAGAAAAGATGGAGTGATCAAGTCTGTCTGAGCACCTGCGCGAGACTGAGCGACGCACTTCGCTGTGCCACTGACCGACAAAAGTGCCTTTTTTTTTTCTACCTAAGCTTATGGTCTAGAGAGCCCATTTCAGCGTCACCGGACTAGTAGGTGAGCTCGCGGGACTCAAGCCTGACGGTGTTGGTAACGCTGGCCCTAACAAGAGCCCAATTTTATAAACGAATAAAAAAAATGTTCAAACTGTAAAACATATTTCCTTAATTTTTTTTTTAGTTAAGCCACTTACTTCAATTGTAAGGGTGCGTTATCATTAATGTCGCATTTCACGGAACCGCCATGTAAAGCGTACAAAAGTTGGATAATAAATAAATAATGATGTACTTCAATTAGTCCAAGTTAGTTCAAGTCCTGGAACTAGCTCAGGGGGGGTCATGACCCCCATGACCCCCCCCTGGATCCGCCGTTGCTTCGTGGCTCTTTGTACCCTCAGCTTCCATTTGCAAATGTATAAATTAATGTGTCTTGGGTCCAGGTATTTCCACGTGAGGAGGCTGGGGTACATGCTGGGTGAGAACCAGCAAGGCACAAACAGCACTAACGCATCGACGCAAAGCAAAAACGGTATTAGTTACACTCAAGTTATTTTTTAGAAAATAAGTGTCGACACGTAGGTACCACCACTATGCCTATTTCTGCCGTGAAGCAGTAATGCGTTTCGATTGGGCGGGGACAGCCGTTGTACTGTTAAAACCGACACTTTAGAACTCATATCTCAAGGTGAGTGGCGGCATTTACATTATAGGTGTCTATGGGTTCCGGTAACCACTTAAAACCAGGTGGGCCGTGGGCTCGACCACCCATCTAAGCACTAAAAAACAAGTGTCCTTACAGCATATACACGCGTTACGGCTTATCCACATTTTCCTTTATTTATCTATCAAAATGTTTTGTTACGACGCCGCAATGTACAAGCCATTACAACGCAGTGGTTATTAAAACTAATTTTAATAATAATAAATATTAATAGCTGGGAACAAATTACGCACGGTCATCCGGTCCCTAATATAGAATTCCCTGTTTTATGGATACCAGACTGACAAACATAATTATATACAGTTAAATATATACATATCGACGTTTGAAAGGCAAAAGTAACTAAGCGACAATAACTGCTTTGTACATAAATGATAGGCAATAACCATATTCGATGCGCAAAAAATATATATTTCTAGGTCTATTAAAATAATTTCAATCCTACAGCTACTAGCCAGATTCTGCTACAGCTGGATTCGTTAAAATAAATTTTGTTTTCAGGTATTTCAACTTTAAATTAGTCTACTGTAAAGTTCACGCATTGTCGCTTAGTCACTTTTGCCTTTCAAGCGTCGATATATAGATAATGAATACCCTGACAAAGATCAAACAAACAAGCAATAATATCAATCATACAATGTTTGCTCGATGTGGGAATCGAACCCACGACCCTCGCCGCAACATTCATGTCTGCTAATTACTACATACACCACCGAGTCACTCAAACATTTTAATCTCGCTTTTTTTTTATTGTCCGTCCATGTCCACCGAGACAGAAAGAGGCGCACTATCTCTGTCGCACACTACTTATTACCTTTTTCAGTCGTTGTTCGAATGCGGTAATGTAAAGTTGTACTATTGAAATGTCTTGCGAGACAGAGACAACACGCTACGAAGACGAAATTAGCCGATTGTCTCTTTCCAAAAACCGATGTGCAGTATTTATCGTCGGGTACTGTAACGTAAACGAAGCGTTCGAAATAATTTATTGATAATAAAAAACGCAAGATAATAAATTGTAAAATTAGTTTTAATTACACTGTAAAGTGCTTTTAAAGGTCAGTTTCACTAAAACAATTCTTTGTTTTTGTTTCATTACTTGTCAGGTAAACCGTCCAGTCCCGGAGACAATGTGGCGATACCAGGTGTTTTTAACTGCCGTTTTACCAACCCAGTTAATAATAGGTAAGTAAATTTGCCTAGATTAAAACAATTTTTGCAAATTTAACAAGTTTTTTCTTATTGCTTAGATGGGTGAATGAGCTCAAAGCTCACCTAGTGTGAAGTGGTTACTGGAGCCCATAGACATCTACAACGTAAATGCGCCACCCATATTGCGATATAAGTTCTAAGGTCTCAGTATAGTTACAATCACATTAGTTCATATCAAATAAATTGATTACGCAATGGAAATTTGACGGTATTAAGTGAACCCGTCAATGTAATGTAAAATTATTGATTCGTTAATTAATAATTTGTTATAATGTAATTAATACAATAGAACTTCATCGGCACTATAAATAATAACATTTTCTGTTATGTCCGGCGACTGTGAATATGATTAAAAGATTTTTTTTTTAGGTTTTAATTTTAAATTCAAAAAAACATATATTAACACATGTTTTAAATTTTAATTTAATTTTTGTTCCTTTCATGACAAAAACTATACAATATTCGAAGTATCTTTTCAACATATTGATTGATAAGGACAAATTTAAAATAGTGGAGATACAACCTTTTCTTTCTGATATCTTTGAATGTTTGTTGGGTTCCGTCGCCGAAGACGACTATAATGGCGCGTGTTGGTTTAGTGCAGCAAACGGCCGTAAGAAGAAGAAGCCGACGTCGTTCGTGCCTCCCCCCGCGCACCCCCCCGCGGCTCACCCCGCGCCCCTCCCCGCGCACTCCTCTGCCGCCTTCTGGAGACGCCCGCTGGCCGGCGCACATCCACATCACGTCAGTACACCACAGTTTCTTCTTCTTTATTTTTTAGCTCCGGCACGGTTTGTGCATTAGCCAGCGTCAAGTAATATTATGGTTCTATTGTCAAACACTATTATAATTCGATAATATAATCACAGTGTTCGCCAAAGCTGCACTATAGATAAATAATATTAAAAACAAACAATATTAATGATTAATTACATACAAATCCACCCAAAAAAAATACTCTACCAACACATTCAGCAGCAGATCGGAATGTTTTAGTACAGACATCGTAATCTTCATCATACGTAAGCATCATCATCATGCTCCTCCACCGCCATTGCTACAATGTCCTGTTTATTTCTACCGCGAATAACCGGCGGGGTCCTTATTCATATTTAGATCGATAAATAAAAACAAATTGACAAACAAAAATCGACACATGTAATCGATACATGTAAATAATTTTTTTGATATAGTAACACAGTATAACGTGCTTTCCTAACAGGGAGGCTCGTCGGAGAACGAGGGATCAAGCGTCGGATCCCGCGTCAACATACAGCAAAAGTTACAGGAGAAGAAACAAAAGCAGCTCGCCGAACTGCGCGTCATAGAGGAGGAGATCAAACAGGGCAAGCTCGCCAAGACGACGCCCGTCGCCGCCGAGGAGATCTACAGCAGCCTCCAGAGGCAACCGATACCGAGGGCGAAGACGCACGCCGAGCCCCCGCCCTGGCCCTCCATAGAACTCACGCACTCCTACCAGAACTACCCGGTGCTGCCTCACAACTGCGGCCTCTACCCTGCCTACACGGATAAACAAGACTTCGGCGCACAGAACAATGAGGACGCGAACGATCTAAAGATGAGGAGGATACAGAATCGATACGAAAACAGAACGTTCTATGAGAGTCCGGCCGGTGCCAGGAGCGAGGGCAGACCGCCGCTGCGTTCACCGAACTATATCGACAACAGGACCTACGACAGCAACTGCGCCAGTCCCAGGACCCTCAATAGTCCCGGGAACTACATAGCCGACGTCGCCAGTACTAACTACGACGCCATAGACAAAACTCGAAACGGCCTGTACAGCGAGGAGCATAGACAATTAGGAGAATATTCCGGTTACTGCGAAAACAATCAGTACAAGTACGAAGGGAAGGACGAGTACGCGTCCGCCTTGCATAACGCTTTATCGAACGTCCAGACCATAGATAATATGCGGAGTTATAACGAGAGCGGTGCGCAGTATGGCCAGAACTGTGAAAGGTTCGTGTATTCAGGGTTGCCCGGAAAGAAAATGGAACAGATCAGGAAAATGCAGAGGTGCAGGACTCCTGAGATATTGTTGGCGCCCCATTATTTGGAGGGCTGCAATAGACAAGTGTGCTGTCAATGGGGACCCCCGTATGGGTAAGTTTTGTACTTAAAAAATATTTATATTCCCTTCCGTTTAACAAACTACTTTTTAAATTAATATGTTATCTGTGGCCAATTGCAAAATAGTATTATGTAGATTAACCCTTTGATTGCTATGTAGGTCACGGGTGCTCTATGCGGCGCCCTGAAGTAATCATGTCGATTTCTGTTACTAAAGCGCTGGAATATCTAGTAGATCTGGGAAAGACGAATCCGAATCAAATCACCGGTGACCTACATGGCACTCAAAGGATTAAAACCTATTTCGTCATCAAAGGAAGTGAGGCTTTTCGAGAACTTATTTTTTTTAGTAACAGAAAGAGGACGCCCCTCTGGACTTTTCGAAAACTTTTTTTTTTTTTTTGTTGTAACAGGAAGAAAGAGGACGGCGCTCCGGCCAGTAGCGGGGAGGAGTCCAGTCCCGACGGACAGAACCGGGAGACGCCGCGGCCGCCCAGCGACATCGACAGCCAGGTTCTCGCAACTTGTCTCTGTTCACGTCAAATCTTACAAGCTGCATTATTATAGCGTTTGTCCTTGAAATTTAACGGAGACCATTAGCTATAAAAGTAGTACGGAGCAGTTTGCTTAGTGCGAGTTTTTTAACTTCTCGATCTCGTAAAAGTTAACTCAAATTTGTATGGAGTTGGAACGTTTGCCTACGTTTGCCGCTAGGGGCGCTGTTCCGTACAGGTCTCACCGGCTATCTATAACCCATTTTTAACATGAGATCGCGATCCCAAACAGCTGCCCCGGGACTGCAGTCAGATAGATTTTTTTATCGGATTTTATGACCTGGTAACTAAGACCTTTAGGTCAAGTCTTATTTTAATTTATATTCTTATTTTTCAGTCAGCCAAAACACAAAACGGTACAGAGTGTTATTTCCTGGTTTTTTTTAACATTCTCACATGGTTTTAGATATCTTTACCACGATCGTATACCTTGCCGAGGGAGTTCCGTTACTGGCGCAGAAGGCCCCGCCTCAGGGACGCGCACGTGCCCAGCAACAACAGCAGTGACGGTGAGCACCTGCACGCTTCTATCGCGTTACATTATCGACAAAAAAAAACTTCATAATATCTAACTTTTGTTTCATTCGTATATATAGATTGTTATATAGTTTAGTTATCTGTGACATAAACAACAAAAAAAAAACTTAGTTTTGTTGTTGTTTAATCTGCTTACTTTTACATGCATAATTATTATTTTTATTATAGGTATTAACATAATCGGTATGTAGTTGTAATCTCGTAATGCTGCTTTGAAAGTTAAATATGATCTACTCATTTAAAATCGAAATTCACACATGTGTAATGCCATTACGAATAACAGATGGCGCGTGTGTACGTACAGTCATGAAATCGCTTCAGATCAATTAGTTAATATAGTTCGTTCTAATATTTAATAGTTATAAAAAAATAAAAATGTTCCTATAGATTAAGAAAAGTTACATAAAATTTGATAAATTTAAATCATTAAATAATCTTATCTTTCAAACGTTAAACTGTTAGTTGAACTGGTAATACGTCCTCTTGTGAGTCCGCACGGGTAGGTACCACTACTCTGCCTATTTCTGCCGTGAAGCAGTAATGCGTTTCGGCTTGAAGGGTGGGGCAGCTGTTGTAGCTATACTGATACCTTAGAACTTATATCTCAAGGTGGGTGGCGCATTTATGTTGTAGATGTCTATGGGCTCCAGTAACCACTTAACACCAGGTGGGCTGTGAGCTCGTCCACCCATCTATGCAATAAATATGTATTCTATTATCATCGGTCGTTTATACGTGTGCTAACATTCAAGTTAATCCCGAAGATCACGTGGTTACACACAAAAAGATACAGGTCCAGCTAAAAGAAGGCGTTTTTAAAAATAATTTGTTCCTTTAGGAGACGTGGACAGCGCAGATAACGACAGCGATCGTCGTTCGAATTGTTCGGCGACTTCACAGATCCAAAGTCCAACTTACGGTGAGGCGTACCAGTACCAACCCCGCCCGGACCTGTACGGGGCATGTCCGCCCCGTACCAGACGGACGCACGGATACAGGAAACAAGTGCCTAAACCAGAGACAAAGTTATAGTTGACACTTCTAGTATATATCACAATCAGTCATTGTTTAAAAAAATAAGCTTAATATAGTCTTTATTACCTTGTCCACAAACTGTTAGATACATTTAAAAAAAAAAAGGTTATTTTCTTGTATTTATTTTCGTAATACAAGTCGCTTCCAGTACATTTATTGAGACATGTTATCGAAGTCTGCCAGTACTTAAAGTACGAGGGGAATCAAGTAAGAACAACCGATAACAATAATTGACGTATACTTTTTTTAAATTGTAAATAAACTTAACCATCCAAATTGGATCTCTCAAAACCTTTCTAGTTGTAATTATCTTTATTAACGAAATGCCATGTAAGTATACTAAACATTATTTTATATAATTGTATATTTGTACCTTTGTACGATACTGTATATTGAACAACTAATAAATGACAATGAAATGATATTTTTGTATCTCTTATAACGACTGCCTATATATTTCGGAAATTATTTTTCAATTTGACGCTTTTCACAACCCTATCTCTTTAAATGCGAGAAACTAAGAGCATTATCGTGTCACTACTGCCATCAAAGTTTTGTAATCCAGGCGCTTAGTAATTGAAATCGATATAAATACTTCAATGCGCCACTATTTTTCTCTACCTGTAACGGGTAAGTGAGCTCACGGGCTCAATTTAAGAGAATTTGCTACATTGACTTTCGCGGTGAAGGAATAACATCGTGTAATAAAAATCAATAAATTATAATTTGCGTAATTACTGGTGGCAGGACCTCTTGTGAGTCCGCGTGGATAGGTACCACCACCCCGCCTATTTCTGTCGTGAAGCAGTAATGCGTTTCGGTTTGAAGGGCCAGGCAGTCGTTGTACGGTTAAAAGTGAGACCTCACAACTCATGTCTCAAGGTGGATGACGGCATTTACGTTGTAGAGGTATATGGGCTCCGGTAACCGCTTAACATCAGGTGGGCTGTGAGCTGGTGCACCCATCTAAGCAATAAAAAAATGGCCCTAGCAAGGGCAGTGCTGCGCAGAATCCATCACTGAATCGGAATCGCAACCCACTGAGAAGATCTGGCGAGAAACTCAGTGTGTTGTCTATGGGTTAGTTCGCTTCCTTCGTCGTAGTCGACTAGTTCCACGAGAATGATAACTGTTGCTTGAGAAGTCTAAAAATACCATAAAAATACAGAGTGAATTCGGGGATCCGATAAGACATGTTTCGGGTGAAGGCGGCTTTGCGTTGCCCCGTCGCGGTCGGATAAGTAATTAGCGGTGGCCATGATAAGAGGGTTTTCGTGACGCGCTGCTTTGTCGAAGTAGCGTTCCGCCGCTTCCTTAGGGCTGAGTCACACCGGAAAGATCAGTATCGCTTGAAAAGCTAGAAAAGGTCGGGACACAGTCGCCGCCCGCCCGCGGAGAAGCGAGCAGCCGCGCGCCACGTGCGTCTTGTCGGTGGTTCTGCCAGTAGCGACACGAGGCCGCTCGCGACACCGCCCTCATATATAATAACCAATTCCGTCATGTTCACTCCAAGCATACGTTTTTTTTTTTTTTTTTTATTGCTTACATGGGTGGAAGAGCTCTTTTTTTTTATAGCTTAGATGAGTGGACGAGCTCATAGTCCACCTGGTGTTAAGTGGTTACTGGAGCCCATAGACATCCACAACGTAAATGCGCCACCTACCCATAAGTTCTAAGGTCTCAAGTATAGTTACAACGGCTGCCCCACCCTTCGAACCGAAACGCATTACTGCTTCACGGCAGAAATAGGCAGGACGGTGGTACCTACCCGCGCGGACTCACAAAAGGTCCTACCATCAGTAATTTACACAAATTATTATTTTGCGGGTTTCATTTATTACACGATCATTGCCGAATGAAGAAACTAAACTAGTCAAGAGGAGACTAGGCGCGTGCAGTCTGGAGGCCGCGCCATTCCGGTGTGACTCGCCCTTAAAATACTTACGTATCTGTACTACATTTAGGTCGTCGTGAAGATCTACATTCCTCACATACCACGGTGCTCCGACGGCTATCCTGCAGAAACGGGATTGGTTGACCTGGATATTTTTTTCCTACCTATGCTGATAGCCTTGAGAGCCTATTTCAGCTTCGCCCTAACACGTGAGCTCACGGGGCTCAAACCGAAGTGTTGCTAACACTGACCCTAACAAGAGCAATGCTTCCCAGAATCTACCACCGGATCGGAATCGCGACCCACTGGGAAGATCCGGCAAGAAAATGTAGTATCTGTTCTTTTCAGCTTAATATCTGAAAGTTCCCTCATTGACCTGGAAAGAATTGATGTGTACGGGCCGCGTGAGCGAACACTTGCATAGGTCATGACAAAACGTATTAAGGTTTATAAAGCATCACCTTGTTACGAAGGGACAATTTACTTTGCTCGCAGATCATAGGGTAAAGTCGACCAAGTAGGAACGCGGCTCAGTCGCGTACTTACCTAATATGAGGCTCGAATGCCATCGCCCTGCTTAAGCACATACCCTTAGAAGCCCGCGGTATGGGCTGGCTAAAGATTTTTATGGCGGGAATGAAGTTACTGCATCGGTGACGAGAAATGCGCCACGTAGGGTACCGGTGACCAACATGGCAGTCCAAGGGTTAAAAATTATTTTGCACACCCAATAAAACATGATAACTACATAATTACATCAGGTTTGCCAGCATCGAATTTTTCTTTTTAATACAAAGGCGGTTTATGGAATAAAAGAAACAATATCAAACTTTTATTTATTTTTATTATCTATATCNGAATCGGTGACGAGAAATGCGCCACGTAGGGTACCGGTGACCAACATGGCAGTCCAAGGGTTAAAAATTATTTTGCACACCCAATAAAACATGATAACTACATAATTACATCAGGTTTGCCAGCATCGAATTTTTCTTTTTAATACAAAGGCGGTTTATGGAATAAAAGAAACAATATCAAACTTTTATTTATTTTTATTATCTATATCCAATTGTAAAAGGGGGAACCAGTCACTCTATCACTCCGTGTCACTACGTTGCTACAGATCTCAGCCATTTACACATTTATAAAGAAAAAACATCAACCGAAATTACGTTTAAAAATTCACAAATACACATTTAATGTTGATTACAAACTAACTTAAACACTATTCGGTTTGAACAAAACGGGAGGCGTCATCACGTCAAAACAACATGTTTGGACGTTTTTTCTTCATAATAACGATAGTATTGGCGATAGAATAAGGACCGTACGCGATTCATACCAATGTATGTCTTTACGATACAAAACATTGATAGAAATCGTTGTTTTCAATGCGTTTTAAAACAGAGATTGTCGAACGGAAAGATCTGTGTTTGTAAACGCATTTATTAGCGTCTCGTTGTGCTCAAACCCGACTTATACGTTACTGCTCATCCACGGCAATGCGACGGCCACAAATATAAAAATGCAGTGAGAGCACCTACTTACTGTTGAAGCGGAACAAAGGGCTGTTTTGAAAACTAATGATCTGACAGTTACACGATCGTATTCGGAATTTAAATAATTCAACTGTCATTCGGCTCGTTTCTATTGTACTCGGAAAGATGTTTTTTTTTATTGCCCTTGTAGGCAAACGAGCATACGGCCCACCTGATGGTGAGTGGTCACCGTCGCCCATGGACTCCAGCAATGCCAGGGGCAGAGCCAAGCCGCTGCCTACCACCACCCGATTCTAGGTGGAGTTCATAGTCACCACAATCGAATGCCCCATCCCCACTTTAGGGACACAAGTTCCAACTTGAGGGTATCCGGTGTTACTCTATGAATGAACATAACAATTTTTGTGAGAAAATTATTTGTTGTCTTTCTGAAACGATACTACTTCTGGTAATTTTTTTACTTACATTACTTTACTATTCTATTGCACTATTTTCTTCATTCAATTAACAAGGCTCATTTGAACACAATGCTTAGTTATGCTAACTTATACCAACAAAAATGTACAATTTAGAAAAATCATTTTAATAATCAAATAATCAAAAATGCGTTTATTTGGCAAATACTTAATACTTTCCCACAAATTCGAGTTGCACACAGGAAACAAAGTCTGAGCCATAACATTCCGTGTTACCAATATTAACAAGCTTCAAATAGAGTCCTGTTTATTTTAATGTGAATTTACAAACAGCCCTATTATGATAACCATGCAAATTATGTGTATTTATTTACACATCTTAAATTTACATCTTAATTCGATAGCTAGACAGACCTCTCGCGATAGTGTCAGACTGCGTGAAATATTCTAAATACCATGAAAAGGAAACCAAAGTTACTTCCGAAATTACAAACGGATTAAAAGATAAAACGCAATGTTTATCATTAAAATCAGACCGTAATAAGAAAATACAACTTTTATATTTAGTACAATTTTGAAAAATATCACTTTATCGTGTAAATTACATTATTATAATTTCTACTTTTTATTTAATTATGTAGTGGATTATTTTATGTCTTATACATATTCTTTATAATGACGTACAGTTACCGATATTTTATTCGTAATAACGAAGAAAAAAAAAAANAATCAGACCGTAATAAGAAAATACAACTTTTATATTTAGTACAATTTTGAAAAATATCACTTTATCGTGTAAATTACATTATTATAATTTCTACTTTTTATTTAATTATGTAGTGGATTATTTTATGTCTTATACATATTCTTTATAATGACGTACAGTTACCGATATTTTATTCGTAATAACGAAGAAAAAAAAAAACATTTTTTGTCGTTTACGTCATGTTAATTTTACCAAAAAAAAATATTTTAGGAAAACAATTACTTTTCAACAAATTAAAAAAAAAAAAACAGGCACAGTTAAAAATAAAGCATCCCTTACACATCTAAAATTGTTTAATTTTAAACTTAGTCTAAGGGAATTATATACCTATAACATAAAATTACAACCCATGCTGCGTCGAACTGAATACATAAAAAGTATTGTATTAAAAAAATTAAAGTTCGTATCAACAAAAAAGAACGTTTAGAATATTAATGTGTAAAAACTGCGTCGACGCCAGTACGGGATCAATTAATCTAATTTTCGTTTGGAGTGGTGTTTCTTACTAGATGTGTAGGATGCGGCCGGGCTCGTCGCTCACGATGATATAAGCTGAAAAAAACAGTCTTTAAGAATCCTCAATAATCATGTTATAAAATTAATTAAATACACATCTCAATTTCGAAATTTTGTTTCATCAATATATCGAGCAGAAGTTACAATATATGGGCCAATCAATTACTCATAATCCAATAAAACAATTCGAAAGTATATATTTTAATTTATTGTAAATAAAATCCAATTTAAAGTGTTATTGGTACATGAAAAACAGTATTCAATTTATAAATGTATTTGTAAAACAAAAACTTGAGGAAAACATGCAAAATAAAATAAGCAAAAAATTCTACCTTGTAAAGTAAAGCGGGTGTCTATCCGTTCCACTTCATTTTATTGTTTTTTTTTTTATTATTATTTTTAATTAAACTTTTATTTTCATAATATATTATTATTGTAATAATATATAACTATGTCCTTTATAAACTATAGGTATACTATGTAGACATCTACACTGCTCCCTTAACTCCTAACATCTTAAATACACTGCAACAAACAAAACAAAATAAAAATAAATAAAGTTTTCAAACATGCATATTATGTGTGGTAGCGAATGACATCTACGTCATATGGAACAATTAAATTAAATATAGATTTATAGCTATAATTCAAAAGGTAATGAGTAAACCTTGTTCGGTTACCATAGAAACCTATTGTAACTGCAATAGCTCCCTCGGCCAGAAAAAAAAAAAAAAAAAAAAATCTGATTCAGCACTGTACATTTATGATATAAACATGCAAAAAAATAATAATTTGACAAAGTTTGAGTGGTCAAGAATAAAACATGTGTGCCATGTTACAGAGGTTGTGTACTAACCGACTTGACCGTGGCCTTGATGAAGTCCTTCTTGTGCGCGAGGTCAAAGTCCGGGTAGTGGCTGTAGACCTGCTTGCAAACAGTCTTCATAGTGATCTGCTCGAGGTTCGCGCCCTCCAGGATCTGCTTCACGTACTTCTTTATTTCCTCATCCTGTAAACATCATATTTGTAGTTTTACAAGAAGAGCCACGTATTCACTGAAACCTTGATCTTCAATTGCTCCAGCTAGACTGGAGGGTTTAGTACACTAGTTACAAGCGGTAGAGTGGTAGCCCGTATTTTATTATCAATATAATATGGATCTAATAGGACTGATTGTACACTAAGACGTAATAAAAAAAAACCCTACTAAGTCCCTGGTAGTCTAAGGAGCTATTCCAGCTACGCCCGGACGGGTACTTGAACTCAGGAGCTCAACCTAAGAGAATTTTCTAGCACTAGCCCTGGCAAGAGCAGTGCTTCGCAGTCTACAACTGGATCGAAATAGCGACCCACTGAGCAGATCCGGCGAGAAACTCAGTTGGCTGTGTCTGTGGGTTAGTTCGCTCGTCGAACTCTTCGTCGTAATTGATGAGTCCAACGAGGACTGTGACCGGTGCTTGAGAGGCCTAAAAGCACCAACGTAATATAATAATAATAATAATAATAACTCTTTATTTATATAACACCTTAATATGTACACAGTAAAGTAATAAAACAAAAGTCGGTATATAAATCGGCGGCCTTATCGCTGAAAGCGATCTCTTCCAGGCAACCTTATATGTAACCAATGTATGTAGTTACATTAGTAATGTAAATTATGTATCATATTTTTACCTTAAAACTTGTCACAATCTTTGCATTAAGCAGGTGTTAAAGCTGTTCAGTTACGAGATGGTATCAAGTCATCTCAGTAATAAACAAAACATATTTTCAATGCCCATTGAAGTACCCTTTTACCTTCGTTAAAACGAAACATTTTAGTGCTATTATTACTTAGTGCTATTAAAACTAAATATAGTTTGATAGTTAGATAGATAGATAGTTGATAGTTTTTCCATAAAATTAGAATAATCAATGGAATACACAAATATTTAGGGTAAAAGATGCAAGGTACAAGTTCATAATAATATGAGACGAATGTAAACCATACAAATTTAAGTTAAAAATTTCTGATACTTTTAAGCTTCAATTACAGGATAATTATTTAGCATTCGTATCGAGCGATGCACCGGTGTTCGAATCCCGCAGGCGGGTACCAATTTTTCTAATGAAATATTGACTTCCACAGTGAAGGAATAACATTGTGTAATAAAAATTAAACCCGCAAAATTATAATTTGCGTAATGACTGGCGGTAGGACGTCTTGTGAGTCCGCACGGGTAGGTACCACCACCCTGCCTATTTCTGCCGTGAAGCAATAATGCGTTTAGGTTTTAAGGGTGGGGCAGCCGTTGTAACTAATATCTCAAGGTGCGTGGCGCATTTTCATTGTAGACAATCTCTAATAACCACATAAGACCAGGTGGGCTGTGAGCTCGTCCACTCATCTAAACAATAAAATAATAAAAAAAAAAATGCTATTTTCAGATAACGATAAACACAGAAATAAAATCTTACAGTAGGCGGTCGTTTAGCCTTCTTGTCGGTCGGCGCGTCCGAGTCGTCTCCGCTCTCGTCGTCGCTGGCCTCCTCCTCGTCGTCGTCCTCCTCGCTTCCGTCGCCAGACTCTTCGTCGGACGAAGCCTTCTTCCCCTTCTTGGCCGGTCGACCTGCTGCGGCTTTACCAGCTACCGCCTTCTTTTTAGCTAAATTAAGTATTTTTATTGTGGTTATATAATTAAGCAAGATTGAACTATATTATTCTTCTAACAATTCATATGTTGTAAATAATAAAACGTATGTGAAATTTAAAAGTACTAAGACGACCGCTACTAATAGGGGCAGAAAAGTATGATCGCGTAAAGCAGTAAAGCGTTTTTTTTTTAGTTTTTTTAAACTATTATTTATTTTTCATGTTTTAGTTGAATTTCAATTTTTTCATTATTTTTTTTAATATTAATTTGTCATCGGTCCTCGATAAATCTACAAAGTTTGAATAAAATCTGGCCGTTTAAAGTGGGTCAAAATCGCGTCTAAAGGAGTCAGTTACAAACATACATTCAAGTGAAGCTAATATAAAGCGTGTAAAAAAAGGAGTATATTTAATATAGTATTCTAATATTTATATAAACTCATTACCAGGTGGCGTAGGTGCTTTCCGTTTTACGGGCGTTGCTTTAGAATTCTTTGCGACCGGACCCTTGCGTCCCTTAGCTACCACCGATGGCCGTCCTCGCTTCGCTTTAGGCTCCTATATAACAAAACAAATCTATAATACTTTTCCTCATTCTGTCGCCTAATACGTCTAAGATAGGACTGTCGAAACATCGGCCTGCGTCTCCGATTTGTACCACCCGTTGAAATCCATATTAAATATAGTAAATTGACTGATCAGTGTTTTGAATGTAGGTTCAAACTTATTGACTATATTATATTAATTACTTCAGGTTATTTTGACATGGGTTCCGAAGTATTAAAGAAACTTCCCTACAATGTACAGCTGGTGACATTTTGCTTGTAGTACGACCCCACCTGAATTTAATTTTACTGGTGGCGGTAGGACGTATTGTGAATCCGCACGGGTCGGTACCACCACCCTGCCTATTTCTGCCGTGAAGTAGTAATGCGTTTCTGTTTCAAGGGTGGGGCAGTTATTGTACTGTAAAAACGGAGACTTTATAACTCATGCCTCAAGGTTTACGTTATAGGTCAATGGGTTCCAGTAACCACTTAACATCAGGTGGGCCGTGAGCTCGTCCAAGTAACAAAGCAATAAAAAATAAATAAAAATAAAGCGATTACGTTAGCCGTAGAGTTTAAAGCACGTCCTACCACAAGTACCTAATATAATATGGATTTATGGGCATAATTATAGAATTCCGCCTGCAAAGTTATCCTTCTGATCGTAGTGCTTATAAACAAATACAAAAGCCCCTTACATCTGATTCCTCTCCGTCGCTACCGGACTCTGCATCGCTTTCACTCTCAGATTTTTCACTTTCCTCGTCACTTTCAGACTTTGCTCGTCTGCCGCGACTCGGTTTAGCCTGCTTATAAACAAATTTAATTGTTAAAAAATTATAAGTGTGTATTAAAAACGCCTTGTTTTCGAAAACGAATATATGGTACCACTTAATATGTTAGTGAGTTAGTTATACAAAGTGCGGATGGCGTTAAGAGCATGTAATATAGATTGGGTGAAGATGTTTTCCAGTCCGATCACAACTGATTCCACTTATAGTTAACAACTATTATATTATCTATAATGAATGAAATTATCTTTTTATGATTGAGTGAAATTTTTCGGTTTAAGTTCACATTTATAATTTATTTATTTATAAATTGTTTTTTTCGACAAGTTTTCTAAATGTGTATTTAAATTTTTTTTAATTCATGGCATTAATTGATTTAGCGGTAAATTGCACAGTATTAAAATTCCGACAAATAACATAAATTGTTAAGTATTCGAACTATCGGAATTCTCAAAATGAAAATAACGAAACGAAATAAAAAAATATTATATTAAATTATTATAATTTTTTTGACTTGCTGAAACCGAAGAATTCGACCGACCTTTTGGCGGGAATGCGAGGAGCAAAGTTTTATAAATTATTTATTTTGTAATTTTTAGTGTTTCTTCAGGTTTCAACGTGTAATAATGGTGGTTAATTGACCCTTATCATTTTTGGAAGTGCACAAATGTGGTAAAATGAAACAAAGACGCTGGACATTGCTTCTTAAAAAATTCAATGGAATCTAGTAAATAACCATTATTTTGCTGAAACTTTTTCATCCCATCTCGTTTCTAAATGAAAAATGAAAATTTCATCCCAATTGATTAAAGTATCAAATTAATCAACTTCCTTTCATTTCGCTTCATTTAATTTTTCATATACTGGCGTTTATATATGTGGTATAAGAAGCGAATTGCCATAGTTAAAAAAAGAAGAAGTAATCGACAGAATTCTCACGTCAAGTTAACACTTGTTTTGCTTTCTAAAACACTAATGGATCCTGTACCAAAGAAAGTCCTGACTAGAGAGGCTAACCTTTCCTTTCTTCCCCTTGCTGCTGCCCTTCTTGGAGGACCGTTTGGTGGGTTTCCCGGCGGATCGTCTCCGCGGCGCACGTTTTTTCGCGACGCCCTCACCGGCTTCAGGATCAAAGTCCGAATCCGCCTCCTCCGAGCCACTCGGGTTGAATGAACCCTACATACATAAGTTTTTTTTAATTATATCAAAACGATCTAAGACAAAAGATTATGGTATGATAACATACCAATTATCTGATTACACATTCAGTAGTATTATGAATATCCTCCCGATATATGGATATAGTGAAGTTATCAGTATTTTTGCTTATAAAAACTTAATATTTTGACAAAATAACTTGAACAACTTATCTTAAGCACAATATATTACTATTTCAAAATAATTATTTTGAAATAGTAATATAATTGTTTTTAGTCACAATGAACGATTCTTGCATCTGTAAATTAAATATACCAATCAATGAGTACTATAAAATGTACTAAACTTACGTCTGAATCTTCGGAACCTTCTTTAGTGGGCTTCGGCCCTTTGACTTTCGGTTCTGGATCAGTTTCATATTCTTCATCAGAGTAACCTAAAAATACAATTTTCATTACAAATGTGTAGCTTATAAATAAAAAAAAATAGATTACATTTTGCAAAATAATGAACAAGTTATGTAGTCTTCATTACAAATCATCATCATCATCATCATTATTTTCCTGCCCTTCTTCCAGTCACCTGGGGTTGGCGCAACATGTTTTTTCCTTCCATACTCTTCTATCATATACCATTTCATCGCTCACTCCCCTCTTACCCATATCGTCTTTCACGCAATCCTTCCATTTCTTCTTAGGTCTACTTCTTCCGCTATATCCTTCCACATTCATAGTTAACATAAATATATAGCCTAAAAAATTTATCGCGCGTTTCACTTCACAGAGACATAGATAGATAGGATTAGTTACCTCTGTTATGCACCTTGACGGCGGCGGACCTCCGGGGCCGGCCGCCGGGCGTGGAGGTGGGGGCGGGCGGGGGCCGCGCCACGCCGCGCGCGTGCGGACTGTTGGCGGTGGGCTGCTGCAGGAACCCCACCAGCCGCCCCGCCAGCTCCGACGCCGACCCTGTGCACACACTCGGCATATACTACATGTACGACTATCGTCAGTAAATAACGACGCCAAATCCATTCACTCGTTTGATGAAACCAATTGGAAGACACCTATTATTATTAATTTAATATCAGAATTCTTCACACATCTATCAAGAACATTAAGACCTTCAAGAAACAGTTTTTTTATTATCTTTTTATTTTTTTAAATTACTTAAAGATTCCTTTTTTGTAATTTTCCTATTTACCAATAATAGAAAATAAATTTTAAATTCGTAGAATTTATAATGCAACTGCAAAAAAATCGTCGGTTTTCACGTTTCGTAGACATAATTAAAACTACTCTTACTATTTAATTTAGGGTTTTTAGTGCATTACATTATTTTCTTATTATTTCAGTTAAAAATGGAACGTAAAGATCTAGAAATATTTAATACTTAGACGTCCGCGACTACGATAACTGTAAAATATTTGAAACATAATGACAATAAAAACGCTAAATTAAACAGTAATAGTTTTAATCATGAAAAGATTTCACTGCAGTGACCTGTCTCACCAATGGTCTATGCGAGCAGAGATCACTATTTATAGTAGGTCGTTAACTAAAAGATAAAGGACGATCCACAAACCTACCAAAACAATGAATTACAAGATGTAGGTAAGGTCAAACTTGATTTCAAAGCGCATACATCATAACGACCCTTTGTTGTCAATAGTACCAGTTAATGAAGGAAGGTTTAATCAATCCGCAATCCGAAACGATTACCGTTTATAAGATCGCGCGAATCAACTTAAAGCTTACGATTTCTAATGAAAACTAATTATTGTCTTCTGTGCGTATCTAAGCCGATTTTGATCGTAGTGCGACTCGGTTTTTCAAGTTATAGATTTAGAAAATTCGTTCGTTTCGTGAACCGCAATCTCGGGCGTGACACGAGACCTCATTTTGGTAGAGAAGCATTAAATAAAAGTGCAAAAACATTTTATTATTATTGACTTATCAAACACAAACACTTCTTGTCTTCCTTGTCCCGTCTTCGTTTTTAGGATTGGTACCTTTACACATAATATTTTAATATTACAACATTCCATTTTGTACTATGCAAAATTTTATTCTCAACAATGATAAACAAAATAATATACAAAATTACAAATCTGATTAGAATAAAAACTTGTATAATTCTAGTTTACCATTATACTAGAATCACTTTTCGTTCCCAGCCAATAATAATACTAGAAGGTTTCCTTGGAAAACTATCTTTATAATCATCATTTGTTTCAAACCCTCAATTGAAAAATTGAGAATATATAGAAAAACTAACCTTTTTTATCCAAATCAAGCATTTCGCACATTGTACGCAACTGTTTGGGCTCCATCTTGGTGGTCTCCTCCAGTTTAGCCTTGTAGTCGGACGAGCCGATCGCCCATTCGTAGCCTTTGAACTTCTTGATGTTGCGTTTCACATTACGATCCAGGCAAAGTTGCTGCACAGAAAGTTACTCATTAATTTAACTAATACTAAGTAATTGTAATTAGCATTTCTACGTCAGTTTATAAACTTTGACACACAATGTGTTTAATTCAGTATCATATTATCATGTTTCGATTCAACAACAGTGTTCAACAATAATTTTTTTTAGTAAATTTGAATTAAAAGTTGTGTAAGAAAAGATGATTTTATTGTAAAAAAAGCGTGGGGTGCATGGTATCAGTACTTATAAATATTTTATGAACAAATATGAACAGAAAGGTTATTTTGATAATATCATGAAAAGCACCCCCCACGCTTTTTTACAATAAAATCATTTTTTCTTACAGTATTTTTAATTCATATTTATTAAAATTTATTTTCTATTCTTTAGTTGGATTTTCTATAAAAGCGTATTTTCTTAGTTTTTTTAAACTATTGTTTATTTTTCATGTTTTAGTTGAATTAAATATTGAATTGTCATCGGTCCTTAATACCAAATTTCGAGTTAATCCGACGTTTTGAAGGGGGTTAAAATCATGTTCAAAGATTCCGTTACATACTAGCATACACACGTCTGAAGCTAATAAAAGCGTATTAAAAATGACAGCTCACCCCATACAAATACTGATGTAGTAGTTTCTGATCTTGGGTCTTGAATCGCGACAACGATACTTCCACATTGCTGATGTGCCCGAGCGGAATACCTTTTCCAGCAGGTAACGGTACTGGCGGCTCCGTAGGCTAATAACATTTTTAACAATTAGTACCAGCGAAAATCACAACTAATTCAACTTTAAAGATGTACTATACCAAAAACTGATACAAGTATATTTGTTTTACCATTTCAACAGATGAATTTAGGAAAGCTGTACTAAAGTTTATTCAGTATCTACTACCAAAATATGCTGTTAACTATTTTAACCATTTAGGCAGGTAATGAGTTCTTGAAATGAGATGATACAAATGTATAGAAAACGCACACGGACCTCTCTCTTGGGCTTGGGTTTAGGAGCTTCCTCCTCCTCTTCTTCCTCTTCCTCCTCCTCTTCTTCGTCCTCTTCACCTTCATCATCATCACCTTCATCGTCATCGCCCTTTGCTTTTTTTGCCGGCTTCTTTACTCTGCAAAAAAAAGACATTGACTAAATTTTTCTTGAATATTGCAAAAAAATATATTAAAGTATGCATGAATAATTCATTTTTATTAAGTATGATAACAGTACTGGTAAATTGAAAACTTTTTGATGTAGGATGGGATTAACTGTCGAATCAAACATAAAGAAAATGATGTCACTGACATTTTTGTTGGAACTTCCGAGCTGGATACTGGATAGACTTTCTCTGCTCTGTACACACTCCTACATCAACAGTGAGCTTTGTCATACAACAATTCTTAATAGTATTTGCTTTAGAGTATACAGTAATTTGAATAGTGAAATAAGAAACATCACACGCCTCAATGTTATAAGACCAGCTCTGTGACCATAAGTCTTACTATACTACAACTATATGAACACTACAGTAGAGCAGTATTTATTTATTTTACAATTTCTTTTATTTTCATAACTTTCACATGGATCGATCATCAGTACATTTTGCTAATTAATATGTCTCTTGTCAATATACATTTATTGTTTAATACAAAGTACTCACTTATCCTTGGTTTTCTTGTCCTCCTTTTCATCATCTTCATCTCCTTCCTCTGGTTCCTCCTCCTCCTCTTCCTCTTCTTCTTCTTCGTCATCCTCGTCTTCTTCCTCAGTATCCTACTCATACAAATTTCATTAATTCAATTCTTAGTAGCAAACAAAATCATAAAATCGATTTATTGCAGAAAACTGCATGTTCCAATTGTGAGTTTTCAAACACTGTGATAGATATACCACCTTTTACTGGTGGTAGGACCTCTTGTGAGTTCGCACGGACTAGTACCACAACACTGCTTATTTCTGCCGTGAAGCAGTAATGCGTTGTAACAGGGGCAGCTGTTGTACCTATACTGAGACCTTAGAAGTTATATCTCAAGGTGGAAGGAGCATTTACGTTCTAGATGTCTATGGGCTCCAGTAATCACTTAACACCAGGTGGGCTGTGAGCTCATTCACCCATGTAAGCAATAAAAAAAAGAGGAACTACTAACATTAGCTTCATTTTATTGCTGATAAAAATCGCGTGTAGCCAAAATATTAAGCGAATTAATTAATTATAAATTTATGGATATTCTAAATATCTCATAGTATAGCATTGTATAGCGTTCATAGAAAACGGAGGATTCTGTGAAAATTTCCTTTATCAATTCGATCAAAATCGTTTTCCATATGAGTTCTAGGCCCTGTCGGTTCTGTTCCCATGAGAAAATATTACTATCACTACGGATTAAAATGCACTATTCGACAAAGTTGAGTGATCGTGAATAATGTACCTCTTTCTTAGGTTTCTTCTTAGGGGGCGCTTTCTTTGCGCCCTTATCATTACTCTTCACATCGTCTTTTTCATCTTCATCGTGTGTCTCACCATTCTCCTCCTAAACACGATTTTTTTAATTTTAATCAAAATAATCTACGCTAGCAATTACCGGCTAAGATTAGTTGTCGTTGTGAAGTATGCAGATCTTATTATCTATCTTTTCTATTACCAATTATTATTTTTAATATTATATTAAAAGCCAACAAATATGCTTATTCAAATGCAAATGTATTTATTCTATTATTCCCGAAACCGAAAAAGGAACAATATTATCCTGTAACTTATATATGTATACATAAAAAGGGAGACACAACAGTTCGGTATCAGATTCTTCTCTGTCTGTCAACCTATTTTCTTTTTTTGTAGTGGCTATACACGAGTTGTCGGTGTTATCAATAAAAAAATTGGAAACAGTGTTACCATCCATTTCTTTCCATCTTTAAAAAACGAAATGTCAATAACAAAATTAAAGAGGAAATGTATAATAATTTGTATAAAATTTATTTAAATCTTAATGTGTCTGATGTCAGTGACTTGTCGGATGTCGACCAGTGGTCAAACACTACCCACTTAACACTAGTAAGCGTAAAACGATATATGTACATTTGCTGAACCAGGTACAAATAGTGTTGTAACATTTTAAATCTATACTAATAACTATAAAGCTGAAGAGTTTGTTTGTTTGAACGCGCTAATCTCAGGAACTACTGGTCCGATTTGAAATTCTTTCAGTGTTAGATAGCCCATTTATTGAGGAAGGCTATAGGCTATATAACTTCAGGCTAAGACTAATACAAGCGGAGCACCAGTAAAGAATGTTTCAAAATCGGATTTAGAAACGGTTAAAGTTTCGCTAAAATAATATATGACAGAATTGTATCCCTTTAAAAGATCTAAAAAAAAACCGCCACAGCATATGGGCTGGCTCAGTATAACGTTTTTTATGCTAAACAAATTTGTTCTAAAATAAAGCATTATTTGTGAATTATTCCACGCGGACGAAGTCGCTGGCAAAAGCTAGTACTTTATATTTCGTAAGCCCCAATTTTAAGCCAGCTGACATCAGCTGGTTTTGTGGAATGCAAAAATCATTGTTACAACAATTTTCCAATTACAATCAGTTTTGATTTTTGCATACTGTGCATTCACTTCATTCGCTCCACAACCTGTGTCAAGTATCATACCTAAAATGTCCGACATATCCATTTTTACATTTTTCAATCAAAAATAATATTTGTATATACATTTTGCATAACATTAACGTATTACTAAATATTCACTGCATCCGGTTCATAACATTTGATGCTTGTTACTTCCTCATTCACATTTCTTTAGTGAAAGTTGTCTCTCAAAGAATTTCGCCGGTACACATTTATTACTTGACCAAATATTATTACCTAGCTCAATTTATACTTTTTTTATGTTTAATAATCATATAATGTTCATAGAACGAAAGTGTGAATGTCCTAAATAATGGATTGAAAACATTAAAGGCAAGTAAGCAATATTGACTGTTTACCATCTTATAGTTAAGTGGGAATAGAGTTTGATATTTTTGTGTCACACTTGACTCCAGTAATCAATTAATATTGAATAATTAATTAATTAATTAATAATAAATGTCCGTCTTAGAAAATTAAAAGAAAAACAAGATCCTCCTGTAAAGCAGCAACCTCATTATTGGTCCTTCGCGGTTAATGTTCGTAAGTTTCTCCCCGGATCTTCTCAGTGGGTCGCGTTTCCGATCCGGTGGTAGATTCTGCGAAGCACGGCTCTTGCTGGGGTTCGTGTTAGCAACGTCGTCAGGTTTGAGCCCCGTGAGCTCACCTACTAGTTAAGGCGACGCTGATATAGCCTCTCAATGCTATCAGCTTAGGTAAGATTAAAAAAAATCGTTTTTGAGACTTTTAGTTACCTTTTTAGTATCGCTATCGGTTTTATCCTTTTCATCTTTGGAGTCATCACCGCCGGTCTCGTCATCCTTACCGTTGGCTGTCGTCTTTACGTCACCTGCGTAAGAAAGACAACATTTTGTCAGGACAAGAACAAAACCTTGTAAAATGTACTTTTTACATACTAATACGTACATAAACATTAGCATTTTAATTGTTTATATTGAATATATTCGGTGTACAAAAACCCTAGGTACTTAATCAGCGTATACATACTTAGTACTACACGAGCGTAATTGATACTTGAACTTATTTGTAAACTAATTACAAAAGAGTATCAAATATGAAGAATGTAATTTGAGAATAAATCTATTTATTTATTTTAAAATTTATATTTACTCATATAAGTCATGACAGAAAACCAAGAATTGTAAAGAAACAGAATATATGTATTTGGTTTTGATTTATCATAAATTTTAGCGTTTTTTATATTATATTGTGCCGAATTCTTGTAAATTCAATTCAGACTTCTATACTGTACAATAAATTTAAGTGAAAACTATTTAATGTACATTACGATAAAATAACTTACTACTATATTATATAATAATAGGTAGTGAAAAAAATGCAATGGTTAAATACATTTTCTTATTACATTCCCCTATACATTTGATGATACGCTTCGCGATTGTGATAATTTATAAAATATTAAATACAAAAATTACAATTAATTACATAAACTATAGCCCGTTCTACTCTTGTTATTAGTGCATAAATAGCATATGATTTCACGATTTTATTTCACCGATAAGTGTCAAAAGTCGATAAGCGTTATCTGAGTTATACATACATACATACACATATATACTGTACATAATATAATTTAATGATAATTAATAAGCACGTGAGATAAGCATATTCGATCTCGCTCCGTTATTTAGTCACATATGATAACGACCTATCTTATTCGACACCTAAAATTTGCTTGTTTTGATTTAAAGAAATATGTTTTTTTTTTGTTAATAAAATAATAATAATCATAATTTCAGTTCTGATGCTCTTACTGATAAGTTTTCAAACTGCATACTGTTTAAGAATTTGATGTTCTCCGATTGCTAAGATGGGTGCACGAGCTTACCGCTCATCGGGTTTTAAATGATATCCGGAGCCCATAGCCAGTACTAATTTAATGCCGCCACCCACCTCGAGACATGAGGTTAAGTCTATATTGAATTATATAACGACTGTTAACGCATGGAGGTTTCACAACTGGCAAAACTGGGCACAATGGTGATTTACCACTATTTTGTCGATTAGTTAGCCAAATTCATACAATTACGGTAACTGTAATAAAAAAAAATAAAAAAATACCCAACGTTCATATGATGCATTTCAGTTAATTTAAGCCCAATAAGATTTCAGTGCTATGACAAAAGAATTTTAAATTATATAATAGATGGTTCTGACATTGAACAAACTTTAATGGACTTTCACTAGTGACGAAATTCTTTGCGCGTTAATATTAGATGAAAGCAGCCGTTCAATAGAGCTTTCATACATCAATGTTACATTTATTGCATGTTTACCTCGAACTGCTAATAATAAAGTTCCTGGTATTATATTAACTGGACATGCTAACAGTTAAATAGGCAACTGAGAGAGTTTATCTAACAAATACGATTATATTCATCCTTAGCAAGGCTTATTTAGATATTTTTTTGGTAATTGAGGCCTATAAAATCAAAGGCAGCTAAACGGCTTAATGTAGTAAAATAGATTAACAATGGCGCTTAACAATGTTTAGTTTAACAATGTTTAGTTAGTTGGACACGCTTTAGTGTTTTCATGTTATAACAAATGCAGCTAAATCTTTAACAAATTCAGTTCAAAAATTTCATTTTTACTCTGTACTAAGTACTAATAAACGAAGTTTTATCATTTAAAATTCAGATTATTAGTAATATTCTCATTCTTTATAAATCTGCTTCAAAATAAAGAATATCGTAGCTATCCGAACAAAGTTATTTCAGCTTCTCAAACCGGGAGTGCTTCTAACACTTGCCTTAGCAAGAGCAGTACTTGGATGGATCGGGAGGATCGACGTGTTTAGGGCCGATTTTTGTAGTTTACCTGAATATTTGACAGACTTGGATTTAGCTGGCTATGATTTTATAGGCCTCAATTATTTGTAGATTAATTAATTGTTGAATTTATAGTAGGTAAGACATTTATTGCTTGATTTGATTAGTCCAAACAACTATAAGGGTTCTGGACACTTCAGCGGAAATATTGAATTATGCGGACCGATGGTAGGCACATCCGCGAAAGACAAATTAAATCGCGAACGGAGAGCGCACAATGCACGAGTCTGTGCAGGACTTGTGTGACGAATAAACTGAATTTATCATTCTTCCTGGAACATATTTCGTGTTTATTATTCTTTGTTTATGCATTTGAATCTTGGAGCTTCTAAACATGACGGCGGTAATACTCTGTTCGCTATTATATTCATTATGTATCATTCCTTGACCTCATCTTAGGTAGACGTAATGCCAATAAAAAATTGAAATTACTTCACAATGTATCTTGGATTTTAAATATGGGATACATATCTCTATATATAAAAATGAATTGCTATTCGTTAGTCTCGCTAAAACTCGAGAACGGCTGGACCGATTTGGCTAATTTTGGTCCTGAATTATTCGTGGAAGTCCAGGGAAGGTTTAAAGGGTGAGAAAAAATAAAAAAAGCTCGAAATTATATAAAAACAAACAATTTTATTTTTCCTTTGATGTGTCTTTTATTTATCGATTGAGGCACTACGAAGTCTACCGGGTCAGCTAGTATTTCATATATTTATTATGTCATAGACTCACGCAATAATATTTCAATGAACGATTGCAGATAAAACATTTAAGATAGGGAAAATAATAATAAAAAGATAGATAATGGTTATGGATGTGCGTATAAACAGCACACTTCAATTTAATCCCAGGAATTAATAATCATTTTTATAGATAGTGTTTGCACAGCTTTTATTTTCGTAAATTGTTTAATAGGTACATACTTTTATTGCAATTTACATAATTGAAATCGAACAGAGCCATACGACAGGGAAATGCAGAGAGCCACCGTCACTCAAACCATGTCTTATCGGACCCTCCAGGACCACTCGCGGTGCTTTTAGGGTCTTGAAGCACTGTTAATTCTCGTCAAACACATACGACAAAATTTCGACGTGCAACCATGTCATAGAAACAACCAACTGAGTTTATCGTCGTATGTTCTTTGCACTAGAAGCATTTCTCTTTGTTAGAGCTAGTGTTAGCAAATTATCTTAGTTTCAGCCCGTGAACTCTCCTATCCGTCCGCGCGTAGTTATTTATAATAGCCCAGTGGGCTACCAACGATAAGGTAAGAAAAAATAATCAAAACTTTAAATTAGAATATAATACAATATCATTAAAAACATAAACGTTTAATATAATCAAATATTTTATTTTCAAACACTACGTCGTGTCCTTGTTGCTACACATGAGTCACATTGTATTTTTCAAGCTCATCTGTCTGAATTCATTAGTAGCTCAATCGCTGCTTTTTATTTTAACATTGTCGGTGGGCACATTTTCAAATAAGTCTTACTAGTCAAATAAGAAGAGTACAAAAATAGCATACGAGTTCCGTGATATCTTCGAATAGATTTGACTCAAACGGCTACGACAATCCTCAATGCAGAGTAGGGTAGGAAATAACTAAAGACGGTAGGACATAAAATATATGGTGAAAGTTTAAGTGTTTCTAACGTAGCGATAGGCTACGCACTGGTAAGTATGAATATCCTGCCTTTTCAGTCAGGAATTGCGTTTTTGAAAAGTGAGACAGTCGTTGTACCATCCAATTGAGATTGAACTTGCGCATCGCAACTATTACACTGTATTGTAGTACTTACCCTGCAATCGCTATGGGTCGCATATAACTGATCGGTAACTACGCGAGCCGGCCGTAAGCTCGTCAGCACTATTAATAAGAAATCTTTCGACTTTTTAGTTGTTTACTTTGAAAATTGTGAAGCCACGTTGATATTTTTAAATTTTAATCGGAATACCTACGCAGAAAGTTAATCGAAGAAGATTCCCTTATAAAGTAAACTATCTTTATTATTTGATAACTTCCGTCTACATTTTCCAAGTAAATAGAATCTATTACTATTCCGAACCCACGAAAGCAACCCCCCAGCCATGATTAGCAAGCGGACGACATAAGCATTAACCACATTAGTACACAATAATGAATTAGTAAGGACTTCACAAAACACCCAAAACTTTTCTATAAATATAGCGAACAAGTCGCAGAAACGGTGAGCACGCTTGAACATAATTAAAACTATTTTTATGGTTTAATCTCCTTTTTATTTTTATCATTTTATTAATTTCGTTTCCTTTCTAGACCTTAGATGTCAGTTAGACGAAAAATATTATAAAAGAATCGAAGTTTTAATTATGTCTACAACTGTGAGAAAACCGGGAAAATTACTATAATATTCACACTACGTACACACGACTTTCGTGTATGCAATGGCATTTACAAAGCGAACAGGACATTTTTAGTTATTAATATAGACATTTATATCTGTTTTAGACGGGTGAACGAGCACACGACCCCACCTGCTGTTAAGCGGCTACCAGGGTCATAGATATCACTACATAAACGGTGCCACCCACCTTGAGACATGAACTTTAAATCTAAATCGTATAGTGTAATTGCTGTACTTTCAAATTAGAACACATCACTGCTTCGGGGAAGAAAATAGGAAAGGTATTTACTGGTGGTAGGACCTCTTGTGAGTCCGCGCGGGTAGGTACGACCGCCCTGCTTATTTCTGCCGTGAAGCAGTAATGCGTTTCGGTTTGAAGGGCGGGGCAGCCGTTGTAACTATACTGAGATCTTATATGATATCTAATGGGTGGCGCATTTACGTTGTAGATGTCCATGGGCTCCAGTAACCACTTAACACCAGGTGGGCTGTGAGCTCGTCCATCCATCTAAGCAATAAAAAAATGTGGAGCCTACCTGTGCGGGCTCACAAAACGGCCCGATCATGATTACGCATTTTTATTCATTACACAATGTCATTTACTTTATCGTGGATGTCATTAGACAACAAATTTGTTAGGTACGTATATATTTTCTGAAAAAAGTTTTTACTGTTTGGGGGATTTGAACCACGACATAGTCGTGTCGTTAGATACGAGCTCACCGGACCTCTTATCCCTTAGGCCACGACTATTTCAACACATCAACGTTTGGATTTGATTTCCTTCAAACACCAACGTATTTTAATTAAATAGGCTATATTTATCAAATTTTGAGAACCGGTGTGGCTTATAAATACGTGTTTACTTATTAGACATTAGATTTTACTTATTATGCATTCAACTTAGTATGCATTTATGGAAATAGGGCTAATAATAAAATTTTGTAATTGTGTATTTCGTATATTAAGATTATAAATAGGAACTTATTGTGAATTTGTGAGGGTACAATCATCTTTATTTTTATTTACAAAAATCGTGCGTTCGAAATGTTGTTATTCGAACACAATATTTTCTTTCTAAATATTTACTACAGCTCCTTTGAATTGGCGGAGTGAAGATACCATAATTTCGGAGAGCTCCGGCAACCCCTTCCGATCTGGTGATCTGACTGACAATGTACTTATCTTACCCTTTTATTTAATAGTGAACAAATGTCTATAGCATCTCTTATTGCTTCTGTTTGATAGTACTACGGGACAGAGTATCATGATGCGTATTCTTTGATTTTTTTTTATTTATTGCTTAGATGGTTGGACGAGCTCACAACCCACCTGGTGTTAAGTGGTTACTGGAGTCCATAGACATCTACAACGCAAAAGTGTCACCCACCTAGGACCCAAGTATAGTTACAAGTGCCGCCCCACCCTTCAAACCGAAAAGCATTACTGCTTCACGGCAGAAATAGGCAGGGTGGTGGTACCAACCCGCGCGGACTCACGGTCCTATCACCAGTCCTATCACCAGTAAGTACGTATTTCTTTAGGAAAATTTGTACCCGCCTGCGAGATTCGAACACCGGTGCATCGCTAGATACGAATGCACTGGACGTCTTATCCTTTAGGCCACGACGACCTAAAATATATATGATAGACACACCGTTTGACAATAAAGTAATGTATAAAATGGAGGATCCTATTTTGTATATTATTTTAGAACTTAAATTTAGCCGTTTTTTTTTTCAAAAAATCCTGTAATTTCCTTCATAAAATGCACAAAACGAGATTTAAAAAAATGAATCAGCGTCTTCCTTAACTAAGTAATAACCACGAAAATTGAGTACACTTTTAACAGGGTTCATTGTTATTAGGGGATACCAGACGTTACACTTTAAGTCCACAATAAAACCATTTCAGAGCCCAGTTTTTATTAACTGGCTGTTTTAGTAACCGTTTGGTTTTCCCTAGTACTCAGACATGGATGTTGATATAAAAACACTTTTGACAATTTATAAACTAGAAGAGACAAACACTTGTTGAATGTCACTGTATACTCCCACCACCACCAGTCCAAAATGAGCCAGTTCTGAGGGAAGCTAGAAAACCCCTATCAGTGGGCTTTTCTTTTTTTTTTGTCTTATCTTTGTGCTTTTTACTTTAACATTGACAAAAACTCCAGTATCCGTATATCTATAATTTAGTTTAATGACCCAGAATAAAAACCTCAATCATATGTAGTGCTGAATCCGCTTAACATCCATACACTTAGCATTTCTATAGAACACCAGCATTTAAAAAACTGAACCAGTCTCTGAGGGACAAGTAGGGTGGTTTATAGTCCTATAGTCTATATTATTTATATAGATATTGCAACATCTACAGTCTGTTTGTGCGAATAGATATTATTTTTGCAACAATGAAAGGCAAAAAATGGTTTAATTTAACCATATTTTCATCTCTTTTAAATAAGAATTACTTTATTTTTAAAAATAAAGTTGGAAACATGTTAAAACTGCTCAATTTTTTTTTTCAAAATGCTCATGAATCTAACACGTTAATGAAATATGACAAAAATGAATCATTCGAGCCTGATTTAGGTTAGTTGCCATGTAGATGAACACTGATATGCAAAAACACTGAACGGTCTTTAAGACTTTTTGGGGTACCTTCTAGATTCTCTTCTTTTGCATCTGGTTGATCTACATCAGCGTTACCTTGGGCCTCAGAATCTTGAAACCGCAGCGACTCACCCTTCGAGTCCTGGGATGACTCGTCTTCAGTTGTTTGACCATCGCCAGTACTGGATTTCTTGTCTTCATCCTGTTTAAGAAATCTTACTTAAGAAGCAATTTTATTTTTGAAAAAAACTAAGATTTGTTTTTATAGTCTTCGGTCAAATATTTATATTAAAGTCAATGAATAAAGAGAGGCTTTTTGAACTGATATATTAAACAGAATTACGCAAAAAAAAAAAGCATTTCATGTGAAATATATAACATTCCATATGAAATTCATTTCGTGATATTAGTTTTTATTTTTATATTGGTAGAATATTTAAAATATAATTCGAAGTTATGGTTAGCTCAATATTTGGAAGCCAATGTTTTAACCCAGTTTCAATACTAAAACTATTAAAAGGTCAAATATATTTTGTGCTATATTACTTTAATTACATTTAAATAATATTCTACTTTCAAACAACAAAATTAAATACTTAGAAATGTTGTGAATATTAGCAATAACACAATGCCAAAAACTGCAATTCTACACTATTCTATCGCTTGGCGTTGTTACTTTTGTGCCATGACAATTTCAACCTTATATCTACAGTATCAAGAAACACTTTCTATTCAAATTTGCCTACACTACTGAAGTTATACAGCTGTGTACATATAGATAGATGTATGTGCGATCATAGAAAGGAAGAATCGTGCATGTTGCACCAAATATAGGTGCTTAGCTATATATACTTATTGCCCAATACGCAAAATAACGTTTCCGGATCTGCGAAACACGGTATACGCAATGACCTGTTTAAGANTTCAAGAAACACTTTCTATTCAAATTTGCCTACACTACTGAAGTTATACAGCTGTGTACATATAGATAGATGTATGTGCGATCATAGAAAGGAAGAATCGTGCATGTTGCACCAAATATAGGTGCTTAGCTATATATACTTATTGCCCAATACGCAAAATAACGTTTCCGGATCTGCGAAACACGGTATACGCAATGACCTGTTTAAGATTAGTTGAGAATAATATATCAATTTCATCGGAAAAAATATTTAAGGAGGTCAGCAATAAAGGCCTCGCAAGCTACTTTTATTTACATCGCCGCTCGAGCACCGAGCGTGAATACTGAATAGCGAGCCCGCCAATCGGTGGAACAAAAACATCTCACGCCGCCTAAAAATTTGAATAATCGCAAGAAACTAAATATCAAGGTCAGGCGGAATTCACATCAATGTCATATAGGCAACATCGTGCACATTAACAAAGGCCCTGCAACGAAATGCTAAGGGGCGGGGGTGGTCGAAATATAACAAAACATGAAATTTATTCCATTAGAATCAGTTTCAAGAACCGATCACGTTGGCATATACAGTTTTTATTGCGAAATTTCAACTTTGATCACAACCCTTCGTGGCGTAGTTCCCGCTTTTAGCGGGAAGCGAATGTTCTGTCAGCCATGTTGAGACGCAGGCAAACATTAGTGATATAACACGGAAATAACATCACTTCACTGGTTTAAAAGCTCTCAATAGACGCGCACTAATACAAAGAAAATAAGTGTTGAAACATATTTCACAATTATACCTGATTGTCACTGATTTTTGCTTTATCGGTATCACCCGACATTTTTCCTACGAAGAAATTGAAAGCGAATTCCAAGCGTCTTCAAACACCGGACAACACAAATGCACGCACAACATAGAAAAAAAAAACTTGCACGTTTCGTTTTCAGATTTGCAGCGACTTAAGGCAACAGTTATCGAGTGGCTTCTTGTGCGAAGTAAAATTTAAAATCGATTTATTTTCATTATTTAGTAAAATAAATACTACTAAATGCAGTTGCGCAATTCGAGCAGTTTAAAAAAAAATCCTTTTAATATTTAATTATTACAATGGCTTATGATTCAATTACCTTAAGTTTAAATATAAAAGACGTCATATCGATCACAATTTCAACTCTTAGAGTATTTAACTTTAAATAATCTAAAATGCAAAAACAAAATAGATCGATATTGATTTTATTAAATATTTTAATCCTTGTGTATTTCTTTTTTGTTCTAGTGATATTTCTAAAAACTCATTGCTTAACATAATTATTTTTTTAGCATTTACATTAATATATCAATAATCTCATTTAACCTTTAATCCATTAAGTTGAAATTTAAGTACATATGCCGATTAAATTTTATTGAGCAAATATTGTAATCTATACATATATGAATCAAAATTTCATTTGAGATGTAATGTAAAATTATTAAAATAGGACTCTAATATAAAAAAATGTGAAAAATGTTAGGTATTGTTTAAGGGCTGTGTTTTAGTAAATGATTTATATTAAAATTGTATGGTCGATTTCAATCGTATGATTTTCCGGGACGGGAAATATTCAAACAATCTGCTCCTCAAATTGATACTGATACTTTTGTTAAAACAAAACGCTTCAGTTTTTCCATAGACACCGATTTCAACTTACAGATTATAATTAAAGGACGACTTCACTATTCTTTGGCCAGCTACGTATCCACTCATGGTGAAAGAGTTAACTATTAGCAGAGTTTCTCACATGTTAAAATTTTGTTATAGTAGTAAGAAGGTAAAATTTGTGTCCAACAGGACAGGTCCTGACGCGCACTGATAAGTAGGAACTAGTCTATGGTACCGTAAAAAGTATTAAATTAGCTCATAGATTATCTCTGATTTACAACAAAAGGCCGGGCGACGACATCTTGAAACGCAATCTTTTGTGTCTATGGTTCGCGTCGTTCTTTGGGCTCGCAAGATTGCGAGTAAATTTATTTCAATTTATAGTTTTAGGTCTTTTTGACCTTTTTTTTTTCATGGCTGCGTAAAAACGCGGTTGAAAGTGCAGATTGTTCCAAACATGAGTGATTATTCTTCTATGGCTACGCTCCAAAATAATAGTCAAACGGCGGGATACGCGACTGCTGTACAACGTGCGAGACAGGTAATTCTACGTTTCAGCTTACAATGCTTCTTAGCTATTACCCGCACCGTATCAGTTGATTAATCTTTAAAATTACCCTCTATAACCTCACAAGTTGATATTCGTACTTTCATCTACCCTAATTTCTGCTTCTCGATCGACTATTACTACAGCCATAGACTTTTACTTAACCTACTTACTTAGAAATTTTATTTTCGCTTTGTGTTTACTCATTAGAATAAGATTTGTAAGTTATTCATTTGCTTGTATTTCTTTCCTCTTAAATTCAATACGAAATTTCATAACCACTTTCAGGTTTCTAAGCGCAACGTACTTTCAACACGTCAGAAATGAAATGCGCAAATGATCACTAATTATTGTCAAACAGCAATGATTTTAATTAATCAGTTTTTAACTTTTGAAACGATTGATTCAATTGACCAAACTACAATGACTGTTTGTTGGCGTTGTTATCATACAATACGAATTTTAGCTTGCATTGTTGCTTTTGGAGTAATTTTTCCAAAATAATAGTAGTGATTACCTAGTAATTTTGTTTTGTTACAAATATTGATTGGATGTGTACCTAATCCTAGTACATATACAAATAAATCGAAAGTGAAGTGTTTCAAAAACACTAAGTATGCATAGTAGATTAATACAAACATGTTTACATGTTATTAAACATGTTGAATATAAATATTTTATATCTTCAGTTGGCTATTTTAGATCTAAATGTTAAATAATCAAAGGTACCTTAAGAAATAGAAAAAGATACAGCTATCAAGCATCAGATAATTTTGATTGCATGTGTAATAATACCAATGAAAATATTAAGAATACACTTAAATTATGATGTAATATAATAAATTCTGTCCATGACATTTGTTTGCATGACAGGTAGCTGCTAAGATTGGTGGTGGTAGCAAGAGGCCATTGGAAGACGGACCAGAACCAACACCAAAGAAATTAGCACCAGTTGAGCCGGTTTATACACCACAACCTCCAGTTATGAAGTAAGGGATAAAGGTTTTTCCCACATTTTTCATTCAGATGATTTAAACAGTACTTGTACTGTGCTACTAGACACATACAGCAGTGAATATCTTGTAGCTGAACTGAAAATCCTGAAATTTATTACTAGATAATCCTATACCATGTTTAGACATAAAATTATTTTAAATAATCTTTAAATAACTGTATTATATTTAATACTTTATGTATTTTATTAATTACTTTTTTCTATTAGTATACAATATGAGGTCACGGGAGCCCAAATAACATAAATTCTGTTGCTCACTTGTGATGTGAGATTATTGTATTACAGTAAGAACTTGCTGATTCATAGATGGATAAACTATAAATATAAAAACTCAGTTGCATGCAACACGTAACACAAGAAGAGTAGTGTAACATAAGATATGTTCTATGATGAGAGAAATATGCAGATATATACAGACAGAAAATAAATAAAAACATAGCTAAATTCATTAATATGCTAGGATTTTGAGGTCTAAATATAAATCAAATTATTAAATAAAACAATATAATCATAGAAATGTGTTTCAGTTTTGTTGACAGTGTATCGCCAGTTGCGGTTGGTGGTGGCGGACGTATGATAGCAGGTGCGGGCCCTGGCAGTGGACCAACAAATTTATTGCCTGATCAGAGCATCAATGAATACATCAGAGTACCTGATCGTATGGTTGGACTAAGTAAGTTGGTCTTCTGAACTTTGTAATAATAGTATGTTTATTTATTCATTAAGGATAGTTTAAAAATATCTATTAAAATCAATACTCATTTTCAATGTGTTCCAAATGACATTCTAGATTTATTTGAGAAACCAAGTTCAATTAATGTAAATGATGTAAAATGTTTGATCTAAGAATATGGATACTGTCCAGTTGGGGCATACCGGAAATGAGGTTGGGAAGCACAACATTCAAAGTCGAATATCTACTTATGTGACTAAGTTTGTATTTTATTGACATAACACCAAGCTTATCTGTTGCAGGGTATGTATGTATGAATAGATGGTACATACTGATTTGTGTACAACTCATTAAATGTAAAATGTCTTCTGGTTTTCTATGATTATAATATCAGTTTGTATTTATAGTAATTGGACGTGGTGGAGAACAAATCACCAGACTGCAAGCAGAATCCGGTTGCAAGATACAAATGGCACCACCCACTGATGGAAATCCTGATAGGCTATGCACGCTTACTGGTTCTAGAGATGCTATACAGAGAGCTAAGTAAGTTACCTATTTTAATTACCTATTATTGCATAGAGCTGACCTGGCAGTGAGTGGTCTTTGTCTTGTGAACATGAGGAATACCAGGGACTTTGTTGACTGACAACAGGTTTTCTGAAAAAAATGTGAAAAAATTATACAGGTTATAAATAAATAATAAATTGCAACTGAAGAAAAAAACGTATGTAATAATTTTTTACCAAATTAAAGATGTTTTTACAATACAGTTCCTACAACAAAGTAAAGAAAATTAGATTCAAAATATTATTTCAAATTATTAAAATTGTAATGGTTTGTAAAAGATTGTCACAAATATCATTGTTTTTTTTGTATGCCCGTGCAGTCCAAGAATTGTGATAAATAACTATCAGTCTTCTTTTCCTGTAATTTTGTAAACTCCATCAGATTATTTCAACAGTTCAATATATAAATTTTGCCTTTTTAGGTTTTGATCAACTTAACATTGATTTTTAATGCATAGGCAAATAGTTTATGACTTCTCGGCTCGCTTGGTGCTAAGGGGTTATCGAAGCCAATAGGCATTGCCACATAAATTTTGTCACTCCCTTGATACATGGGGTATGAGCCTCATTTGTTTTGTATAATTGTTATTCTAGTGTTTCAACCGAAACAGACTAGGGTTGTATCTATCTGCTTAGGCCCCAGAAACTCAGCCCACCACCAGTAATGATAATGTTTTAATTAAACTTACATTTTTAGAGAATTAGTGAACCAAATTGTGAATCATCGAGGAAGGGAGAACGCTCCACAACATCAAGACCCTTCAGAACCTGGAATGAACATGAGCAGGCCAGGCCCTAATGCAATGGTAAGGCTTTTTGCGCCTAAAAATGAAATAAATTGTTTTTGTATGATAGTATAGGTAATTATAATGTATTTCAAATCAGTATAGAGTTGAAAAATAAAAATATTCAGCTTTGAAGTTCTTTAAAATTGCCAAGTTTTTAATTTATTGTTTACATAAATAAATCAATCACATTTTACTAGTGATTTGGTAAGTCCGTATAGGTAAAGTGTGTGTAACCATCCTGCCTGTTTCTACCGCGAAACAGCTATGTGCTTAGAAGGATACTATTATACAATTCAATTAACTTCATGTATTACGTGTGATGGCGGCATTCGCGTTATGTTATCATTGGGCTTCGGTATCCACTTAACAGCAGGTGAGCCGCGAGTTTGTTGTGAGTAAGTAAGCATTAAAAAAATTATATTTTTTCACAGGAAGAGATCATGATCCCTGGCGCTAAAGTTGGCCTGATCATTGGCAAGAATGGCAAAACAATAAAACAACTCCAAGAACAAACTGGAGCCAAGATGGTCGTAATACAGGATGGACCTAATGAAAATTCATTTAAAGTTGGTTTAAATTACGTCTTAAATTTATATATTTTTTTATTTAATGATGTATATATAGTTAGCAGAGGATTTTTCGTCATCTGGATTAATCTAGGCTATCCAATAAAACTCAACCAATAAAAACAAAAACTGACTGATTTGTTAATCAATATGTTTAAAATAAATTATAGGTATGGTTCACTTAATTGCTTTATCAAGTTATGTAATGTTAAAACTTGTTATTTCTCAGTAGGTATGTGAATTGAAGCATAAATTGTAAGTTGTTGTGGTCTAACAGATATGCGCTCGGTCTACTTTTGTAGAATGTTATGATTGTGTCGGTGCTCAGATCCTGCAGGCAGGTGGCAATTCATATGAATTAACGTAATTGCTGATGGTATTGTAAGGTTTCACGGGTACTTACTACCGTTCTGCTTGGTTATGCCAACATGCAAATTATGCGTACGAGTTTATTGGTATTGGTGGGCGGCATTCAAGTTGTAATTACACATAGAATACTTAACATCTAGTGGGCTGTGAGCGTCTTCACATGTCTGTGCAACAAATAAGTAATGAACTGTTTGTTATTTTTTTATTGCTTAGATGGGTGGACGAGCTCACAGCCCACCTGGTGTTAAGTGGTTACTGGAGCCCATAGACATCCACAACGTAAATGCGCCACCCACCTTGAGATACAAGTTCTAAGGTCTCAAGTATAGTTACAACGGCTGCCCCACCCTTCAAACCGAAACGCATTACTGCTTCACGGCAGGAATAGGCAGGGTGGGGGTACCCTGCCTATTTGCCTATTTCTGCCGTGAATATATTGTTCATTCATTGTTATAAAAAATCAGAGAAGTAAATTTTTTGTTGTGTATTTATATTTTTAAAGCTGTTTGAATAGCAGTGTTTGTTGTATTTATTAGAAAGTTCATGATAAATAAATCTTTATGAAAAAGTATAATAAAACAGAAATAATGATAGGTATTTGTTTTGTCCACTCGTGCTGTTTGTTAGTCTCGCTAAAACTCGAGAATGGCTAATTTTGGTCTTGAATTATTTGTGAAGTCCAGAGGAGGTTTAAAAGATAGATAAATATGAAAATGCTTGGAATTAAATAAAAATAACAATTTTGTTTTTCCTTTGATGTGTCCCCCGTCGGACGAATTCCTTTTGTTTGTTTTAAGTTTATTTTATACAAAAATTTCGGTCTTTTATTTATCGATTGAGGCACTACAAAGTCTGCAGGGTCAGCTAGTTACAACATAATAAAATCAAAGCGTTAAGTAATTGTTACAATATCACTTGAAAAACATCAAAACAGGTGATTGTATAGCAATTTTCTGCCACAGCCGCAGGAGAAGCCTTTGCGTATATCCGGCGATCCGGCCAAGGTTGAGCACGCGAAGCAGCTCGTGTTCGAGCTCCTCGCCAACAAGGACATGCAGGAGCCGCCGCGCCCCTACGACGACGGCTACGGCGGCTCCGACCCCGGGAACGGACTCGCCACCACTTCCGCTGAGGTACCTCACTTCTATTACTTAGTTATGCGTTTCGGTTTGAAGGGTGGGGTAGCCGTTGTAACTATACTGAGACCTTAGGACTTATATCTCAAGGTGGGTGGCGCATTTACATTGTAGATGTCTATGGGCTCCAGTAACCACTTAACACCAGGTGGGCTGCGAGCCCGTCCACCTATCTAAGCAATAAAAAAAAAAAAAAAGTTAGACTATCTGTTCAAACGGGACAATCAACTGTGATTATTGATGGGTCACAATGTTTTTTTAATAGCTTCAGACGTACGTATGTTAGTATGTAACGGAATCTTTGAACATGATTTTGACCCCCCCTTCAAAACGTCGGATTAACTCGAAATTTGGCATACTTATTTTAAGGACCTATGACAATTCAGTATAAAAAAAAAAAATTGAATAAATTGAAATTCAACTAAAAAATTAAAAATAAATAATAGTTTAAAAAAACTAACAAAATACGATTTTATAGAAAATCCCACTAAAAAATAGGAAGTAAATCTTAATAAATTTGAATTAAAAATAGTGTAAGAAAAAATTATTTTATTGTAAAAAAAAGCGTGGGGTGCTTTTCAGAATATTATCAAAATAACCCTTCTACTCTCATATCTGTTCATAAAATATTTATAACTACTGATACCATTAAGATTTATTTTCTATTTTTAGTGGGATTTTCTATAAAAGCGTATTTTGTTAGTTTTTTTAAACTATTATTTTTAATTTTCAAACATCACTAGCATAAAGGAATACCGATAAAAATGCTATTTATATAATCCATGTTTACATGTATCTTGTTATTAATAATTAGACAAACAAGAATTCCTTGTAATTAAACTATACAATGTCACTTTGTTAACAATACAGGTTTTAGTCCCAAAAGTGGCTATTGGTGTTGTAATCGGCCATAAGGGTAAAATGATAAAGAAGATACAAGCGGACACCGGATGTAGGGTCCAGTTCAATCAAGAGCATGATGAGGAACCAGGGGATAAACTATGCTACTTGCAGGGGAAACCCCATCAGCTAGATCAAGCTCGTCAGATGATCGAAGATCTTATATCTAGTGTCAAAGTAAGTGTTCTAAGAACATAAGTTGCTTTATTAATACGATATCCTTAATTAACACATTCACTCCCGTATAGGTCACCGGTGCCCTACGCGGCGCACTGAAGTAATTACGTCGATTTCTGTTACTAAGCGCCTGGATTGCCTAACTTTGCCTTCTTTTTATTGATAATGTATGAAAAACATAGGCCTTTTAGGTCTCTTAGAAATAGATTAATTGTCAGTATCGTTCGGATTCGTCTTTCCCAGAGTCTACTAGATATTCCGGCGCCTTAGTAAGAAGAACAAAGAGAGAAATCGACATAGTATTGTCAAACTGTAATAATGACAATAAATAATAATGTTCATTTTAAATGTCCAGCGAAGCGGGCGGGTACAGCTAGTTTTTTATATATTTTTACATAACAAGAACGATCTAAACACCCGTTTATATAACATGTTACAGGTGGTAGGACCTCATGTGTGTCCGCACGGCTAGGTACCACCACCTGCCTATTTCTGCCGTGAAGCAGTAATGCGTTTCGGCTTGAAGGGTGGGGCAGCCGTTGTAACTATACTGAGACCTTAGAACTTATATTTCAAGGTGGGTGGCGCATTTAGGTCGCAGGTGTCTATGGGCTCCAGTAACCACTTAACACCAGGTGGGCTGTGAGCTCGTCCACCCATCTAAGCAATAAAAAGAAAAAAACATGTTTTTAATGAGTAGAGATGTGAGGAGGACAGTCGGAGCCGTGCAGTACGCGGTCAGGGCCAGCAGAACGGCGACAGGGGCGGCATGGAGTACGGGCAGCAGTGGCCCGACCGACCAGAGATGCGCGTCACCTTCACCATCCACGGACCCAAGTGCGGCCTGGTCATTGGCAGAGGTCAGTGTGCTTCTCTTTTATTGTGGGCTGGTCATTGGTAGATTATTGCTCTCTTATATTTTATGGTTATATAATTTCCGACGTTTTCAATATTTTGCTGTTTTCGTGGTCACAAACGATTGTCTTCTTCTTCTCTTCTTTCTTTCCTATTGCCCTCTGCTGGGGTGTAGGGCTCGAATCAAATCCCTCCGTTTACATCAGTCTTGGACAGTCTGAAGTATTCCAGATAGTCTGTATCACAATTACGGCACAATCGTATTTATAGTAAAAATTAAAACTAGTCAGTAATAATTTTGTGCAGGAGTTGCCGCCCCTTTCAACATGTTCTCCGCCTGAAGCACAATAGATCAAAGCGTGGCCATCTTGTGTCTTTACCACTTCGACAAATAAGATGCGTCGGCGACATGTTGCAGGGGGCGTGGTTTAACTGGCTTTGCACACGGCACTCGGATCACCTGAGTAAAATCGTATGATTTCGATGCTGTGTTGAGATGTGCGAGTTGACTTGCTCACTCGCCACAAGTCTGTTCTAGCACCCCCCACGTCATCCCCAAGACGCCTAGCTCCTGCTCCACCGAGTGACGCCAAGTTGTTCTGGGACGATTTGCTAACGATTATGCTTTGAATAAATTTCTTGGTGTAGAGGTGATAAACTGACATTTTCAAACTGCTTGCTGAACACAGGTGGTGAAATCATAAAGCAAATAAACGCTCAGTCCGGAGCCCACTGCGAACTAGATAGGAGATGCCAGAGTAATGACAGGAACACAAGGACGTTTATAATCAGAGGACACCCAGAAGCAGTTGAGACTTGTAAACGAATCATTATGGAGAAAGTTGGTGGGGTTAGTATGATTAATTAAGTACCAGTAATTTTAATTTGATTGACCAAACTTATATTTTAATGGAATCAAAAAAATTAAAATTCACAAGTTTTGGAAAAAAGTTAATGAAACCTCTCGAAATATACACTTTTCAAATACTAATAGGTTTTGTTTTAGTGTGATCGAACAAATTAATACAAAAAAATAGACCTTTATTGTATTTGTACAAGTGGAAATTAATTGATTTATACATATCGACGTTTGAAAGGCAAACGTGACTAAGCGACAATCACTGATTTGTACATAAATGATAGGCAATAACCATAATCGATGCGCAAAAAATATATATTTCTAGGTCTATTAAAATCATTTCAATCCTACAGCTACTAGCTAGATTCTACTACAGCTAGATTCGTTAAAATAAATTTTGTTTTCAGGTATTTGAACTTTAAATTAGTCTACTGTAAAGTTCACGCATTGTCGCTTAGTCACTTTTGCCTTTCAAGCGTCGATATGTAAAAAACTGTACGACTACATAAATATTTCTCATGCCGAGTTTACAGATTTTGAAGCCTGTAGTAACTTTATTATGTTTTTTGTTTTTCGTCGTTAGCCTGTCAACTTTATCCCGGAAGGCAACGGTAACGGCAACGGCAACGGTAACGGGTCCGGCAGCGGCGGCGGCACCCCCGGCCCCGAGTACTACACGGGCGGCACCCCCGCCGCCTGGGGGTACAACCCGCACTGGCACCAGCCGGCCGCCTCGCAGGGACCGCAGGTACTACGGCTACCCGGTTTTTTTTGTGATTTTTCCTACCTATGCTAATACCCTTGAGAGGCTATATCAGCTTCGCCCTAACGTGTAGGTGAGCTCACGATGCTCAAACCGGAGTGTTGCTAACACTGGCCCTAGCAAGAGCAGTGCTTCGCAGAATCTACCACCGGAAACGCGACCCACTGAGAAGTTCCGGCGAGAAACTCAGTGGGCTGTGTCTGAGGGTTAATTCGCTCGTCGAGCCCTTCGTCGCAAGGGGCGGGTTCGACGAGAACGATGACCGGGGCGGCTACGCCTTCACTCTTATATTAAAGTCAGAGATCATCATCGAATTATTTACTGTGGAGGAAACAATAAGGAATATTGTTCGATATTATTAAATAATATGATTATAAATAAATGCTTAAATCTAAATCAATTATCACAAAATATATAAATAATTTATTTATTTAGCAAATATTAACAATACAGTTAAGATTAATGTAGTGACGTACTGCACAGCACTTTCGTTGGTCCTATCATGATGTCGATATTATTTTACTGAGTATTTATGTAATAAACATAATCCCACATGATAACACAATGTGTAATAACATTTGGTTCCATTGTCTATAGTGGGGAGATAATGTAGGTAGAAAGGATTACTAGAAGAATCTTTGTTTTGATTTATTTTATAGGCGAAGAATATCTGTTCTATCAAAGCAGAAGGGCTTTGGATCTACTTTAACTTTTGTTTTTCTTATTTATATCATAAACATGTAATTACACCAGGTGGGCTGTAACCTCATCGCAGCCCACCTGGTGTAATGTAATTACTGGATCCTGTAAACATTACAGGCCATCACTCACCTTGAAGCAAGGTCGAAATCCCTATTGTGTATTGTCTCAGCCTACAACAGCTGGAATACATTACTGCTAACGGCACTAATAGACAGGGTGCTGATGACTATCCTTGTTTTTTTATTGCTTAGATGGGTGGACGAGCTCACAGCCCACCTGGTGTTAAGTGGTTACTGGAGCCCATAGACATCCACAACGTAAATGCGCCACCCACCTTGAGATATAAGTTCTAAGGTCTCAAGTATAGTTACAACGGCTGCCCCACCCTTCAAACCGAAACGCATTACTGCTTCACGGCAGAAATAGGCAGGGTGGAGGTACCCACCCGCGCGGACTCAAGAGGTCCTACCACCAGTAAAAGTATCCTAGTGCACTTACATTAAATAAGTGTTATTACTCCCTGCCGAGTCTAAAGAATACTTAGCTACTTAAAGATACTCCTCAAGATGGGACATAGATTTGACATTAATTATTGTGACTATGGACTCTTGTTACTGCTACAATGCATACATGTACACAAGTGCATAATTATGTTCATTAGCTTAATCAGTTGTTCAGATACAATAACATTCCTTTGAAACATGTCTTGTCCACATTGAACGATAAAATTAATAGTTATTTAAATTTTATCAGCAACAAGTGTCAATAAACCCAGCGACGGGTCAACTGGATTATTCACAACAATGGATCGACTACTACCGCTCTGTGGGCCTTGTCCGGGAGGCCGAAGCCATCGAACAGGCTAAAATGCAGCAGCAGCAGCAGCAACAACAACAACAGCAGCAGCAACAACAGCAACAACAACAACAACAGCATCAGCAACAAGGTCATTTCCACACTAACAAAAATTACTTATAAATTGTGAAAAAATTACTTAGAATTGTTCTGTATTACTTAGAATACTTACTTAGAATAGTACATAGAGAGTATATATACTATTATATATGACCTTCTCTCTATACTATATAGTTAAGAATGAGAAAATAGCTTTTTTTAAGGAATGATATTTAAAAGAAATCTAAATGTATTTAGGACACACATTTAAAAAAGCAAGTCAAAATAGTTTCCAGACTACCAAGACATTCCATGTTCATTTCAAACAAGCTCTTTCATGTTTAATTGGACATAAATATTTTTTCATTTGTCTATTCTTTTTTCTCTTGTGTATTTACTGAGCAGTACAGGTGGACGAAGAGTTTAAAGGTTACACTAAAGATTATTTTTTTACAGAAGAAGCGAGTAATCAGTCGTTGGGCGGTAACGACAGCGGCGGTCCCTCCACCCCGCAGCCCACGCAGGACTACAGCGTGCAGTGGGCGGAGTACTACCGCAGCATCGGGAAGGTCAAGGAGGCTGAGGCCATAGAGGCACAGATCAAAATTAAGGTGCACATTACGATCTTAAATTGATCACTTACCTGTTTTAAAACTTTTTTTTTTATTGCTTAGATGGGTGGACGAGCTCACAGCCCACCTGGTGTTGTGGCTACTGGAGCCCATAGACATCTACGACGTAAATGCGCCACCCACCTTGAGATATAAGTTCTAGGGTCTCAAGTATAGTTACAACGGCTGCCCCACCCTTCAAACTGAAACGCATTACTGCTTCACGGCAGAAACAGACGGGGTGGTGGTACTAACCCGCGCGGACTCACAGGAGGTCCTACCACTAGTAGGTGAAAGTAAATCAACGAAACGTTTGACTGTTTAGCAGCAGCAAAACCAACAGCCGCAGCAGATGTCGCAGGCGGAGCTCCCGGGCGAGGAGTCCACGCCGCCCGGGCCCGCGGCGCAGTACGCGCAGTACTCCATGTACCAGGGCGCCATGTACCCCGGCTACTCCGCCTACGGGTACCCGGCCGGCTCCGACCACCAGCAGTGAACTCAGTGAGTACTTTAAAGTGATAATTATTTACGAGCAAAAACATATAAAGCAAAATAAAATCCGTTGCGTGCGGTGCGTCTGGCGCGGGCCAGTGGACGTACAGCCCTACAGTAAGTAATAGATGTATGGTTTAGTTTTTTTTTAATCACGTGATTTCCTCATGGCATTTTCGTAATTCGTGGATAAAATAATTCTATATGCTTACGTCGTGTTAACAAATTATAAGTATTTTTAATACGCTTTTACTATTAGCTTCAGACGTATGTATGTTAGTATGTAACAGAATCTTTGAACATGATTTTGACCCCCCCATCAAAACGTCCCGCTTTTTTACACTAAAATCATTTTTTCTTACACTATTTGTAATTCAAATTTATTAAAATTTATTTTCTTGTTTTTAGTTGGATTTTCTATAAAAGCGTATTTTGTTAGTTTTTTTAAACTATTATTTATTTTATGAGTTTACACATAACTAATTAAACTGTAGCCTTTTAACTATCACCGTGCTGTAAGTTAGTAGTCGAGTGTTACGGTCTACAGGGTGGACCGGCCATTCTAATGGCCTCTGTGACTACGTAACGTTACGAGGGCTTGTTTTTAATTATTGCCTAAGCGATCCCATCTTAACCCATCTGTATGGGTGAACGGATGAGGGTATGGCGGTTACAGCGTCTCACTTGCATCCCAACGTAAATACTGCTACCCAGCTTGGAACATAAAGGTCGAAATCTCAATTCACGAGGCTAATTCATAATCTATATCTAGCATTGCCCCCGGTCTCACTGACTACCGCTCTATTAATAAAAAATGGTATGGGTTTTTTTTGTTCACAATAATGTCAAGGTACGATGTAGATGCTGTTAAAAATGTGATTCCCATAAAACATAGCATGCAGTAAACATTTGATATTAGGCTTGGCTTACCTATATTCTTGTTTAACGTATATTTGAGTCGTCTATTATCAAAGGTGGCAATCTGTGCATTTGGACAAAAAAAAATTATTGATATGTCAATACAGATTGATTTGAATATAATCGTCTCCTTCAAAGAATACGGTTCAAAACCTGCATTAAATAAAGGTTAACACTTAACCTGTTATTTATCTAAGATGTCGTTCCGAAGAGTTTTGTGACTGCCAATGAAATACAAAGTCAATAATTCGTTTTTCTGATTTACCAATAATGGTCCAAAAGTCAGATTGCCGGCTTTGATAATAGTCGACTCATTTGTCGTTTTGTATATATATATTTATTTAATAGGCAGCGGCACCAATAACATAAAATTGTTATAAAAATTCATAATGTAGTTCAAACATTTATTTTTGTGTAATATCTGTAGATTTAATAAATCTATATATCAACGGGTGGAAGACTATTGATTTGGTTTGTATAAGCGACATTAATCTTTGCAATTAAAGGTGCGTTTTATTTGGTATTAGCATCAACTGTTAGATGTTTTTATTTGAACTTCAATTACATAAGTTACTTCATTAAAATAGCTGAAGAAATTTTAATTAATGATATTTTTTACAAATTTTAAACTTTACTCCTGTAAAGTTTCAAAAATATAGCTTAAACCAAATAGCCTTCGACATAAGATCTTCTAAACTATCTGCACTTTAAACCATAAATTTGGCATATATTTTATTTTCACTATGAACGGATTTTAGACAAATCTTATCTGTAGTTTGTATATGACAGGTAATTTATCGAAGACTAGTGATCAACAAACAGTTCTTTATTTCCGAAGAAAAGTGACGCGTTTTATTCTTTCTGAATAATACGCTAGTGAAAACACGGGACGCGTTAACTTTTTTAAATAAAATCTAGTAAATCTAAAATTAGTTTACACCGACTTAAAAATGAATCACAAAATATGATTTCATTGGCTAATAGCTATTAGTGTGCTCTTCGTCTATGTTGACTCCAAACGATTTTCCACTTAATATAGTTGCGTTTAGGATTCACATTCGAAAGTGTGCGCGGATATTTAAAAAAATGAGAGCTTTCTGGTTATATATTTAGAGGTGATGGGGTGATAGTTTTAACTAGAGTAGATAATGCTTTTTATTCTTATTGTTCATGTATTTTATTTCAAGTTTTTTTTATTGTATTTCAATAATATATTTTATTTTGCAGGCCTTCATAATTAAGCATGCATGTTTTGATGAAAATAAAAAAATATATATGCTGTTGTATATAAAATTTACGTATGCATTCTTGTTTCTTTTATATTTAAATCTTAAAGAACTGAGTGAATGATATTTTGGTATTGTGTATGTAGTGTTGCAGATAGGGTCACCAGCGCCAGGGCTGCCAGCTCTCTACGTAAAACTACTAAAATATATATTTTTTCCACCATTGTTGCCATGTACGTTTGTTTGCAGAAATGAACGGGTCGAGCGCGGGCTGTCACGACGCGACACGTCTTGTAGATTTAATAATTAAAAAAAAAATTATAAATAAGTAAAAACGTTTCTACATTTCTTCACAGTGCGAGCTATAGATGAGACATCCACAATAAATAAATAAATAAATAAATTAACAATTTAAAAGAAAATACGTCTCTGTACGCGTAAAAAAAAACCAAGAGAAAATTAACGAACAACGTTTCATAGTTTTAGTAATAAATTCAATTAACATAAGTAACGAATTGTTGATTCACAATTTAATCTAACCTCATAAGTTCTCGTAAGACCTCTAGTTTCTCACAAATTCACTTGTTTGAGACAGAATTTTATTTCTTGTGGATCCTACTTCATTTACTTTATCAATACACTGTTTAAAGTATATAATCTTTATGACTGACAATTATCAAATTTATATTTCAAACGTGGCTGTGTGGTCTATTATTATATATGTTTTTTTTTCTCTTTATAACAACAACACTGTACTACTTTTGTATTGTTTAAAAAAAATATGTGTGTAAACTTTTTTTGATTTTCCGTGCCAATATTCATGTATGTTGTGCCAGTCTGTCCAGGTTTAAAATATAGCCACACTGCCTTTAAAAGTCAAAAAAAGCAACGGCGTACCACCCGGGCTTGAGAGAGAGAGAGACACTGAATGAAAGCGTAATGAGAGAGAGACATACTTCGCCGAGGAGCCGAGGTAAATGTATTGAGTGACTTAGCACATTACACGATTGTCGTTAGGACGCGTTAACGTTTTAGTGGATTTACGCCACTCTGAATGTTTTTTATATTTATCGAAACTATGATATCAGTGCGAGGGAGGAAACTCTCGGAATGTGCGTAACGAACTCGTATCTAGTTTTTAAGTTAGCGACTAGTTTTATAAAGTTTACGCGACATCTCTCTTGACTCAGCTCCTTTAGGTAGTAATCGACCGCAGTTTCTAAAAACACAATATGTATTTGAAAATTTAAATCTTGTTACAAATAAAATTATAATGTAATTTTTTTAGTGTATAGACAAACAAGAGGTAATGTAAATCGATCTACATTCCTATAAAAAAAATTGTTCAATTATGGGTAATTAAAAGAAAAACTTATCTTCGCAAGTTTCCGCTCGAGGTTTGAAGGGCGTCGATCCCGAGTCTTGTATTATTTTTTAAGATATAAAGTGTATGTTGATTGACTTGTGTGTTCATTTATTTTAACGTATTTTTCTCTCCGCAGTCCCGCAGGTAAGTGACCCTAAAACCGAAGGTCTGATTTATGCCATGATGTGTTTTGTTAAATGTTTAATGTTTGTAACGATAGATAGCCTATAAGTAGCACCATTTCACGTGATAGTAGCGTCTTTCGATGATGTAAAAAATGCCTATGTCGTTTTTTCCGTGTTTCCTGTGTGCCCTCCACAGCATAATGAAGAGGCAACACGGGACCCCCGACCGAACTTACACCGGACATCGGTACAAATACTTCTACACAATATGTGGACATATGTTTTATATGCATTGTCACTCGAATGTATTATATGTTATTGTTATACTGTGTACCAAATATGTACTGTGCCTAAATATTGTCTTTATACATATTGTCTATTGTATTTAAATGTTATCGATTTTTGTCGATCTTGTTAAAGGTACAACAGTCATTTCCTAAACAAAAACAGACAATTTAAAATAAAAATGAGTGCTGTGGATGATTGGAAACACGAAATGGTGGACTTAGCAAAGTAAAATGGTGGCTTGAGTTAGACAAAATGGCGGCAAACACGAAAGTGGAGTTTTTAAAGGTGGTATGCTATAAATTCGGTAAGTTTGCAATACATAAAATCAGAAAAATATTTACAGGGTCATTTTCAAACCTACACTATTATTATTTTCTAGAATATAAATAAAAGGAATATTTTATATTCGCAATTATTGTTATAACTGAAAATTAAAATTTTCTATATAAGTATTGTTAGGGTGCATCAACATTTCGTATTTTTTAAATGTTTAGTTTGAAAATGCAATGTTGTTTGAAAGTGACCCCTTTTGAACAATGATGTGTAGGGTCTCCGAGAATTTGCTTAAAGATATCCCTTAACAACCATTGCGTTGAATCGCCTACCTAAAACCTTTTTTGTCAAATGATAGTTAAAGTGTCCCTTAAAATTATATAGAAATATGCTGTGAGAATGCAAATTGGCCATAATGATGAGCGCTAGTGCCGTACTTTGATGATTTTCTTACAACCTAATTAAACTAATAATTTTTCCAACTAAATGGTCGATAGCAAGGTTTTAATTCATAAATGAAATGTTAGACATTTAGAACACAACTCGCTAGATAAAAATAGAAATTTAAAAAAACATATATATACTTGCTTGAAAATTTATTAACAAATCTTCTGTTATGTGTAATTATGCATCATTATTATTTTGTATTTATCTCTGGTATATACATTTATGATTTGCATTATCATCGCTTGTTTTTCCCCCTAGATTTTTCACATTCGCCGTTGCTAATAAATATTGCAAAATCAGTTTGTTGTTTTATTTATTTCAACGACAAGTGAATTAGGGATAGGGTACATAACATTGTCATCACAAAGAAAGAGTCACTATTTTCATTTCAAGAAGCAGTTGACGTCTTGAAACTGATTATAGTATTTTAATGTAGGAACCCTTGTCTATGAAACTTAAAGGTGTATTTGTTGAATGTTCATTGATGGGTTCAGTATCTTGGCGATTGCTCCTGTTCCGTGGACGTCTGCGAGGTGATAGAAGCTGCTGATGAGCTGGAATAGCGTATGAGACGTGATAGCTTCGATAGTTGTGCTGTGGCCCAGGGCTCCAAAGGGCTGCCCGCTTCTTGTACCGGTGTTGGAGATATTCTGAAAATATAAACATTGATTCCGATGTCTACGAAATACTATCTCATTATAAATTGGTTTTTGAAGCAATATAGATTAGTTAAAACAAGTTTGGTAAAACGATTATTCACAATTGTTTAATTGAGCTTGTATGATTGAAAAGCCAATAGTAGTAGTTTCCTGTACAGGTCGACATGACCGATTATCTAGGAATGTGACGGTAGTCTATGTACTAATTTTATTCCATTTATTAACAAGGTTTTTATAAACGTGATAATGCCTACAAGAAGTCAATTGCCATACTTAAATAAAGAAGTTTCGACGCGCGAAAAACAAAAATGGAACTTTAACAAAACTCATCATTAGCAAAATATTGCAATAATAACATAACTGGTAACTGGTAACTATCTTAATTCAATTTTCGTTGATGTACATAAATAAACATCTTCTGTCTTGCTCTGCAAAAAGGCACAAGATTCTTATTAGGTACCTAAAAAACATTTAGAACCACTAAAAGACAAGAGAAATTACAATCTAAAGATGAGGTTGGTACTGCCGTTTAATTTTATTTAAAAAGATCCATTATATTTTGATCTTCATTTAATACCTACTTAAAATAAACGGATGTCCAATTTGATAACGTACAGAAAAGTAAAAATAAACGAAATATGTTTACGGACAGAGCCGGTTGAAACCATGGTAGAGCCATATTTTTATGCTAAATCTTTTAAATAAAATTATCGTGTCACAATGTTAGTTACCATACTCCTCTGAAACGCTTCGACCGATTTTTATGAAATTTTATATGTATGTTCAGTAGTTCTGAGAATCGGCTACTATCTATTTTTCATACCCCTAAGTGATAAGGGTTGTCCACCTCTAATATTTATTTTTTATTTTATTTTTTGGATAATTTTTATTGTGTGGTTGAATGAGGTTTTTTTTCTATTATAGAAATTCCCCAGAAATCTTATATATTATGGCAAAACAACGTTTGCCGGGTCAGCTAGTAATGTATAAAGGTAATAACTACTGGTACTACTACTACTATACCTAGTACTTAAACTTTATCGGAGTGTGTCATCAAATCGCTAAGTTTCTATAGTTGTGCAACTACACAGCGTAACGTTAACCCGCAGACGTACACCATCCCGACTATAAATGATGGGGTCAACTGCTATAAGATTGAATTAAGACTTGAATCTCATGTCTCCGGTACTTATCACAGCTCAAATGAGGCGCGAGTTCGTCCACCTATCTAGCTTTTTTCCTACTTAATCATTGGTTGCCTGGGGGGCTTTTCCCAATATTCTAGGTCCGATAGGTGAGCTAATAGGTTCCATCAGAGAGTGCTAACACTGGCCACAGCAACAGCGGTGCTTTACAGAATCTACCACCGGATCGGAATCGCGACCCACTGAGAAGGTCCGCCGAGAAACTTAGTGGATTCCTGTTTAGTAATAAAGATAAAAAAATGACCCTATCACTGTTGAATTATAAAATTAAAATCGTTTGGTATAGTTAGTTACCTGTTTCGTCTCGATCGCGTTGTTTTAGGTCTAGCCTTTTTTTCGGATTTTTGTACAGTAGGAGTACTTTCAACTTCGGCTCCGGTTCCAGGACCTGATTGATATAATATGATAAATTATTGCAACTAACCGCAATTGCTTTGTAGACTTTGTGGGTAGGTCATTACTGACATTTTATGAACTTTTCAGTATTCTTTGACGATCAGAATAAAATCATTCGTCTTTATTTTACAGTAGTAGCAGGATAATTAGAAGCGTGTAAGGGGAAAGTTAACTTTAGATCCTTACCTACAACAAATAATGAGTGTTCTACTTGAGCCGTTCTCCCTGACGCAGCATGTTGAATACACAAGGGTCTTGCAGCTTTTATGTGGGCGATCTCTTCTCTACGACCACCTACAGCTCTAAACACGAAGCACAATTTCTTTTCATTCATCAAAACATCATCAAACATCAAGTACATTACTAATATAAATTTAACACAAAAAAAATACTGGTGGTAGGACCTCTTGCGAGTCCGCGCGGGTGGGTACCACCACCCTGCCTATTTCCGCCGTGAAGCAGTAATGCGTTTCCGTTTGAAGGCTGGGGTAGCCGTTGTAACTACACTTGAGACCTTAGAACTTACGGGTGGGTGGCGCATTTACGTTGTGGATGTCTATGGGCTCCAGTAACCACTTAACACCAGGTGGGCTGTGAGCTCGTCCACCCATCTAAGCAATAAAGAATAGAAAAAGACAGCCAAAACTGGTATACGTTTCTATCAAGCATTACTGATCAAAAGTTATCAAAATGACTAAAATTGATGAAACGATTGTATTGCTATATATACCTACGCACTAAATGATTTTTATGTGGGTTCTGTTTTTCTAAAAACATTCGTCTAAGCTAGTTTATAACCTAACCTATGGCTCAAGCTTACTTATAGCGGGGCACACTAAGCAGAGTTAGCACACGTCATTTCGGATCCTCCCGATCCACTAACGGTGCTTTTAGGTACTTCAAGCACCGGTCACCGTTCTCGTCGAACCCGTCGCTTGCGACGAAGGGCTCGACGAGTAAAAGAACCCTCAGACACGGCTCACTGAGTTTCTCGCCGGATCTTCTCAGTGGGTCGCGTTTCCGATCCGGTGGTAGATTCTGTGATGCATGGCTCTTGCTAGGGTTCGTGTTAGCAACGTCGTCAGGTTTGAGCTCCGTGAGCTCACCTACTAGTTAAGGTTACGCTGGAATAGCCTCTCAAGGCTACCAGCTTAGGTAGAAAAAAAAAAGCAGAGTTAGTAAAGTAACTTCGTCCGCTAGGACGATCATTTTTTTTCGAACCAAACCTAACCCTAGTAGTATCAGCTATGCCGCTATAGGTAGATAGATACCTAAAAGGACGTGGGCCACTCTCCATACATTGCACGGCCCACTAAATGAAGTTCAAGGGCAGTAATGAAATTAAGTTTAGATAACAGACTATAATATCCCCTTTATTATAAACAAATTAAAATAAATATTGTTCAAATAAATAAGAATAATTTTAGGTTATATCATATGATTTTGCTGTCAATACACCGACACTTTAACTTTGATGACGATCATAGAAAAGTATTTGCTCATAATATTACGTAGAATTTTATGCTTTGGGTACATTAAATTCAATACTGAAAAAGTTTTACACTCTTATTTTATAGGGACAGAGCTCTGGAACAGAGTTGACAAATATTATTGGATGGGCCATTAAAAAAATGTGTAAATAAATGTTTAATTAAAGATTTAAAAAGGTAATAAAAAAATCATACATAGATGTAGTAGGTAAGTCAATAATAATTGAATCAGTCATTTCGTCATTTCTTTATTTGCGTAAACTATTCTTCAATGGTAGTGGTATTCCCATATTTTGTGTGATCACTATGATCCTTACATACATTCTCACCTCTTTAATTAATAGGATGCTAATAGACATCTATTGCAGAACACCAATTAGTTTTGTATGCACACAACTCGATGGTAGCAAATCTAGTTTAAGTGTGATCGGAAGTAGTGTTTGGGCATTAGTATCACTTAGCAACTGAAGAACTGGCATCCCGTCTAAAAAAAAGGATATGGCCTAAGTACGTCAATGGCTTTCTATATTTATGTAGAGAGTATGTTTCTTTTTAGTATCTGTAGTTACTGCTTTTCTGAATATATACCTATGTGCCATCAAAAATGGCTATTGCCTTGGAAAAGTCTTTAGAACCAAATAATCCATTTGGTATAATTAGATTTCGCCTTGCTACCTCTTGATGGGTTATGTGATTTAGCTCCAAATGTCGAGGAACAAAATATTAGCTAAGAAGTGTTCTAACTTTATTTATATTGCGCTCAAGAGTTTTTCTAGGTATATTAAAAAGTTGTGATAAGCGTGCATCACTGTCTCCGGTCCTTAATTTTACTAGATAAGCAAAAAGTGCAATTTGCCCCTTCGGCATGTTATTTATTAGAGGCACTTCAGACACAATAACATTAAATTTTTCTCTTGACAATCCAATCCAATAATGAAAATGATCATCATATATTTTGTCTATGTCTTTGAAATCTAGACCTCCTGATAGATGACTTGATTGAAACCATTTTATCATTTCCTCTATATGTTCAGGCAAAAAGGTTTGTGTAGAATTTTCAGGTTCAGATAATACATGCCAAAGTGACGCATTCATATGTTCATCACATTTGCGACATTTTGCTGGTATACAATAATTGTATACCAAAACATAGAACACGTTTTCTTATATCTAATGGTATTATTATTCTCTGTGTGCCTAGACAACCTTGGAAGATGCAATGACGTTGAATAGCAGGCGCACGTCGTGCTCCGAGCCGACATGTCTTCAAACATGTCCATCTCTAAATGATTCAATACGTCAGTCAACGTCAACTTCAAATGCACCATTTTGTTCGTATAAACCTAATCATGGGTCCGCAAAAGTGAGATCAATATCGTTTCAAACTTGTCGTCAGTCTAAATTTATCAGTTTTTGTTTTTGTGAAAATGAACTATGACGACGATACTGACTTAACAGCTGGTCGAAGAAGCTTGTCACACGAAGCAGAAGGCCAAAAAATAGAGCATGAATTTATAAAACTGTATCATAAACTTCCATTACTGTGGGATGCGAAACATCCGGACTACAACAACAAATACAAGAGAAATGCAGCTTTGGATAAATTATTAATTATTTTGAAACAATTGAATCATCTCGCCACAAGATATAATGTGCGGCAGAAAATAAACATATTAAGATCTTGTTATAGAAAAGATTTGCGAAGACATTTGGCATCGAAAGTTATAGGCGCAGACGGAGAAGTTTCTTACGAACATATTCCTACGTCTTGGAAATTTCATAAACTGAGATTTCTTGACGGAAATGATAATAATACTGAGGAATACAAAAACGAAATTACACAGGTTAACATTCAAGACAGTGAATATCATGTAAGTACATATTATATTAATTTAAATTTATGAAGCTTGTGTCCTCAATCCTAATGAAAATCTTTAAATACTTTAAACAGATATAATATAAAAATTAAATTATTCTTTCATGAAAAATCAAGTTTTATTATTCATTACTTCAATTGCTGTTGGTTTTAGATACTTATTGTCTTACNTACACAGGTTAACATTCAAGACAGTGAATATCATGTAAGTACATATTATATTAATTTAAATTTATGAAGCTTGTGTCCTCAATCCTAATGAAAATCTTTAAATACTTTAAACAGATATAATATAAAAATTAAATTATTCTTTCATGAAAAATCAAGTTTTATTATTCATTACTTCAATTGCTGTTGGTTTTAGATACTTATTGTCTTACGACTACTTAGATTTTTATATAAATTACATTTTTAGGATAACAGCAACAATAGCAACCAAAGAAGTGAGGGGTCATCTGGACAAGAGTGCCATGATATAGAAACTGATCCTGACCTAAGTTTAGAGTCATTAAAAACATTTGAAGACAAAACATATATACGGAAAAGCAGTCATAAAAGAATAAAATTAGAGTTAAATCAAGAAGGATACTATCCACCAGACAAGGAGGAGCCTTTAGACAGAGAATTTAATGCAATTGGTGCTAATGTTGCATGTAAACTGAAAAGAATGAATCAGCAACAGAGGTATCATGCGGAACTGCTCATAAACAAAGTATTAATAAAAGGGTTAAAGGACAGTTTAACGGATGACTCAGATATAACTGATGTGTGGAATGTATAGCACTAGAGAAGCAAATTTCTTAATTAGAAATTTGTTTGAAATTGTAAATAATAAATTAATATTTTTTTTATTTAATATTCTGGTTTTTTCTTTTCTTGATCAACATTTTTATAATGAAATAAAATAGGTGTTAATTTGAATTTAATTTCAATGAAAGATTTAGTGTATCTACTGTCATATACTATCTGAAATATTGTAATTCTGCATGGGTCTACTGTATTCTAGTTTGATGGGTAGATTTTCTTATTGCCACTACAGATGATGTGACCCCCTCAATGGTGGTTGTCGTTCATGTTCAGATGTCAGGCACATAGCCCCATGCTGCTGTCTAGGATAAGTCACCTATCAAATGCTTTTACAATACACATGATATTTTAAAATCTTGTCACGTTGTAACCTCTGCCTATGTCAATAAGTCAAATTATGAGGGCAGTTCTCACATTACAGTATGAATAGATAGGTGTTGTTTGGTCACTACTGTTTAAAAGCAGAACAAAATCGAACATTATTGATGGTAGAAATGTAAAATAGTGTAAATGTAAAATAATAGTTTTTAGAAGAAGCTATTCAACATTTAGAAGAAGCTAAGCTTTCAAAATACTGCATTTTTTATTTTTTATTGCTTATATGTGTGGACGAGCTCACAGCCCACCTGGTGTTAAGTGGTTACTGGAGCCCATAGACATCTACAACGTAAATGCGCCACACACCTTGAGATACAGTTCTAAGGTCTCAGTATAGTCACAACGGCTGCCCCACCCTTCAAACCGAAACGCATTACCTACTGCTTCACGGCAGAAATAGGCGGGGCGGTGGTACTTACCCGTGCGGACTCACAAGTGGTCCTACCACCAGTAATAATATGCATAAAATTTACTTGATTTCGTATAAACATATTTGGTACTTACGAATTGTTCCCTGAACTGGGTTGATCATCCCACGGTGCATCACTTTCTATAGCACTGCTCTCAGATGCCACTAAGTACATAGACCTAAAAATGTCCTTTGATTGTATGAATTGTAAAAAGAGTTAGGTAAAGAAAACAAATTTGAAAATAAATGGGCTGAAAATATTGCGACATTGTAAATATTTAACTGTACTGAGCAAAGCTACAAGTAGATTTGATCATATACTTTTTTTATTGCTTAGATGTGTGGACGAGCTCAAAGAAATAGACAGAGTGGTGGTACCAACCCGTGCAGACTCACAAGAGGTCCTACCACCAGTAAAATCTATGCTTCATAAATTATCTATGCTTAGATCGTCTTCCCATTTTTACCTGACTGAATAGGTACTTCTAAAATTTGATTACATAATTAAGGTTCTAAATATTATTATCTAGTGGTCATTGTTTTTAGTTTATGTTCCGTTACTAATCATTTAGGCAATTTCTATTATAGGTGTATTTTCAGGGACATCTAGTTAACGGAACTGGTAGAGTTATTATGATCCTACACAGTAGGGCACTACCATCGTGTTTCCTTCTACCGAGAAGACAGCAGATTTGCAGTGCAATTGAAACTTCGACTTCATGTCTGTAAACAGCGTTCTTGTGATCTATCTGGGCAATGGTCACTCATTCAATTTGGATAGACCGCAAATTCGTCGATAATTATGGCATCGTGTCATGACACTAATGATTGGAACAATTGAAAAGACTTCCCCGGATCACGGAGACGGATCTGTGAATTTTGTATGCAGTTGGAACAGCGCCCCTAGCGGCAAACGATCCCATTCTATACAAATATGAGCTAACTTTTACGCTATCGAGAACGTTAAAAAACTCGCACTAAGCACACAGGTGTGACACACTGGTAGTTTTCCAATTACAGAGTATAATGCGACTCAGTGACGCACAATGCCCAATTATCCTGAAGCTCAATTGGAACGTGAATTAGTTTTCAAATGCATCAGCAGAGTGCGCTAAGTTAGCACAGTTTTAATAACCATTGATTATTTCTAAGAAACTACGACGAAACGAAAGCCTTACAATTTTTTTCAACATTAAATAATATTACTAACGATAATATAAACAAAATTTCGATCAATGCCAACTTAAAGAAAAAACACTTGTCAATTTTCTGTCACTGAGTCGGTATCGATTGCGAGTATCACTCGAGAGCAGCACTTTTGAGAGTGCTCGATTGTGCGAAGCGTTGCTGTAGTTGGAACATTCAACGTTGAGCATTATGCCGCATAATGCGCTCTTGTGCTGTAATTGGAAAACTACCAAAAACATCTCCCGGTGAAGTCAACCGTGACATACCACCATAGATAATACACTCAATAATACCACTCTGAGGGATAATCTACCTACGTGACTTACCTAGCCGGTACATATAGATGTGGGGGCGGTGGTGCGGCTCGTCGCGATGCTGATCTCGCGCGTCTTGCTCTTGATGCTCGACCCAACAGCACTGACTCTGTTTCGGGTTTAAGGCAAAAATGAACTTAATATTAAATAGGTACATTTAATTATCTATCACTAAGTATTTCCTAAGGTTCAAATAGTAAGGTGACCAACTATACTCATTTACTGAGTTTTGTACTCTTTTTTCGCTAACCGTACTCTTTTAAAATCCTGTACTCTGAAAGTACTCATTTGTATAATTTGTTCTTTCCAAAATCTTTCGGCATTTTAGAGTAGAACATATCCCACATGAAAATTTAAAAGTTAAATTAACAGAATTTTTTTATGTTGTCCAGGCACTAACGCTACTGTTGTAAGGGTATTTTCCCTCGGGGATGATTATTGGAGCAGTGAGAAGTCGCAACTTTCTGTAATAACATTATCTGCCGTCTTAACAGTCAAATTTAATAAGCAAAATGAAAGCTGTTCAGATGTGGCTACAATATTAGACGAACATCCTCATTTGGCAAAAAAAAATTCACTGCGAAGAAAAATATGTTTTTAAAAGAAAATAAAGTTTTTATCGTTTTTTTAAATTTCACTTCAAAAACACTACACTGAGAACGTCTAATAATAATAATAATAAATATTTACTAACAATCACGCCACGTTAACTGGTCCTAACTAATGTGTTCTATCTCATTCTCTCGCCGACTGAATCCTATACATTTATGTGTTTGTGTCTCTATGGACTTATTTTTTCGTTTCATCGAGTTTGAAATCACAACGATTCTAAAGAATTTTCACTTCAAAAATAGTTGATCACCTTAAAATAGTGATCAAGAAAATAAATCGATCATTCATTCTATGTTACGGAAACTTAATGTTGACAGTTGTGATATAATTTAAATCGTACCCGATATCGGATCACTGTCGCTGTTGTCATGACGATCCCGCCTCCAGCCAGCATCGGGGGCAGGAGTGTCAGCGGCGACACCGAATAAACCCGACACAGCACCCGCTACCATTTTACGCGCAGATTTTGCAGCCATCTACATTATATAGTTAAATCATAGATTGCTTAGATGGGTCGATGAGCTCACAGCCCACCTGGTGTTAAGTGGTTATTGGAGCCCATAGACATCTACAACGTAAGTGCGCCACCCACCTTGAGATGTAAGTTCTAAGGTCTCAAGTATAGTTACAACGGCTGCCCCACCCTTTAAACCGAAACGCATTACTGCTTCACGACAAAAATATGCAGGGTGGTGGTATCTACCCGTGCGGACTCACAAGAGGTTCTACCACCAGTATATACAGTCAAACCTGGGTAAGTGAGAACTGGATTAGTGAGAAAACTCTATAAGTGAGAGTAATAGCTAGGACCCGTCATTTTAAGCTCCTAAAACCTCTATTAGCGAGAAACAGAAACCTCTGTAAGAGAGAGTCGTTTTTCCCTCATGGACCTCCGTAAGTGAGGCTGCTACTTATCTATACCTCTATAAGCGACAGTCGAGCTTTATTTATTTATAGTATTTAGGAGGAACAAATTACAAAACAAATTACAAATTTAATATCTGCTATTTTATGATTCATTCTTAACTTTTGTGGAACTTCTTAACATTGTTGTTGTATTGTTTTCTCGTCAATATTGAACCTATTCTATTTCGTGGAACTAAATATTGTTGTTATTTTATCGCATTCTTTTCAAATGGACACGTGTACCTGTGTACCGTCCTGTTTGTCGGACTTACTCAGTTTATCGTTAATAAATTGCGAAGGAAAGTTCCTGTCTGCATCATGTCAAAACGGAATATTAAAGTAGGTACTGCCATTAAGTGATAAACTTAAAATAGTGAATTCGTTTGAATCCGGAAAATCGCGAAATGAAATTCAGAGGGTGCATTAGCGAGAAACTCGGGTTAGTGAGAAACCTCTATAAGCGAGAATGAGATTGTGCTCCCTTGAACTCTCGCTTATCCAGGTTTAACTTTATTTAGAAGGTATTATGTATACATATATCTATAAGGTATTATATCTAAGGAAGGTATTATGTGTCCGCACGGAAAGCCCCATCCTACCTATTTTGGCCGTGAAAAAATCGTTCATTGTTCTATGAGTGAGACCGCTACTAAAAAAATTATCTCATGTTTCTAGCTAGATGACAACTTTCACTGAGCGATGTCTATAGACTCCAACGATTACTAAACACAAGGGCATAAGCTCGCCTGCTCGTTAAATTTGAAAACGCATTAATTCTTTAATACTTTCCTCCTGGTGGAACTTTGTACTAAATTCTTGAAGTTCGTGATTAACTACAGACCTAACATTTTGAACTTATCTTTGAATGAGAAGCAGTGCAAAAAATGTGGAGGATTTTTTTTTAATTCAATTTATCAAGAAACGAATATTTTTGCAAACTGCATTTTTATTCCCAAATAAAGGTATATAAAATCAAAGAATGTTACGCTGCTTACTTGTTTTCATCTCAAGCACAAATAGAATAGCAATATATTTATCTTAGGTATATATAAAATTCTGGTGTCACGATGTTAATTACCATACTCCTCTGAAACGATTTGACCGATTTTTATGAAATTTTATAAGTATGCATGTTCAGTAGGTCAGACCTACTGAACATGCATACTTATAAAATTTCGGCTACTATCTATTTTTCATACCCCTAAGTGATAAGGGTTGTCCACCCCTAACATTTATTTTTTATTTTTTGGACATTTTTTTGTTGTTGTAATGAGGCATTATGTGGTTGAATGAGGTTTTGTTATTTTTATATTCCCTCATCGTTCACAGCGCTATAAGCTTTTTTCACTTATTTACCACATCCTTACACATAATAAGTTAGTTTTTTTTTCTACCCTAGAAAGTCCCAAGAAATCTTTTATATGACAAAACAACGTTTTCCGGGTCAGCTAGTAATATATAAAATGATTATTTTGAAAAGGAAAATAATAAAAGCGAAAATAGATAAAAAGGATACTGAGTGCCCAAAATTATTAAAAAAAAATGCCTAACTCACATTGATGTTAATATCGATTTCTGGTACATCTCTCAGATCAGCCGCTTTCTCAGCAAGTTGTTTGAGTTCAAGATTAGTGGTTGCAGGTTTCTCAGCAAGAACTATGAGTTCACGTAGATAATCTTGGTGTACTTGCTCTACAAAATTATGATTTTTTAATACCTACGCTTTTATTAGCTTCAGACGTATTGTACCTTTTTAACGGAATCTTTGAACATGATTTTGACCCCCTTCAAAACGTCGGATTAACTCGAAATTTGGTATACTTATTAAGGACCGATGACAATTTAATATAAAAAAAAAATTGAAAAAAATTTTATTCAACTAAAAAATGAAAAATAAATAGTAGTTTAAAAAAAACGAACAAAATACGCTTTTATAGAAAATCCAACTAAAAAATAGAAAATAAATTTTAATAAATTTGAATTAAAAATAGTGTAAGAAAAATATATTTTATTGTAAAAAAAGCGTGGGGTGCATGGTATCAGTAGTTATAAATATTTTATGAACAGATATGAGTAGAAGGATTATTTTGATAATATCCTGAAAAGCACAACACGTTTTTTTACAATAAAATAATTTTTTATTTCACAATTTTTTTACACTATTTCTAATTCAAATTTATTTTCTATTTTTTTGCTTTTTATTATTATTTCTATAAAAGAGTATTTTGTTAGTTTTTTTAAACTATTATTTAATTTATCACTAGATTTTTAGTTAAAATACGGTAGTTACAGATAGGTTTCAATCGTATCGTATTATTTGGGAGCTTTCCGATCGTATAGACTTACCAGGTTTCTGATTTTCATTCGACTGTTGAATCTCAGGTACTACCGCGGAGTTTTGTCCAACATTTGTTGTTATTTTCACTCCACTTATAGGAATATTGACATTACCTATATTACCCTGAACCGTGGACTGTGTCAATGTTGTTGGGTTTAATTTAACATCCAAAGGCGTCTTAAGTGAAGATGCTTCAATACGTGCCACTGGTGTACCGAGAGTTTTGCTTGAAACTTTTGGCATTTGGGTACCGGTAGTTAAGATTGGGGCATTGGAAGTTTTGCCGTTGACCAACAAGTCCGGTGTAGTTTGTTTTTGATCAGAACCTAAAACCATTTTTGATTTCTAGAAAATTTCTTTACCATTTCACAGTGAAAAGAAAAATATGTTAATAGTAACCTCGAGACACCAGATTAAAGTTTTAATGCATTGTCGTCTACTAAACTCAAAACGTCTAATCAATCGCTCACAACATATCTTAGCGTAAATGGGAATTGTGGAGTGAAATCTAAAGGTTCTAGTAATCTCTTAACAGGTGGGCTGTGAGATAGTCTATTTGTCTGCAGGAACAAAAGAAACCCATGATCGTTTCGCCTAATGAGTACAAAAGAACCTAAGTTACAAAAGGTACAATTAATTATATTTATCGATCTTTATCTAAAATATCTGTTCAAAAATCTCACCAGTAGTGCCAATGTCTAATTCGTGAGTGAAGGCCATGACGTTGAGAGCTGACGAGAGAGCTGGTGCTACACCGTTCCCTACGTCACTAGCTAAACCCACGTCTGACGAAACCACGCAGTCTGGAGGCGGGGCTGGGACTCTTCGCCTATAGAATAGATTCAAACTGCATGACATAACAGAAACCTGATAGGCAAGATCATCTAGTAATGTAACTGTAGCTTCACTTGACCTTGAGACATGAATCATTCATTTACATAATTTGTGGCCTTCAAAACTGAATTCCACCACAAAGGTCTAATATTATAATGACAGGGGTCGATAGCGCCTGGCTTGGTTACTGGCGATCTGCTGTCTGTTGAGTTATAAAAGTGATGGCGGAATCATATTACCTACATAGCAATAGGCTGTTTGCCTATCTGAATCAATTTACAAAAATGGTCACAGCCTAGCCTTCCTTTGAGGTCTATTTCACAATTTTAACCAACTTCAAAACAGAAATTCGGAAATACCTTTTGCTCTAAATTGAGGATTCTCAACGTACCCTTATTTTTTATATTACGTCAGTGTAATTTTAGGATGATTTAATCATAAAAAGGTATAAAGCGGTTAAAATGATAATCTATAAAAATTATTACAACATTAAAAAAAAAAATTTTGACAGAAAGATTTTGTCTATTTATTACGTAGGTAGTATTGTCAATGGGTAGTAATTAAACAATGAGTTTTTTTTATTTGAAGAGCTATCTCATTATCCCGTTGCTTAGTTATTAATTATGAAGTTTGACGTTGTGGCCAAAAAAGCTTCTGTGCCTGGACTTTGATGACATTTTAATTCTTGTTGGCAAAAGACTAGTTTTTCTAAAGGTAAATCAACAGAGATCCTGTCATCAAACATTCTTAGCTACTCACTTAATTCTTAGTGAATATCTGTGACCTTGCTCGTTCACGAAGCCCGCTATAGAAAGCAGAGTATTAAATACACTTGACATTGGCGAAATCTAAAAGGAAACGCCATAAACCTAAGAGATAGATAGATAGATAGATATTATTCCTCATTTAAAATACTCACGGCAAGGGAGCTTTTGTTGGTGTCGAAATTGAAATACGGCCCCACATCAATCTACGTAACTCTTCACCGCTGATACCGCGTCTTCTCAACTCTGCTATTGTCACTTTACCGACGTGCTATAAAACGGTGACATTGTGTTTTAATCTTCGATCAACAATAGTTACTATTACTATTATTATACTACTATTATATAGTATTATTTACTACTATTATATATATTATATACCTACTATTACTATTACTATACTATATAAACTATTGTTGATCGAAGGTTTTAATAAAACAACTAGCCAACTGTGAATAAAAGTGAATACAACCAAAGCTTATATCTTCGAAGTGTCGAGCCCGACTGAGTGGTGTCAAACCAAACCGGTGCACAAAATGGGCGTATTATTTTATTTGGTTAATACCTATAATGTTTCTTCAGGTTTAAATGTTTGATAAACTGAGACTTTTCTTTACTTAATTTGATCCCATAGCATCCCAATTACTTAAAGTCTAAGATTAAGTAATCAACTTCATCTAATTTCGATTTCAATAATTTTTCATTTAAATAAACATTGTAGATTTTAGGTACTGCGTACCTACGTAGAAATTAATAATGCTAAAGCTAGACCAAAAGGCCTTACAAGTGTTGCCCGCATCAAATACAAAAATTGCAATATTATAATATTTTCCTGCAGCAAATATGTATATCTATCTAGGATTAAGCAGGTATCTATAACCATGCACTAAATAATTAAAAAAAACAATTATAAATTTAATTTCATTAAAACTATTTTTACGACTCAATCTCGTGTTTGTCATTGACATTGTTATTGGCATTATTCTGCAGTTTTGGTATATTTTATAATTTTCGTAGTCGTTCGTAGTGTAAGTAGATGTTATTCGTCGACATCTGAATGTTGTAGACCTATTTATACCGTCTATTTTCTTTTAAAAAAATCCAGACTTTTACGTTTCATTTCACACTGCGACGTGCTCTTTTTTTTAGTCCTACCTATGCTAAGTAGGTAAGCTCATGGGGCTCAAGCCGGAGTGTTGCTAGCACTGACCCTAGCAAGAGCAGTGCTTCGCAGAATCTACCACCAGATCGGAAACCCACTGCAAAGATCCGGCAAGAAACTCAGTGGGCTGTGTCTATGGGTTTATTTACTCGTCGAGCCCTTCGTCGCAAGCAACGGGTTCGGTGAGGGCGGTGACCGGGCGATGTGCTCCATAACTCTGACATCGAATTAATTGAATACACAAGTCTGCAATTAGTGAACATGCGAGATTAGCCTATAAAAGTAGTTGTAATTCAACAAGGCTTGCGAAAGCCGAAGATAATACAAAAAAAAGTTTTCCAACAACCTTCCAATTAGTTAAAGCGTCTTTCTTCTGTTTCGCTCTAGTTTTAGCTTTACTCTTGATGACCATAACCGCTCGTTGCTCGTATCTCGGATCGTCTGAAGGCCCGAGTCCTATAGAATACTCTTGCAAGTACTTATGTGCGTCATCCTGGGCCACTGAACGCTCTAGCGATACCACAATTTTCGCCCACTGGAATAATTCAACTTTAATGCCATAGGATCGTTCGTCATAATACAATAGTTTTTTTTACTGGTGGTAAGACCTCTTGTGAGTCCGCGCGGGTATGTACCACCACTCCGCCTATTTCTGCCGTGAAGCAGCAATGCGTTTCGGTTTGAAGAGTAGGGCAGCCGTTGTAACTATACTTGAGACCTTAAAACTTATATCTCAAGGTGAGTAGCGCATTTGCGTTGTAGACGTCTATGGGCTCCAATAACCACTCAACACCAGGGCTGTGAACATGTTCACCCATCTAAGCAATAAAAAAAAAATGTTTATGTTACACAAAATAACAAAAAAGCAAAAAGATTAAAATAACAAAAAAGCAACAAAATAAAATTAATATTTACAGTGTAGTTAGTCGACGAAATTATTCATGACGTCATAGCTATTGTTAAAGGGCGTGCGAGAGAGATAGCTAGATGTACCAATTACCCAATCAACTCACTTTCGATATATTATTATGTACATCTCATTAACAATTAATTTACTTTAAGTCTTGGGAAAAATTGTAGGGGGCCTACCCGTTAAAAATACAAAGGAAGAAGCAAAGTAGGAAAAGTCCCTTTATTTACCTGTTTGACCCATTCCTTCTCAGATTGCTCGATGACGTGAGCGTACGTGTTCCCCATCATGGCGATCAACATGTTCAATAGTAGAATAGGCACGAATATCATGAATACCGTGAACACAGTCTTCGAGAGATTAGGGTACGTTGTCTGACTGAGATCCGAGTACTGGAAAAAAATCAATGAAGTTCTGAGACTCGTGTCGATTCTCAGTAAGAGAAAGCTATGAAGGCTGTATAGGAATAGTTTTCGAAGCTAAATCCTGTTAATAAAACGCATATCGGTAACTCTTTGCTTCGGTAAGTTATTCACGGTTGTAGAGTCAAAATTAAGTGAACCTACAATGTAATACGAAGGTAGATTCTTTGCGTGCAGTGCTTTTTTTTATTGCTTAGATGGGTGGACTAGCTGCTAACAGCCCACCTGATGTTAAGTGATGTTAAGTGGAGCCTATAGACATCTACAACGTAAATGCACCCACCTTGAGATATAAGTTCTAAGATCTCAGTATAGTTACAACGGCTGCTCTACCTTTCAAATTGAAACGCATTACAACGCCTAACGCTTTAAGCACTAGATAATATAATTTATCGATAGCATTGCTTTTTCATCATCTCATGCATGCGTTTTACTTCATAACTTTGAATCACTGTCTTTCAAGGCGTTATTAATTGCTGTTATTATTTGTCTGCTGAATTTAAACCTTGTTTTTAGTCTAGGAATAAAGTTTTGTATATTCTCTCCGTTTTTTAGAAACGATTCCGGCATATATCTTGCCTTTTATACTTTAAGATCAATACACTATTAATTATACCTAAACGTCTTGAAAACCGGTGTGTATTAAAATATATTAAACGTTGCTTACGCTGTAATCTCCTAAGGTGATTTGGAATAGTGCCATCCACGTGCTGGGGTAGCTCGAGTACAAAGTCGACTGTACGTTTGGAAAACCTGCGCACGTTTTGAAAAAAAAGAAAAAGAAAAATTAATACAACATCGATTTTTCAATTTTGTGTCCGTTAAATTCTGTCATCAATTCGGAAAAGAGGTTATGACTTATTAACGCTGGACAGGATTTTGATGAGTCTTCAATTATTGAAAAATATAATAAAATCGGTACATAATCTGATAAAGACATAAGAATAGACGTTTTTATAGAGTACTAGCCGTACTGGGCTTCGCTGGGCATTTAAAGTTAACATTATTATTTATTGTCATTATTATTAGGGAGTGCGACACTCATAAATAATATCCATTAAGTACATATATTTTCTACTTGGATACCATGTTTCAAGTCAATCGGATGCACGGTTCAGTAGTTATAACGGAACATCCGTAAAAACCACTGTAGATTTATATATTAGTACTAGCTAGTAGAGTTATATATTAGTATAGATAATTCTTTGTAATCAGTTTGTTTGTTTGTGGCGATTCCAGCTACGCGCGGACGGGTAGGTGACCTCGCAGGGCTCTATCTGAGAGTTTGCTAATGTCTGCCATAGCTAGAGCAGTTCTTGGCTGATCTTCACCAATCGCATCGGAATTGCAACCCACTGAGAAAATCCCGCGAGAAACTCAGTGAGTATAGTTTGTAAGTAATTTGTGAAACTTTAAAATATGACTTTATGAGGGAAATGTATATCGGCAACTTTGTCAAAGATGCGTTTCATTTTTAATGAATTTTTATATTTTTAATGAATAATTATGTTCCACTATAAATTCTCTGACATTTTCAGTAAAGTTGCTAACCATGTTTTAATTGGAATCCATGTTGATCAGCGGTTCTGCGTTTCCGACATAGAAAGGCTTCGCGAAGCAACGCGAGCCTTTGTTCGTCAATCAAAAGTCAACGAGCAACTGGAGCAACTTATCAACTGTCAATGACGTTGAGTAAGCCATTTATCACGTACTTAGTGGTCCCCCGGTAGTCGAAATTCGACTATAATTTTTATACTTCTATAATCACAGATTTCGCCAACACTACACTTTAGACAAATACCTATTAATAAAGACAAACAATATTTAATCTATTTTCAGTTAGACCTCAGACTATCTATAAGCAATAAGAAAAGTTTGACAATAAACAAAAAGTATGCATGCGTGTGTGTGTCAAATACACGGTAGTGTGTGTAATGTTTTTTTTTGTTGATTTAATGTATTTTTATGCATAGTTATAAAAAAAAATAACATTCTGCACTCCGTCTCTATATTCTCTCTATAAGTGTGGGAAATTTCATACTCCTCCGTCCGCGCAACTTTCGTAAAAAGGGGTACTACAAAGTTTTTGCTTCACGTATTAATATATAGATTATCTGTATTTAGAATAGTTAAAAGAAACACCAACCTCTATACAAGAAGTAGAATGACTGCGAGAAGCCGAAGAGGACAATACAGTAGATGATACCGAACGTGAACATGTCCCCTGTTATCATACTGTAGATCATTGTCACGAATGGACCGGTCAATTTCACCGCGCTGCAAGCGAACTTTCATTAATTTCAATCATGTATTTTGCGTATGGAGAAAAGAATTAACAATTATTAAATAACTATATTTTTCTAGACAAAATGTTTGAATAGGTCACGAAGTTGATAGTTGTATCTCGGACTAAAAAATACTTGTGTCTATATGGCTAGATGTCTCAAAGTAGCTGAATGTTTAATCAATTTTCGTAACTCTCCTAATCTCCATATATATTTAAGCCATTTATGAAAGAAAGAAAAAAAACTAAACACCATGGTGTTCGCGTTAGAGAAAGTTCGAATGGCGTCAAATGTTCGTTTTAGTTATTTATCCAAGATGAACATTAGGAAAAGCCTTTGAATAAAACAAACGCGACTAGCGTTTCTTCTTAAAATTTAGACTCAATCTTCTTAATCTAGAATTCAATTTATTAATGTAAGTAATAATAGGTATATTTTACGCTTAGGTACAGTTTTTCTGACGTAAAACTAAAATTCATCAGACACAAGATGTGTTATTTGTCTAATTACTATTCGGGGCTGGTTTATTTATCTATGGTCAGCGCGTCCTTTATTTTGTAGACTTTAATTTGGTCTTTCAGTTGTTGGAAAAATACAGATGTCACGTTATATTTTTCGTCATGTCTTCGACTACCTGTGCCTCGCAGCCATTTTGTCTGGAGACTATTGTTAAATGTAGGCAGGTAGATGTAGTCTACGTGCCACAAAAAGTGCAAAAAAATAAAAAGAATAGCACTCGAAATAGTCACGTAACTAGGGATCATAGATAATACATATAAATTAGTTATAGATAGACAACTCAAGTCAACAAAGATGTTTACGGGCGTCGGCCACTTCGCTTCGCTTCGATTAGTTTCTCATTGCTCCTGTAGATGGCAGTAACGTATTACCTATCCTATATTTTATTTTTAATGAAGGATTTTGTAAATTTTCAGAAACCACAAATTGATAAAATTGAATCAATTTGTCTATAATAACAAATAAATACTTGTATGATTTATTATAATATTTTTTTATTTTCTGTGTTTAATTAAACAATAATGTAATACCTTAACTTTAACAACATACAAGTTTAGGGGCATCCGCTACAAGATGTCGCTAGTTTCCGTATAATTTTTTTTTGTCTTAAAGTATCACAGTTTCAGGGCCCTGCTAGGGATGGGCAAAATAATTCAAACAAGCTTAAATTAAAATATTAATAAAACTAATTTAAGCAGTGGAAAGGAAACAGAAAATGCGTTGCTAAAATTAAAGTATTTTATTATGTATTACATCAATCTCAAAGTGGGTGGCGCATTTGCGTTGTAAATGTCTATGGGCTCCAGTAACCACTTAACACCAGGTGGGCTGTGAGCTCGTCCACCCATCTAAGCATTAAAAAAAAAAAAAACAATGCTTATTTCATCTATACCGCTGCTTACCCAGCAAAAAACATCAACAAAAACCACGATCCCGGCAGCAGGAAAAGCAGTATGGCTTCCTCCACGTTGGTCTCCTTAAGGAGTCTGGCCGGTATGCACGCTAACACAAGGATGTTTGACGCCAAAAATATAAATTTGGCCGGCTCGTGAATCTAAAAATAAACGATTCGCTAAAATTTCTCCTTTCGTAGCTCGCAAAAAGCATTCGCGCACCTCATTGTCAATTTCATTTTGTGAAGTTAGAAAACTTTTTACTTAGTTTTTTCTGATGGTCGAATCCAACGAATTTAGTTTATTAACTCAATGGGACATGAATCAAGATCGCCATAGCTGTTTGTCAAAAAAAAAAAAAATAAACAAGCAATACAAGGCAATAATCTGGAATAGCTTATTCACTAGAGACATAGAGATAACCCGATAAAGTTAAGAAACATTAGTAACTATATTACTTTCTTGTCATATTTTTTAAAAGATACTGATATCTTGTGATATTGTATAGATTGTGAAAAAACTAGCGTGCAACTTGGTGCACGTGGATGAAGTGAAACTTCTTTTTCGATGTGCAGTATTGTGGTTTTCTTTATTTTTCATCCTTAAATCAGATTGCTGTTGTAATGCGGAATGCTGTGTATAAGAGATGCGATATCCTCAACATTTATATTATTATATATTTTAAATACTTCATTAGAATATTGGACGCTACTCGTTGCTAACGCTCGCGCTGGCCTGTAACAGGCACAGAACACTATTACTTCTAGCGAAGGTAACAGGTATACTACGCGCGTGCGTTCGAGTGCCGCGCATTCACTCTCGCTCTGTCTCTTTCTAGTATGGTAGCGTTAAGCATTTAACGCAACCTTGTTAGAAGTCGCATTAGAAGTTTAACTTCAATAAGTTAACACAACGAAATGCTGCGATTGCAGGTGTTTGTGTGTGTGTGTACAACTTACCAACTGCTTAAAATAAGCGACCAATCCTTGATTCTTTAGCTCGTCGCCTTGTTGCAGTATAATATAACACAATGTGCTCAATATAGTCCCAAGTTCACTGGCAAGCCTCAGTCCGCTTCTAGCGTCGTTGATCTCCAAGCCCCAGTTGGGATGGGCATCAGCTTCTGCGCTGCTGTGACGTAGGTACACAGAAACGGAGAGCAGGAGAAGATGCAACATCAGTATGAGGAGACGTTTGAGGAATTTCGTCTAGAAAAAATAGTTTAATATGTTATTGTTTAATAATATCATAAATTATACTTAACGTATATATTTTTATTTAACTTGTTCATACTGCGATGAGTTACGTATGTGATACATGAGGTTCCTGATATTTCGATCGTGTTGCAAGCGCCGTGAACATCTACCCGTGTTCGTGGCGCTGGCAACACTGTGTAATTACCTACATTACCCTTGAAAGTTTTAAAACAATTTAAATTATTGTAATATAGTGTACCCTGGCAAAAGTCTTCCATTTTTCTTCGAGCAACCTTTGTATGATACCGCCGTCTAACATGTTCAAGTGTTCTTGCTTTGTCCCGTTCAGGATAATGAATAAAGCCGAATTCCAATCTGAAATTTAGGGTAATGTTTTTGTTTTTATTAGCCTCGTTAGACTCAAGCGGCTATTGCAGCTTCAGCTAACAGGTAAGCGAGTTCACGGGGCTAAGCATCAGAGAATTTGATAACGTCTTCCCTAGCAAGAGCAGTGCTTCGTTACCTCTACCACCGGATTAATTAATTAATCCACCGACACAACTCAGCCGGTTGTGTCGGTGGATTAAGTGACACAGCTAATGTCCTTACTCATACTACACTAACAAGTAAGTAATTGATGAAGAAAATCAGTATTGTTTTGTGAACTTGTAAACATTGTAATCATTTAAAAACAAAATTCGTCTCTGTTTTATATTGTACTTAACAAAAAAAATCTAAGTAAGCTTAAGTAATTTTCCGTCCTTTTTGCGAGACGTAGACATAAATAAAAGTTTTATGTTTAATCTTGCGCTTTAACTGTCATTACATTATTTCCGGCGTTTTGAACAGCTTACAGTTTTCGTGGTCACTGACGACTAAGGTGTTATTCGTTGACCTTTCAATATTCAAAAGCAATAGAAGACAACAAAGACGGAAGTAAAAAATGCAAGGCTAAACCGCAAAGTAGTTTTAATTAAGATAATGTAACAAACAGTAGAGGCTTACTTGTACGCCCATCAGGCAGCAAGGTATCTAAAGCGTTCAAAGGGTAAGCGGAGCACGTAATGTTGGAGTAGCGCCAGAACTCTCTGGCTGATAGCTCCAGCATCTCTCTGAAGACAGAGGCCCGACCCAACTGACAAGCCAAGGTTAGTGGGGTAAAACCGGCTTTATTCATTCGACCGTTACTGGCCGGAACTTTAGGGTGACGCAGGGCATATCCAAACATGTCCTGAGAAATAGGAAAAGAAATCGATAAAAAAGATAGAGGGATTTATAATGTGAAGCTGGTCAATCTAGACAAGGGAATGAAATGTGTTACAAATGTGTATGTGGAAGAACCATTCTGGAATATAGTGTGTTACCAAACCTATTCTTGCAACCTACCACATACCATGTGGCTCTGGAACACACTTGGTTTGAAGGGTGAGGCAGCCGTTGTAACTATACTGAGAGCTTAGAACTTATATCTCAAGGTGGTGGCGCATTAACGTAGTAGATTTATATGGGCTCCAGTAACCACTTAGCACCAGGTGGGCTGTGAGCTCGTCCACCCATCTAAGCAAATAAAAAAAAAGGAAAAACCTTGCCAGATCTCGCATGGTGCTTTTCCCGGAGCCGTCTTATCTAATAAGCTATGTTCCACATTAGTGAACAACAGATACCTACCACTCACCACCAGGTTATTTATTGTTCGATCGCCTTCGAACTCATTAAAAAGTAATTTCAAATTAATTATACCTACTACATATTTAAAATTCGTATTGTTCATGAATTCGTTATCATTAATACGTTAAACTGACTAAATGCATATATAATTGACCATCAAACATAGTCTCCGAATGTTAAATAAGTTGATTTCAGCAGTCAACGATTGCGTCTCTGTCGTGTTCTGATTTTGGGAATATCTGCCATAAATGGTATTTTTTTGTGTTAAGTGGTTACCGGACCCCGAAGACATCTACAACGTACATGCGCCACCCATCTTGAGATATAAGTTTTAAGGTCTCAAGTATAGTTACAACGGCTACCCCACCCTTCGAACCGAAACGCACTACTGCTTCACGGCAGAAATAAGCAGGGCGGTGGTACCTACCCGTGCGGACTCTCAAGAGGTCCTACCACCAGTGTAAAAGGTAATGGTAAGGTAATGGTAATGGTAATGGTAAAAGGATTTCATTGTGTTAATCAGTTAATTCAAATAATTTAGGGGTTTTTTGACAAATTAATGGAGCAGAATTAATACATGTAAGCATACCAGTTTATCACAAACGACCACCATGTGTAGTATCATGTTCCCGAACGAATCCTGAGCATCGGGATCTGCCCCGGAATCTAGTAAGAGGTTGTAGACTGCTTCGTTCGCGCAACAAGCCGTCCAGGCCAGGGGGTATTCGCCCAAGTATGCCAGACCTTCGTAATTTGTTTGTCGCGCTGGCGGTACTCTTTGTTGGTCGCGGGGTAGGAAAAAGCTACCTGTGTTACCATTTTCAATTAATATTTTCTCAAAACATTTCTTATGGATGTTCTATATATTCTGGAAGAGAGTACCTACTGTGAGCCCACACGGGTAGTAACCACCATCCTGCCTATTTCTACGTACTAGTTATGCGTTCGTTTTTGAATAGTTGGACAGGAGTTAGGTATATAATACAATTTGAGACTTTGACATCATATCAACTATTTTGATTTACTCGTATATTCAGCACCGTTATTACTAGTTTTAAGATACTCCTGTAAAAAACTCTCCACGAGACAGGCAGTGCCTAGTGTGGAGAGTTTTTAGCAAACTGTTATGTATGTTTTCAAGGTTTTCAAGGTTAATGATAAAATTCACGTAGTTATGTCCATGGACTCCATTGATTAAAATTAGATCAGACGGACCCCGAGCTCAACTGTCGATTGAGGGTAGTATCAAAAAATATTAAAACAATGAGTCCATTTACATGCCCTTCTTCAAACGAGGCTTGTGGAGAGTATTAAGCGGTAGGCAGCGGCTTGGCTCTGCCCCTGGCATTGCTGAAGTCCATGGGCGACGGTAACCACTCACTATCAGGTGGGCCGTATGCTCGTCTGCCTACAAGGGCAATAAAAATAAAATAAAAATTAGCTTCGTTAAGTACGCACCAATGGCTCTCTGGTTGACATCAGCTCCGGCCTCAACTAGATCTTGTACTAGCTCGTTATTGCTGTACGCTATTGCCAGATGTAAAGAGCTTGCCCCTGTAACGATTCATTTAAGATATAGTTCATCATAACCATAGGTACTCTGTAAAATTATTCAATTAACCCTAATCTGTAGACAAATCTGAGTAAATATACGTCACATGAAAATTACGGGCTAATATTTTTCCTCGCGTGTGTTTAGGTATATAATTATATAGAGATATTCCCCTCGACCGGATATCCGTAAATGGATTCTCCAGCGTTAAAAAAAAAGCGTATATGAACTTTGTGCTTTACACATAATCGTATTTTATTTTATCTAAAATATAAAAATAAAACAATTTGTTAACAGCAAAGCTAGCGCAGACCTACGTTGTTGTTAGAAAGGTTGTTTCTGAACAAACTAAAGAGACTAAGTTTAACGTTTAGGTTGCACTGAGATTTTATCGCTATTTAGGAGATACGGAGCTTGAGATATGTGACGTTAATTTTCTGCCATCCTTCGGACCAATAATACTAAAACACTTATGGGAGCCAACGGTTTGGCTATGCCCCTGGCATTGCTAACGTCCTTGAGGGACGATAACCACTTACCATCAGGTGTGTTGTATGCTAGTTTACCTACAAGCTCATTAAAACGCACGGCCATGACGCTATTTTTTTATGTGTCCCACATCGTTGACGGTACGATGTTAAAAAGAGGAAAACGGTACCAACTCAATAGAGTTCCACGAAGCAGATCGTGTGGAACATACGATATTTATTAGTGAATCACAGCATTACCTGCATATATCCCGAGTTCGTTCTGTAACGAGGAAACCCGAGAATAAACCGTAAATGCGGTTTAAATTATACTAGAGGCCCCGCAGTAGTCGAAATTCGACTATAATTAATTGGAATTGTAAGTTTGTACACTATTATGATTGTATTTTATATTTCTATAATCACAAATTTCGCCAAAACTACACTATAAAAAATATTAACAAAGACAAACAATATTTAATCTATTCTCAATTTGACAACAAACGGCAAGAACAAAAGTTTGACAATAAATAGTATGCATGCGTGTGTGCGTCAAATACATGGTATATAGTGTGTGTAATGTTTTCTTTATTGATTTAATGTATCTTTTATGCATTATTTTAAAAAAATATTAGCATTGTGCACTTCTTCTCTATGTTCTCTATAAGTGTGGAAAATTTCATATTCCTCCGTCCGCGCAATTTTCGTTAAAAGGGATACAAAGTTTTTGCTTCACGTATTAATATATAGATATACGACTCGTGAAAATCACACAATAGGACATAAGACTTTCATAAATCTTCTATCTTAAACAAAACGCTTCTGCTGATTGTACTATGTAAATAATTCAAGACCTAAAGATTACTGGTGGTAGGACCTCTTGTGGGTCCGCACGGGTAGGTTACCCTACCTATACCTATACTGCCTATTTCTGCCGTGAAGCAGTAATGCGTTTCGGTTTGAAGGGTGGGGCAGCAGTTGTAACTATACTGAGACCTTAGAACTTATATCCAAGGGCGGATCCAGCTTTGGCGCCAGGAGGGGGTCACATAGTCGTGGGCAAGTTAAGAACTTATAATTTAATTTTGATAACAAGAGATAATAAATAAATCATGATGTTCTTCAATTAGTCCAAGTTAGTTCAAGTCCTGGATCCGCCGCTGCTTATATCTCAAGGTGGGTGGCGCATTTACGTTGTGGATGTTTATGGGCTCCAGTAACCACTTAACACCGGGTGGGCTGTGAGCTCGTCCACACATCTAAGTATTAAAAAAAAAACATATTAATAACATTGAAAATTTTGAAAACGCGAGGTCAAACTCAGTTTTAATCATGTCATTGCATCTTGTTTATTGTTCTATAATTAGTTTTCACTCCATCTGAATACACACCTAAATATTCTTCACCTTCAACGACGTCTAGTGACAGCTTCGGAAAACATTTTACTAGAGTTCGAGCTAATCTTGTATGGATCTGTAATTTCAATCAATAGATAGTTAGTCGTAGCTGCAATGAAATCGATTTGGAATATTTGTAAAACACGAGATTGTGCTGAAAAATCGAAGGAAACAAAAATATTTTGTGCATTTTCATACAGTGTGCTAGTTTAGGACAGATAAATTTCAAAAACTAATGTTCTACATTAAATATGTTATAAACTAGGTATTTATTAAGGGCAAGTAAGTACACACCCTTCGAAATCAAATCAAAAGTGTTATTTTTAACGTGTTTTTATAATATTGGTGTGTATGTATAAATGATTGTGAGTAATGGAATCTTTGAACGTTATTTTCACCACATTCAGAGTTCAACCTCAGATTAAATTGAAAATTTGCACACGCATCAAGGATCAATGACAAGACAATAATTTGAAAACTTCGCTTTAGTATCTAATATCAACCGTATAAGAGAAAATATGAAATCACTTGTTAGTCCGATTTGCTGTTTAAGCGTATTTCTTTGTTTATATACTATCGACCCGCCCTCGCTTCGCTTCGGAAACTGTAATTTATTATTGGTTTCTCCACTATTTAATGGGTGTTATTATACATATAAACCTTCCTCTTCAATCACTCTATCTATTAAAAAAAACCGCATCAAAATCCGTTGCGTAGTTTTAAAGATTTAAGCATACATAGGAACAGATATAGGGAGAGAGAAAGCGACTTTGTTTTATAGTAGGTATGTAGTGATAAACATGAATACCGTTCACCTTAGTATCACAAATAATGAGTACATGAAGCAAAGATTCGCCGAGAGCTCCTCTATAACACATCTGCCAACAGGCGGTGTGGTCTTCCCATTTGGCGAGCGGGTCATAAGGTGAGAGCGATGCTTCAATTGGAAGTACAACCTAAAGACACATTTATTTATGAGCACGCTTTATCCTGCATCTATTTAAGTAAGGAAATATTATAAAGTAATTTCAACTTGCTTCAAAACGTTTGACTACCTTTAAAATTCGCACACATATCGAAAACCGATGAGGATGTAATAATTTTATTATTTCGGGCAAAATATAATACTGCGATAGTCAGAGTTGAATATAAAAGGGTGCGTGTACTTATGCACGCGCGTAAGAAGTTATACTTTTTTTTTTTTTTTTTTTTTTTAAATAAATAATTAATAATAAATATTTAACGTTAATAATTTAATAATCTTTAGTATGAATTATATTAAATAATAATTTTGTCATTTATATTACTAAAAAATGAATGCTAATAACACTTTTTTTACGAGTGTACATGCGCGAAAGTTCACCTGCGGCTATATTCAGACTCGCCAAGTTACGTCGGTCGTATTGTAATGAGCGATTTAGTGGGTAACTTCATTTCTGTTAATTTTGTGTCACGGAGCGCGCGCATCGTAAAATTTCACTCTCATAAATTTTTCATAACGCGCCTAAAGAAGTATAACTTCAATAATTAGAATTAATATTTTTAGCTCGCTTTGCTCTTAAAGTCTGTTTTTGTTTTTAAACTAAATTATATGTATTACTTTAATTCAGGAAGATTTGGAACTAGAAACATAAAATATATTTTTTCTAAAGCTACGACTTTTCTTGGTTGTTCTTTTATTTTAATAACTAAATAAAATCTACTTAAGAAGTCGACCAGTGATCACGGCGCTTGTAACAGTGTCGAAATATCAGAAACTCATGAAAAGTAAAAATCGTGGTGAGAACCCGGAATAGTCTAGTAAAGTGTAGATAGCGAAAGTTTAAAACAATTTTGTTATCTGATAAAGGTTTGCCCAACCTCTAAATGCCATGTCCTTTGTGATATGTACGGGTTCCGGCAGCCATTTAACACCAAATCGATCACGATTTCATTCATTTAGCTTTGTAATTATAAAAAAAGAAACATTGATACATACATATTTTATTCCTTCTCACCTGTTCTTGGTCTCTGAACTTCCATCTCAAGTATTCAGCACGATTGATGACCCGGCCCCTCCCTCCGCCGTACATGTATGCAGCGAATTCGTCTCTCATTAACTTTTCAGCGGCTGTCATGCCACCTTTCGCGTAGGTCTCTAAAAGTAGACCGCCTGTAATGGTTGAAATATGTCTGAGGTGTCGGAATAGGCACGGAGGTGACTTGCAGGCGGATACATAGTGTATGAGTGATGTATTGGCAAATGATGACGTGTTTATCGTGCCTTTTTTTTGGGCCTGAGCCGAACCTCGTACGAGGTCCACGCGCCTAGGGGGCGCACGGGGTATGTGGGACTTGGCGATCTGCAGATGTTATGAGCAGACCGCAGGCCAAAAGAGTTTTAGGGACCTACCGCACTAAACGACTCCCCTGCACTCTCATACCCGACGTCCGATCTCCGTCTGGGGTCAGAACCTAGTCAAAGTAGGGGGGTTCCTGCGGTCAACATCACAACATCACAGCGCCTCTCCGAGGACGCACGGCCGACGGGTCGTCGAGGCGACGGTCAATGACCAACGACGCCGGTCGCCACTCTACCAGGCTGCCTGGGCGATGCCACTGGTGTTCCGGGATACCCCGCTGGGTCAGAACCAGCCTGCCGGGTCGGAACGCGATACACCGACGACTGGGTTGCTTTTCCACATGTTCCTCTTCATCCGTCATGCCAGCGCGCTAAAGTGATGGTAGCGTGCGGTGAAGCCTCAACCTCTCAGGTCTCCCCGTGACCATCACCGGGAGGAGACTGCCTCCTCACAATGGCCGGAGCTGGATGAACACCCTCCTCTGACGACCGATTCGGCGGCGGTGGCACGGCGCCGAGAGAAAAGAAAAGCTCTTCCTCTCCCGTTTCGCCGGCTCCTTCTGCGAGATAGTGGACTGCCCGCTGCCGAGCATCGTAGCCATGACGTTCGGAAGCGACAAGTCCGGTCCTATTTTTGTAACGAGGACGCGGCGCTGCTCCGCGAATGCAGGACAGTACGCAAGTGTGTGCTCCGCCGTGTCCTCGTTACAGCCACTGCAGTGGTGGTGGCACTTCGGCGTCGGCTCCCTCCGGGCGACTAGGTGCAGGTAGCGGCCGAAACAGTCTTGTGCCTTGAGCACCTGCGTCGCATGCGGACCGAATGGTCGAATGGTAAACAGTCGACGCTGCCTAAAACACGTTTTTTCGCATTCCGATGCGTCATCGTTGCGCAAGTTGTCTTGGACATTGGACTCTTGCGTGTTATGCTGTATACGCTGATAACGCATCGGACGTCCGCGAAAATGCTGACGCTGGCGTTGGTCGCCTGAGTGTATACCTCGATTTACGATATGTGAAGTTCTTTGACCTGTGCTATTTTCATAACAATTATAGTTACGACTATAATTTGTCTTATTGTTATAAAAATGGCTATCTCCTCGGCCTCGGAAACCTCTGTAGTTTCCACGTTTAACATTGTGGTTAGCTCTAAATTGCATAACCTGCTCTTGTGGGTGGAAATACATAGATTGCTCGTCTACCGCAGCTGTAATACTTCAGATAAGGACGCAAACTGTCGCGAGGCAATCATGGTGCTGAGCCGTCTGTCCGCCAAACCATCGCTAAATCTTTTAATTGCAGTCTTCTAATTGAGAGGACGCAACACCTCATATGCATCGCGCTTCTCGTTAGCCTGATATGAGATTTACGAACAACTCCTGAATCTTAGAACCAAATTTTTCTGTAGTCCTACGACCTTGAGTAGCTCTAAATAATTGGGTTTGTAATGCTACAGCCGATTTTTTCGGTAACAAATGAACGCGAATATCTTGGACATTGGACTCTTGCGTGTTATGCTGTTCAGTATCCTCCCGATCGACTAACGGTGCTTTTAGGTACCTCGAGCACCGGTCATCGTTTTCGTTGAACCCGTCGTTTGCGACGAAGGACTCGGCGAGTAAACTAACCTACAGACACAGCCCACTGAGTCTCTCGCCGGATCTTCTCAGTGGGTCGCGTTTCCGATCCGGTGGTAGATCCTGCGAAGCACTCTTGCTAGGGTCAGTGCTATTAACTTCGCCAGGTTTAAGCCCCGTGAGCTCATCTAGTCGTTCGGTTACGCTGATGTAGCATCTCAAGGCTATCAGCTTACATAAGAAAAAAGGGAGTGGCCTGCTCGAAGTGGTATTCGGAGGGCGACCCCTTTTGAAGAGCACTGCTATGCTTTTCGTGGGGTTGATGTCAATGCACCATTTCTGGATATAATGTCTCATGGTGGTTGTTGCGATCTGGAGTCGCCGATGCAATGACAACTTCCTCCTACACGAGTAGTAGATAACTGTGTCATCACGAAGAGCGCTAGATGAGTCTCCAGAGACCGGGGTATATCGTTGATATACAAACTAAATAACAACGGGGAGAGCGCGGAGCCTTGCGGTACTCCGGCCGTCAGATGACGGGGGCGAGAGCGAGTTCCTTCTACTCGATACCGAAACGAACGGTTCGACAAGAAGTTTCGTATGATGAGCAGGAGTCTGTCAGGCACTCCCGTGTTATACCTACCGTTTGTAAATCAAACCGCTAAGCCAGATTTCGGCGAACGCCTTTGTGATTTCAAAGAAAAGGTCTCCGGTCGGGATTGGTTTCCGCCTATTTAGGCCCTTTAAAATAATATGCTCTGTGAGGCGGTGCAGTTGTTGTATGCACGAGTGTTTGGCACGGAATCCAAACTGCTCGTCGATTAATAATTTCCTTTTGGTAATGAAGTCCCAGAGGCGTTTTCGAAAGAGATGTTCGTATATTTTGCCTATCGTTGGGAGGGGACTAATCGGTCGGTAACTCGCGGTTTAATTTTTCGGTTTGCTCGGCTTATGTATACCGATAAAGTCTGCAAGGAACTGTACAAAACTATTCGTTTTTTTTTTTTTTTTTCCTACCTATGCTGATAGCCTTGAGAGGCTATTTCAGCTTCACCCTAACGTGTGTAGGTGAGCTCACGGGGCTCAAACCGGAGAGTTGCTAACACTGACCCTAGCAAGAGCAGTGGTTCGCAGAATCTACCACCGGATCGGAAACGCGACCCACTGAGAAGATCCGGCGAGAAACTCAGTGGGCTGTGTCTAGGGGTTAATTCGCTCGTCAAACCCTTCGTCGCAAGCGACGGGTTCGACGAGGACGATGACCGGTGCTTGTGGTGCCTAAAAGCACCGTTAATGGATCGGGAGGATCCGTAATGACGTGCTTTGGGCGACGTCGACTGTTAACCATTCGGTCTACAGGATCGGGTATGTAGTTTCCAGCGGCCACGACAAGAGGGTTCTCATGTCGTGCCGCCTTCTCGAANTTTGCTCGGCTTATGTATACCGATAAAGTCTGCAAGGAACTGTACAAAACTATTCGTGTCCGTTGCATGAGTTAATATGTGATAGTCGTCTTTGAACTGTGCCGCCTCAAGAACGACGCAGCACATGAATGGCCGTCAAAAATTCCGACAAAGGGGACCGTTCGCGGTGTTTGTTCAAAGGACACCGAACGCGATGCGTGTAGAGCTTTTAAATGTGCCGCCAAAGAGGCCGCTCAGCTTAAGTCCGAGCGTAGCTTGAATATAGGAAATTGGAAGTTGTTTGAATTTTGCCGCACGCCGCGCCGCGCCGCCGCTAGTGGTAGGCGAAGCCGGTTTATATCGCTACAAATGAATTTGTATGTTGTCCTATCATGCACTGAATGTTTTAAATTGCCGAATGAAGCAAATTAGCCATTATTTATAACAAAAGTGTTTGGTAGATAAGCGCCGAATAATGATATTTGACCAAGTAAATCATAAATACTGGGTAGGTCATTATTTTATGAAGTTATTACTTCATGAAAGAGTAATTAAAGTAAATTTGGCGATCACATGACTTTTGCTGATGTTACTCCATTGTGTATCATGCAAACCATAAGTGTAATTTTCTTTTTAGGTAACGTTTCTCTAGTAAGACGATAAATGTATTCCCTTTCACCTAATTTACAAAGTCAATACTAATAGTAGGTACCTTTCTTATAATCAGCTAATTTGTAAAGAACGGTGTGGTCTTCGCTGCTCGGCTGGGATATGACTCTATCGAGGACCGAGCCAGCACCTTGAACGTTGCCCGAAGTCAGAAATTTTCCAACGGCATTACCCATACCTAGTTAACTATAATGAAGTTGCTACTGAAAATCCTGCAATAAATGTAGAGCAGTCAATAACCTTTTGACAGTTAACAAGAGAATTCAAGATTATTTTGAATGTTTTAAATAAATCTTCAGTAGATAAAATATGCTCGGATTTAGGATGGGTAAAGCAGTTAAAGCCCATGGAGATCAGAACGTGAATTCCGACACCTACCCAGATCTATGAGGCCAAACTATCAATCGTATTGGATAATAACTCCCAATTTTCAAATCGGAATGCATGACTGCTATGCGGCCGAAGTAGTGGTATTTACAGGTAGGATGAATCTTTTTTTTATTGCTTAAATGTGTGGGCGAGCTCACAGCCCACCTGGTGTTAAGTGGTTACTGGAGCCCATAGACATCTATAACGTAAATGCGCCACCCACCTTGAGATATAAGTTCTAAGGTCTCAATTATAGTTACAACGGCTGCTCCACCCTTCACACCAAAACGCATTACTGCTTCACGGCAGAAATAGACAGGGTGGTGGTAGTGGTGGTACCTACCCGCGTGGACTCACAAGAGGTTCTACCACTAGTAATTACGCAAATTATAATTTTACGGGTTTGACTTTTATTACACGATGTTATTCCTTCACCGTGGAAGTCAATCGTGAAAATTTGTCAAGTACGTATTTCATTAGAAAAATTGGTACCCGCCAGCAGGATTCGAACACCGGTGCATCGCTGCATACGAATGCACCGTCTTAACTTTTAGGCCACGACGACTTCACAATCGAATCGAATTCGAATCTACCCGCGTTAATTTGGATGTGGATCACAGCACGTTGTCATATTAGGTACTCAGTGAACGGTGTTGCCCATTCTCCAGTGAATCCTTTTGTCGCCTTTTACCGATATCCGATACCACACAGTCAAGCACAAACTTAACGGTTTTCCCGCTTAACAATTATGGATTTTATTATGCTTTAAAATTAGGACATTTTGAAATCAAGTTCATTTAGAATATCTTATCTTATGTTATCTTATATATATTATATATTTATACCTTTAAACGAGCAATTCTTGTATATATATAATCTGAATCTCGGAAACGGCTCCAACGATTTTTATAAAATTTAGTATACAGGGGATTTCGGGGGCGATAAATCGATGTAGCTACGATTTATTTTCAGAAAATGTTGTTTTATTCGTGTTTTCAATAATCAACTTTATCGATAATCAACTTTATGACTCTTCCCGAGAGACATCTATTGGCGAATAATAATACTATTTTTCATTATTGAGAGCAACTAACTGTTCTATAAACACAATAACTCTAAAGCTATTTCAGCAGATGGCGTTGTTAAGCCTCCCGAAGTCAATGAGTGTTTGGTTTAAGGTTAGACCAAGAAAATGAATAGTTTATTTATATTATTTGTGTCTTTTTAACTCACATGTTCACTTAAAAATGCCTAAACGATCTTGGAATATTTCATCATTTTATCAATATGTAATTCGTATTTAAATATAATTTCTAAACAACACAATTTATCAAAAAAAAAATCATCGTCTAGTAGGTGCAATAAAACATTATAGTCTTATCATCTTTAGTTTTCACATATCAATATGTACGTATCTATTTTAGTTAATTAATTCTAAAATTCATTGCGAAATAAAACTTATCCTAAACAGAGTTTAGAACACAAAAGTAATCCGAAAAGAAATATTTCTGCGGAAGCATTCATTTTTGGCACACTATAGACATACCGTAATATTTGAAGGCTTCTCATTCTTTTTATAATGTATTTTTAAGTCGTTGGATAAATCACTAGCTCTTAGTTGAAAGCTGCCATGTTGAAGTGATGTCTAACTTAGACATATTATTATTCGTAATTAAACACAAGTTGAGTTCCCTGTAGGCCGTGTTTTTATTATTTTTACAAAAACATATGAATACGTGCTGTGTGAGTTTGTAATAAACAAATTACGTTGTCATGGTAACTAGATTTGGGCTAAAGCAGGATATTACATGTTTCAAGCTGTGCCCACTCTTCCGATCGGAATGTTATAAATTTTTGGGTGTGTATAAATTATAATTTGTGCGAACATATCCAAATATCAGCAAACATTTATACACAAAATGTTTTACAAATTATCCATATATAGAAATAACATATTTTTATCCGATATATCCGATTAAAGGTGGAGGAGGAAAGGTGGTCCGTATGCCTTTCTAGTTTTATCAGGACAGGTGAGAGAGAATGGACTCAGCCGGGAGGGGTGGGATTTACTAACAGCTACCCGAACGCCTCTGAAGAAGACCTAATACCTAATAACCCCAAGGGCAGCTGCTTCACGAATGAATCTACTATCGGATCGGAATTACGACTCGCTGCGAAGATCAGGCGAAAAACTCATCGGGCTGATATTCAGGTTAGGTTGCACGTCGAACTGTTTGCTGAGTTCGATGAGTACGGTTACCGGGGTCCCCAAGCCTGCTCCTAGTGTTAGAAATTATTTGGGTGACGGCATTTAAGTTGTGAAGTCTACGATAGTACAAAGTATGCGTTAAATACTTTGTGAGTGCGACCGTCCATCATGTATTTAATTATGTTCTTATATTTTAATTTATCATATTGTACTCGCTCCGATTACACGAATGATTAACAAGAAAAAAGAGTGTAATATTTTTATTTTTTATTTTACCGGTGCCTATTTATTCCCCGCGCGCTATCGCTGGTCCAAAGAGTGCAGTAACAATACCGGTTTAATAGAGATAGCATAAAAATGTGTTAAAATTGAATGTTTAGAAGTCGTACGTTGAGAACGCATCACGCAAAAAATACTGCTTAGATTTCAATTAAGTTAATTTTGGTACTACTTTTTAGAAAAGTGCCATCACTTTAAAAAAAATATCTTTGCTTAATATAAATTTATTGCAGGCGGGTCGCGTTTCCGATTCGATGGTAGATTCTGCAAAGCACTACTCTTGCTAGGGCCAGTGTCAGCAACACACCCGGTTTGAGCCCCGTGAGCTCACCTACTAGTCAAGGTTACGCTGAAATAGCCTCTCAAGGCTATCAGCTTAGGTAGGGAAAAAAATCGGTTTAAAGAAACCACGTTCGCTTAAAATGGTACTCAACAGATAACGTTAATATTTTTATAAATTGGGCTATGTTTAACTGTGCCGTCTAATATAATCATGCTTCCATACGAATATTATAAATGGGTAGTGTGTGTTTGTATGTCCTCCTCTCACGTCTAAACGAAACAACAGATTGATTTGTTTTTAAAGGGATAGGTTTATGTAAAGAAAGTGTCATAGGCTTTTATCTCGAAAAAACAACTCGTTCCCACAGAGGTCGGTTGTTATTAGAACCTACAACAATAATAAAATAATATTTTTTCAAGGCATAAAAAATAAGTTTAATATTACGTACATACAAATTTTTTTTGGCTTCCCTAGACATCAGCTACTCCAAAGACTGTACTTTGTTACGATTTGTTAAATAAATCCAAGATACTTATTATTTATTTGCCAACGGTACCGAAAGACGGGACGTAAGGTGATCGCGGCAAAACCAAAGGAGATTTATGAAACCTACAGAAATGTTTTTCTTCCTACCTATGCTGATAGCCTTGAGAGGTTATATCCGTTTCTCCTTGACGTGTAGGTGAGCTCACGGGGCTCAAACCGGGTGTGTTGCTAACACTGGCCCTAGCAAGAGCAGTGCTTCGCAGAATCTACCACCGGATCAGAAACGCGATCCATTGAGAAGATCCGGCGAGAACCTCAGTGGGCTAAAGAAACGTAATATGATATTACGGATGGATAGTATGGATTGTAAAACTCTTATATTACTAATATGACAGTTTTACAATCCATACAGTTATAAAAACAATGTACTTACTTAGAGTAACAGCGGGGATTCGGCGGGGTAAGGGCCGCGCGTTTCGCTGCCCCCAATCGCGTTTAGTTTGCGCACTCAAAAGATGAGGGCAGAGACAACCATAAAGCTTTTTTTTTGTTTATTTATTGCATAGATGGGTGGACGAATTCACAGCCCACCTGGTGTTAAGTGGTTACCGGAGCCTATAGACATCTACAACGTAAATGCCGCCATCCACCTTGAGATATGAGTTCTAATGTCTCAGTATAGTTCAAACCGAAACGCATTACTGCTTCACCGCAAAAATAGGCAGGGTGGTGGTACCTACCCGTGCGGACTCACAAGATTAGAAAAATTGGTACCCGCCTGGGGTAAGTACATCTCGAGAATCAATAAATACATTCATTATAATGGTACACACTTGTTCTGTTGTATAGATATGCTTTGAAAGCAAAATACAACAAGGATTTAAGATTTCATAGATTTTTTCGTGACACGAGATAAGCTTTTTTATAATTTCATATTACTATCTTTACATATCGTTACCCTATCTTTTAGTAGAGCTTGTATTCGACAGATCAAAAAATTGTGGTAAAGTCTGGAATGAACTAACCACAAACCTCCGAACCTCTAATAACGAAGACATAAAAGACGAAGAATATTCGCCGGATTTTCCAGTGCTTGTTTTTATCTTCTTGTTTCGAATCTAAAATCAATATACCTAAATTCATTCTGTGCAATTTCAATGCGCGGTATTACATTGTAACAAACATTGCGCCACCAATCTGCGATCCATATCGTATTACAATAATTATAGTGACGCATTGTTCCCCTATATTATTTATTCTTCGTAAATGAAAATTTCCATTGAATGTATTTTATATATAAATCTATATGATGACATAATATGGTTGGCCACGCTTCCATGCGTGCTTATTTCGAAGGTCATTTACCCGCCGTCCGTGTAGCGAGTTTGCGACGGAAGAGGTTAGAGCTAGAGAAGGGGCAATGCTTTGTCGAGTTACAAGCCGCCGACTGTGTTACCATGTATTGTTTTTTCATTTTACCTGAGTTTCCTATATTCCTATATATTTTCATCGAAGCGCTGTTTTAAAATCCCGGCTGATTAGAAAATATAATACATGTTTTTTTAAATTTCATTTAAGTTCGATTT